TAATGCAGTAATAGTAATAGCTTCCCGGCCCGCGGACACACGGCCTTCGGCTGAGGATACCCCATGCGCCCCATCGCCGCTCCAATGTGCATGGGGTGGCGTAGTATTTTAACCGCCAAAATTAACGCTTCGAAAGAACAGATAACAGTACTCACCTTCTTTGAAATGCCTGTTTTGTCGATATCGAATCAGTCCCTTGTTGTTGCATTAAATTCTCGCTCTAGTAAATTGCATTGTCGCCAACATGCAGCAAGTTAGAAACTCCACCCTCTCAAGGGCTCTTTTCAACGTCTGGATAAGCATTTGGACTCTCATTGTACTTTCGATATTCGCTCTCGCATGCCTTGTTCAAGCAGGCACCATCAACATGCCAGATTGGACCAAAGATCTTCGTAAATTCGACGATGAAGAATGGGCTCAATATTCAGCCATATTGATCATATCAATCTGCGTTCTCTTCGTCTTAACAATGGTCACTGGGATAGCTGCCCTTCGAGCCGATGGATATTAAACCTACTCGAACGGAAGTGCGAATCCTTGGCTGTAAAATACACTCCCCATGAAGGCTAAGAAGAAGGTTGTCTCGACAAATAAGGAGGTCCATCAACTTCGACAGCAACTAGCTCGACAGGAGTCACATTGCAAAGCCCTACCTTCTAAGACTCATTCCTGTTCCCTGAGTCGCCCGAGAGGCACATCGTCGTCAGAGAAGGCTGTGCCGCGCCGAACCTTTTACACAGACGGGTATCTGACAAGAGACTCCCGACCTTGCAGAAGATGACATTTGTTTCTTCGCTGGTCATGTGTGGCAACTCAGCTACCCATATGTCCTTCTGACGACAGGTGGACGCACGGCTACCCTCAAGATATGATGGAAATGGGGGCCCAACAAACAAAGAACACGTTGGCGTCCCGCTCGATTGATCATGGCAGAAGGGGGAACCTGGTGGTACGGTATTGGAGAGTTGAGTTTGAAGTGAAACGATGGAGCGTAGTCTACCCTTAGATACCATGGAACATTGCGTGCAGCTTAATCGTATTATACTATTCAACCCCTTCCGCTATTCAACCCCAGATTCCAAAACAGCAAAAGTATCAGTCTCAAAATCAAGCTCAGCCAAGGCATCATACGGCAGCGTAATCATTGGTGTCGTATGCCCAATGTCCACATTGAATAGAATCGGGAAGTTCTTTGAAGCAAGCCGTCCCTCACAGAATAGTCCCTTGATGATGCTGGCATAAACCTCTCGCTCCTCAGCAGAATCATATCCATAAGGTCGTCCTACAACCAGTCCTGCAGCGTCTTCGAAGACACCGTGAGCTATCAAGTCTGCAAATGCTGCCTGAACTCGGTGAGGAGGGTTTCCACCAGAGCCGTCCTCGTTTGTAGCTGTTTCGAGGAAGACGATTCGGCCACGCCAGTCAGGAACAATGGCTGAAACTCCCGATAAGCGGGCGACTACGGTGAGGCAACCACCGAACAATCGACCCTGAGCCTTTCCATGTCGCAGCCATTGCCAGTCGGTTGTCTTCACAACCTCTGGTGGCTCTGTCGATTCTGGTGTCGCAAAGAAGGGCGCTCCTCTTGGTGCGTAAAACTTGGATCGGGGAATCTGTCCGAGTGGTTCTGGAGATGCAATCGCTCGAAGCAAATTATCGACACAGAAGGCAAGAGGGGTATCTTTATCGTTGACATCATTCGCTTCCCCGATCTCGGGTACGGCACCAGGACCATAGAAAGTCCTGAGACCCGTTAGACCAAACAAGAACCAGTGCAAGCCCGAGATGTCGGAATAGCCCACCACGATCTTTGGGTTTGCACGAATGGTCTCGTGAAGTTCTTTGTCCGCAATCAGAGCTGGAAGAAGCTCTGTGAAGGTTGTGCCGCCAATGGTAGTGATGATGGCGGAAATGCTGGGATCTGAGAAAGCGGCTCGGATCTCGGAGAGCCGATTATCAATGCATGATTGAATGCCCTTATCTTCACTGAAGAAAGTCTGCACTTGATATCCTTTGTTTGTGAGAAGAGCAGAGGCTCGGTCTACGACTGCTGGAAGCGTGGCGTTGATACGCTCTGATGGTGATATGAATGCGATTCTGTCACCAGGTTTTAGGTGTTTCGCTCGAATTGGTGAAGGCATGCTGGGTGTTGAACGAATTTGCCTTGGCGCTATTTAAAAATGGAATCGACCTCAAAAGGATATGCGATGTTTTAATGTTTCGAGTGCTGTTGGTTGATCTTGTATCACGTCAGATCCAGTGAGGGGTCAATGGCGGATTTTAATATCTCCACTGAGGACCCTGCGTTACGTTATGTTATAAATTATGTTGTGATATCGAACATCACCGGGTCAGCTTACCTTATTCAATCCAGTCTGAAAAGGGAAAATGTGTGTAATCGTTATATTTCGTGAGGCCCAGAATGCCATCGCGCCCTTCAAGCGACAAACCAGTAACAAAAGTTCCACCATTCGCCATTTTCGCTAATGCCCATAAGACGATTATCCTTGTTCGCTTGCTCAATTTGGTTACTCTGGTCCACAGATGAGTCCCTTCGGATATCCATTTCATTCTTGATTATTAACACCGTTGGCCATCATTTCGTCACCCATTATTTGCGTATCGACGATAGGAAATAGAGACATAGTCGTATCAAAAGAATCGAACCAAAGCATGTTCGGTGAAATTCCCAGAAAAGCGTCCGCTGAAATATCAACGTCAATCTCTGTCTGCTCTCTTCCCTCCATCAAAAACCCTTGCTGCTCCTCGGTCATCTCGTTCGCTACCTGGCCCGGTCTGGGCGTTTGCGGTTGCGTTTGTATCCCATCCGTTGAACCGATTCGAGAGTTACCTTCTGGTTGCTGAGAATTCCGCAATGGCGACTTCCCGATTGTGTGAATACTCCCGAAGAGACCGTTGACGAGGTGCCGTTGACGTTCCATTCGTAACCTTGCTCGGTTATCCATGTATATGTCGCATGCATTCTGTAGGTGATCCAAGATCATAAGATGGCGCTTCGCCACAGCATCGTAACGACTGAAGCGGTCGAGAACGCCTCTCGCTGCATGGAGACTCTTCTCGAGCGGAAATGAGTTGTCGAAATCCCCAAAGATTGCTGCACCGAGGACGAGGCCAGATACAAACGCCGAATTGCCAACAATCGGTAAGCGTTTCGGTATGGTTCCAGTCCTGACGAGAGTCTGTAGCAGGTCCACTGTCCGCACTGCTGACTCGAGGCAGGAGTGGACAAGAACTTGATTCGATGACGAAGATCGCTTTGCAGTTCCTTGTGCGGACTGTTCATTGTCTTCGACGTGTTGAGAAACCGCCTTATGTAGGAATGGAAGAGACAGGAGCATGACCGTCCAATGGCCAGTTAGTTTGAGGTGTATTAGTCCAATGTTTGGCTGCTCTTCGCCATTCTGGTCACGGATCAAGTCATCCTGCTCAATGCCATCAACCGCGAGACCCTCTCCACATTGTGCAGTCCACCGTCGAAGATGCTTGCTGATGCGTTCCAGTATCTCCGGAGATATCATTCTCTTTGCATAAACATCTGTAAGGATCAACTCGAAGATCATGGAGAGATCATTGCAAGCTGAATAGTTCTGAGGGTTCGTAGTATCTCTCAACTCGGATGTTGAGGGAGGCCGGCCCAATGATGCGCTCATGAACAGATCGAGAATTCGGATGCCTTTCCATAGCTGTTCTCTCACACGACCCTCATTGGCAGAGAAGAGGGAAGCAATATCATGGCGATGAAGACCGATGGCATATGCAGCTCGGACTCCCATGCCGAGATACATAAAAGCCGCGTTGCGGCGCGATGCACCTAAAAGATACATGGCGATGAGCACCAACGCTTGAATGGTGACAATGCCCGGCTCTTCTATCAGGGTTTCCACTGTCAAGTACCGGGCATAGTTGAAGAAAGTCTCAGCCAGGTCATCTTTATCTTCTGGCCCTGTTTGCGCACCAATGGCAAAGACCAGATAGTATACCGAACTCGCAGGGTCAGCGATATCTTGGCCATCTTCAATCCACTTTCTTATGCCTTGGCCAAGTTCTTTTTGGTCGAAGAGAAGTAGTACGCAATTGGCTGATTGCATGTACCATTTCACAAGATAATCGAGTTCCTGCTCAGACTGCCGTGGTGGTGGGTTCTGGGCACTCGACAGGATCCATCCTCGCCGTGTTTCAGGCGATGCTTCGACGATACCATGTCGCAATGGGTCATCAACAAGGGTACAATCTCCTATGCTACGTCGCACAATCCTCCTAATATTCTGAAGGAAAGATAGGGTTGCAGAGTCGCCTATGAACATGTATTCACCCCTCGTATCCTGAACAAGGCGCGACATGCGTGGAAGTCTTTCAGGTTGTGTATTCGAGAGCAGCTGTAGAGAAGAAGAGGTCCCGTCATCAACATACGCCTCATCCACCGACGTCAAACCCGATCTGTTACCGACGGTTATACTACCAGCAGGAGTGGTCTGCTCAGTGATATTACTGAGTCTATCGGGATCGGGACTTGGTAGGGATGACGCGAGGATGCGTCTTGCGCCATTGTTTGAGGCAGATTGAGACTCGTGGCACTCATGCCCGAGACCTCGCTTGATGCAGCGGGCGCAGGGTCTACGGCCATCGCATCTTTGTTTGCGACGTTTGCAGCTCTCGCAGGCCTCGGCGCATCGTCTTCTCTCGCAGTCTCGGACCCTCCTGGTAGGCATTTCGTCGTCGGTAGGTCGTGTGAGGTCCCTGGAACTGAGGGAGTGAGCCGCGGGCCGCGAGCTGTCGGATATGGCCAGGTCTTTATTGGTTACTTGGCCACGAGAATGGGGTAAGATTTGGTGACATTCCCGCTGACGTAAATTGGCGCACCGTTCAGTATTACCGAGCTACCGACGGAAAGATCCCTGTAGCCGATGGTCACATTGAGGGTCCAACAGCAATGAATTCCTGCGTGGTCACTCCTGAGTCAGTGCTGAATAGGCTTGGTGGCTTGGTCACAAACAGCAAACACGTAGTCTGGCATTACAACAGAAGCAATCTTGAATGCACTCTCTTGTGATTGAAGTCGCGAAGAGATACATTTTGATACTGATTAATCTATATCTTATCTTAAACCCTTAACCCAGTTTGGATAGGAACTCTTGTATTTTGGAACCAACTTCATCTGCTGCCTCAATACAGTGCCAATGACCAACTCCAGGCAAAATATGCATGCTCTTCGACGAGTCGCTGCAACCCCAACTAAAGTGAAAGTCAGCGCTGGTTGCTTCAATTAATTGACCTTACAGTGAAGTGAGTACTTACTCGCATAGAATCTTTTGCGCATCCGGGATCGGGCTTGTTTTGTCCTCTTCACCAGAAAGAACAAGCACGGGGCATTTGATGTTTGCGTAGGGAGGCAATTCTGCTTGCGCAATGGCGCGACACAAGGCAATGTATCCCTCGGGCTCTTGCGATAGCAACAGTGCTCGAATGAATGCCTTTTGTGTCAAAGTTGCCTTGGAACCTGTCGCGGCGAAGGGAATAGTTTTGGCCATTGGCTCCATTCCTTCTAAACTCAATATTAATACCAGATCATACTCTTAGCACTTCAAATTGACTCACCTTTCTTGACTGTCCCTATGCGAATATTGAAGATCTCGGCCATTGCAGGCTTTGGCAACACAGGGCCAATGAGGACTGCGCCGCGGAGGCTGCACTTCAGAGCGAGCTTTGGTACAATGATACCGCCCATGGAATGTCCAACGGCGACGGCATTTTCGGGTCGAATGCTTAATCCTTCCAGTAAAGCCTTAACATCACTCGCGATTGTGTCAAATGTAGGATCTTCAACCCCTTCTGACAACACGGAAAGGCCACTGCCTATTGATCTTCAGTATTTAATTCCTGCAAACAGAATAAAGCCAATACTGACCATAGACATCCAACGCAATCGATGAGTATCCTGCAGTCGCAAGCTGGTTCATGACAGGTATATAAAACGAGTGAGATGACCCAAGGCCATGGATGAATACCAGTACTGGACCATCTTTTGAGGCTGTTTCAGCGTCCACTTGGGCGTAAAACAGCTTCTTGTTCTGAACTTTGATGAACGGCATATTGATCAGAAATTTTGACAGACTGAATGATAGAGTGACAGCGACCAATATGACAGCAGTGTGTTCTCTGTTGTCGATATACTATCTTCAACCCTCGAGGTCTCTCTCAAATGCCTCGATATGTTCTAGCGCGGGTCTTTACGGCTCACATTCAGCGTCGGAAGCCGGGCGAGAAGCCATCGGCAAGGGTCACAGCCGACCTCCACCACTAAAATATGGGGTCTTCACAACAAACTCAATCACTGTGGACACTGTCTTTCGCGCATTATGGGTCATACATCGCCAAAAACCCATAAATCATAGGCAGTTATCACCCAGGTATAGTGGGTTATCGCTTTAGTCCGAACTGCCGTCGGTTTCCGCCACTCAACGAATCGAGTTGTGCCACTGTATAAAGACTCCCTCTTAACAATCAACCTCTTGTAGATGCCCTCGGGTGGATGCCCTTTTTAAGCCAATAACCGATAAGTTCCTTCTGTCAACATGGGTAGCACTAACCAGCACGATTATTCCTCGGTTGAGGAGAGTAAGAGGATCTTTGACTACCTTTGCGGTCAGTTCGATGAGGTTGCTTTTCCAGCGGCTGTGAAGGAGCTCAAGGACAACATCGAGTTTACGTCAACTCGAGATGCGCCCTACTTTCCTATTCCATTCAAGGAGACGGAAACAACTGCTGCGCTTAAGGCGATAGAGGGTGCCGTTGCCAGTCTGCTAGCAAAGACCGTTGAAAGTGAATTACAACCGAAGAAGATCAATGTCGACTTAGAGAAGACTACAGCCTTCCTTTGCCAGGCTTATATGGCCAAAGTTGGTGGTCTTGGAAAGCTTGACCCTGGCGTCAAGGCTCTACTCAAAGGTACGTCTATACGCCACAACTGTTGGCTTTCAGGCCAAGGAACTAACGACCATAAGATACGGATTTGCTGCAGGCCCAGTCAAATCCTTACCGCCGCATGTCAGCCAACTTGTATGAGACTAAGAACGCTGGAGAGTATTATCACATTCATGGATCTCTGGAGGCTTCAACAACCCTCAAGATGATTGGTCTTGAACCTTTTAGACCAGACTTGCAAACACATGAGAGCATTGTCGATACCATCGAGCCTGCTGTTCGACAGTTCTCGATAGATGAGCTTGAGAGTATGAATGCTGCTCGTCGACAGGCTGGAGTTCCTGCTTTGAAGCACGAGGACTTTGTGAAAACTCAGCATGTAAGTTGTAAATCTCATATACAAGGGCATATCTGACAACAATCAGGGCAAAACAAATATGGCACTTCCGCCATGGTCTGTCGACAACCTTGAGTCCGAGACACCCAAGTGTCCCCTAACACCAAGCTCAGAGCACCCAAAGAGGATATTGTCAGGCATCAAGGTTCTTGAGCTCTGCCGTATCATTGCTGGACCTATTATCACCCGTATCCTCGGAGAGTATGGAGCCGATGTGCTCAAGATTACAAGTCCCAATCTGAGTGATGTTCCTTTCTTCCAGGTAGATGGCAACATGGGCAAGCACGCTGCAGAGCTAGACCTGAAGTCCTCTGAGGGAAGAGCTGAGTTTGAGAAGCTTCTCGCTGAAGCGGATGTCGTTGTTGATGGATACCGACCTGGCGCTCTGGAGAAGCTTGGATATGGCGCTACTGCACTTACAAAACTTGCTAAGGAGCGTGGCAAGGGCTTTGTGTATGTCAATGAGAACTGCTTTGGCTACGAGGGAGAGTGGGCTGGACGACCTGGGTGGCAACAGATTGCTGATTGTGTAAGTGCCTTGATCTACAGCTGCAAGGGAGATCGAACTAACCCGATTGATAGGTCAGTGGCATCGCGTGGGAGCAGGGTCGTTTCATGGGCTTGTCAGAACCCGTCGTCCCTCCTTTTCCCATTTCGGACTACGGAACAGGATGCATTGGTGCCATCACAGCCCTGCTAGGTCTCTATCATCGCGCCACCCGTGGCGGATCATGGCATGGAAAGGCTTCACTTCTTCACTACGACTTGCTCCTCTTCAAGGTTGGGCAGTATCCTGAAGAAGTAAAGGAGAGATTGAGGAAGGATATTGGACCTGATTTCCTTGCCCTGCGACATGCGCATAGCGTGGATCAGATCTCAGGAACGGCATTATTGAGGATGCGACAGGTTTTCCCTGAGCTCTTCACTGGGGACAAATACGTCGAGAAGTGGTACTCTAACGCTTATAAGGCTGAGGTGGAGGCCGTACCTCCTGTTGTGGAAATTGAGGGTCTGGAAGTTGGGTTCAGGAGAGCAAGTCGGCCTAACGGCGCAGACAAGCCAACATGGGATTTTGGAGATGAGGCCGATCGCAAGCTGTCAAAGTAGTTTATCCCACTGAGTTTTAGCATTTGCCTAGCCAATTGATGCATGCATAGATCATTCAAGATCTCCCCCTCTCTACTGTAGAATACTAATTCTGTGTTGTCGCGTGACAAGAAGTCGTTACAATTAATGCTGCTCTTCACTTCCTTTCCTATCATGGCGAATTTGCGACGGCTTTGGCGTATTTCAGGTGACTTGCAGCGGCTACACTAGGCTTATTTCCACTAGCAGGCATCGTACGACACACTAGTTTTTGGCTCCATATTCCGCGGCGTCGGAATCGGAGTCAGGGTGTCCCCTCAGCTGTACATCCGATCAACTTGCTCCGACATCCGAAAAGCGTGTGGCACCATTCTCGCCTCTGCCGAGAGTGCTAAACGAAATCATCAGTCCCCTAATTGGTTGGGCAGTTCACCCCGCAAAATGGCTGCAACATTGCCGCTTGGCCCCATGGGACACTGATGCTCAGAACGCGCACCCGATGTCCTTTCGGGAGATGTCCTTAGCCGCTCCTTGCTGAGGCGCTGTCTGTATATCCGAATCGAACCATGCTGACTGTGAATTATGCGGGGTCAAGTCATCTGCTCGACACTATCTTTGAAACAACTCCAGTGATAAAGAGGGACTTCATAAGACCTATTAGAAAGCCTCTTCTTTCATTCACTCAAGCATAAACCCAATTCATCATCACCAACACCCTTCCTTCCATCACCTCAACTCCACAAAACTCTATCAAAATGACACCATCAGCGACTGGCGGAAATGCCAACGGCGCTCCCAAGGAGGAGGGTCTCGGCCAGGCCTTCACACAGCAGGTCATCGACTCTTTCGGCCCCAAGACTGACCCTCGTCTTAAAGAGGTGATGACATCTTTCATCCAACACATGCACGACTTTGCGCGCGAGACACAGCTCACTTGCGATGAGTGGATGTCTGCTGTTAAGATGATTAACTGGGCTGGACAAATGAGCAATGACAAGAGGAATGAGGGTCAATTGATGTGCGATGTTATTGGTCTCGAGAGGTAATTCACTTGTCACAAGTCTCAATTTCATTACTAACAGTTTTCAGTCTTGTTGATGATATTACACACCGTCAAGCAGCCAAGAACGGCGTAGCAGCAACTGAGACTGCTATTCTGGGTCCCTTCTGGCGACATGATACCCCTACTCGTGAGAATGGCACCACAATTACTTTCGACACCCCCAGCGATGGTGTTGTCGCCTATCTCTACGGCACTGTGACATCAGCCGCTACTGGAAAGCCCATCCCTAACGCCTCTGTCGAGGTTTGGCAAGCATCCACCAACGGTAAGACATTACCCTGCGGGATTCTATATCACGGACTCTAATTCTTCCTAGGCCTCTACGAGCAGCAGGATGAGAAGCAGGTTGAGCATAACCTCCGTGGCAAGTTCATCACCGACGACCAGGGTCGATACTCCTTCTACTGCCTACGACCTACTCCTTATCCCGTAAGCAATCTTATCCTGTCAACATGCCAAGGATCTATAATCTGACACTTTCTCAAGGTTCCCGATGATGGCCCTGCGGGTCAACTTCTCCACCTCCTCGACCGCCACCCTTTCCGCCCTGCCCATCTGCACTTCATGGTATGTTCAACCGAAGGTCCCAGAAGCGTTCATAGAACTAATCTAACATGCTGCAGGTCATTGCTGAGGGCCACAAGTCTGTTGTTACTCAGATCTTTGATTCTGACTCGGGCTATCTCGAGAACGATAGTGTCTTCGCTGTTAAGGATGGCCTAACAGTGAAGTTTGTGCCACGAAAAGGAGATCCCAAGGCTGAGTGGGAGTTGGAGTACAACATGAGCCTGTCAAACGAGTCATAGAGCAGTAGCATTTGTTTTTTCAGCCATAGCGAATTTCATTGGGTTTCTTTGGACCACTATTCCTGGTGAATTGGTGAGACGTATAGTGACCGTTCCTAGTCGTAAGTTCAAGTAAATGAATTCAATTGATTTTCGGCCAGAGCCTACAGCATCTCTTTGATTTATCAAGCCAGCACATTGGAACCCCCTCGAAAAGGCTGAACTCGCTTTCTTCAAATTTGTTTAGTGGAGGAGAAAGCGGCCTGTCTTCTATTGCGCCTCATTTACAGCTCAGCCTCATACATAGGCACCCAGAGCTCCAATAGCATTGGTGGCAGAATATGTTTTCAGTGACTAGAGTTGGCAGATAGTACTATGCTGTCAGGAATCTAAAACTTCATTTTAAGCCACTCGAAATATCATTAAATCAGCCATGTGAACTTTCAGCCTTGTTTACATGAGCAAATAGCGCAATCAATAACTAGACGCCGTTCCATAGTTTACCACTAACCTTGAAGCTCTCAGCTGGGAAGCGAAGGAAAACATTTCGTGATGTTGACCTGTTGTTCATGGAATCATGGAGACTGATCGATACAGAAAGCAAACTTAACTCGGAATCAAACATGAAATGTATTTGGCCTTTGGCCTTTGGCAAATAAACATGTTGTCCCTAGAATTTGATCAACTCTACGATGTTTGCCTCGATGCAGATTACGAAATAGTGCTGCTTACTTCATGACTGTATTAGTAGTACTGACAATAGATCTTCGCTCAGAATCCAACACTGAAAAATGCTGCACAGATCGTTGTGCTCATATTATTAGAAGATATACCTAACTATCCCTTAGGACAAGAGGTGGCCTTATTCCCAAGATAAGCGAGACGACTATTATGAATACTTGTGCGAGGCTTCCAGGGCGTGGTATTAGTTATTCGGAACATAAGAAAGTTGTTGATCCGCGGCAAGTCTTCGACATTACCAGGAAAACATGGTTACGGTGGTTTGTCCATCACGCTTAATAGACAATCTCATCGATCGGCGAGGTTTGTTGATGGTCCCTGCTTGGCAGCGCGGCTAAGTTGTCCGCGCAGTGACATTTTTGGCGTTTCATCACAAACAGCATGTGATTTTCATGGTCATTGAGTTTGGTAGCAGCCTCCACTTCGAGAACCTTGATAAACACTTCACTGATACTCCATTCGAGCTTTGAAGCCATTGCAAACTTGCAAACTTGCAAACTTGTATTTTCTTTTGTTCGTTCTGTGACTTGAAATAGGGTAGGTACCCTAGGCTGTGACTAAAGTTTCTATGACTTTGTACCCCGCAATCCACCAATTTGAGTGCAAACTATCCCCAATACTGACAAATAACGTAATGTTAATGGTGTTTTGATGCAACTAGATAATACTACCCCGGATGTTTTTGGAAGGCGTGTCACTTCGGTGAAGCAGACCGGAAGACATCGGTCTGGGGTAACAGATGATTGGTACGTATATCCGACACGTGACCGGTTGCCGGTATATCGTCCGACCCACCGCCGGCAGCGAGTCCGGAGATAAGCGCGGCTAAATATGATTCGCTGGGCACAAGATATTCCGCTCCTAGATAAGGCTCTCGACGCGACGTGGCCAATGAGGATAACCTTGTTGGCAATGCGCGGTCCACGTTTCCTGGCTTACGATATAATAATATACCCAACACAAAAAAGGGAGACACTTTCAAGCTTCGTCATTTGAAAGAAACATCTTCTCACTTTTCAGAACCTGCAATGAGTCGCGCAGGGATAAGGCAGCTTTCGCTGCTTCGGGCGTCGAGACAATGTCTATCTCCCCGGTCCCTTGCTACCGTTGTAAGGGGGCCTATCGCTCGCTCGACACCGCCAGCAGCAACTTTGTTGGGACGCCAGCGATGTCGACTTTTCAGCACAACACGACTACGAAGAAGTCAGGATGGGCCGGATGAAGATGCGGGATCTTACAGCGAAGCGGATCACGAACATGCTGTCATTTCCACTTTCGATCTGTTTTCTATCGGCATTGGTCCCTCATCTTCTCATACTGTCGGGCCAATGCGTGCTGGTAACATTTTTGTCAATGATTTGATCGATGCCAATCTGCTTCAAAAAGTCAACAAAATCCGCGTCGCCATCTATGGTAGTCTTGCTCTCACGGGTGAAGGTCATATGACTCCTTCAGCTTTACTCCTTGGCCTCGAAGGCGCCGATGTCGAAACAGTCGACACAGGCTACGTGCCCAGCCGCTTCGAAGAGATCAAGTCCAGCAAGAAGATTTTCCTAGCACGTGGGCTGGCCACAGATGGATCCAAAGGCAAGGAGATCGATTTCGACTACGAGAAGGAATTCATTTGGGAATGGGGTCGTAAGCTTCCCCAGCACAGCAACGGCATGCGTTTCACTGTCTACGACAAGGAAGGCTACGTCCTAGCCACCAACGACATGTTCAGCGTAGGCGGCGGTTTCGTTGTCAACGGTGCTCTTAGTATCGCACCCCAAGAAACTCTCTCCGCAAACGCCCCCGCTCAACTCGAAGTCGGAGATTCGGACACGGCAGCTCACCCGGCCGATTTGGCCGAAAACATGTACTACAAGGAAATCCGGCGCTCAGATGCCGCGGGAGATCGACGAACCGGTACCGAAGTCAAGGCCCTCGAAGAAGCCAATGAGGGTCCGACAGCTCTCCTCGGAGACTCGCCTAAGCCAACCGGCCTCTCTACCGATGTCAAGTCCGAGACCAAGGATACCAGCTCATCACCGCATCCGCGGTATCCATTCCGAGATGCCGCTAGTCTGCTTTCACTCTGTCGCAAACACAATCTCACTATCGCGCAATTGGTGTATGAGAATGAGAAGAGTCTAGGATATACGGACGAGGACATTTATCGAAAGATCTTCAAGATTTGGGGAGTCATGGATGCTAGTATCCTGGAAAGTGTCCAGGCACCAACAGGCTCTAAGCTTCCTGGATCTCTCAAGCTGCATCGACGAGCGCCGGCGCTCTACCGCCGATTGACTCGTGGCTTGTATCCCTCGTCGACTGCTGATACTTCAGCTGCTCAGCTCGAGCACAAGTTCTCTTCGCCTGACGCCAACATCAACGAGGATGGCGTCGGCTCATCACCGAAAGCTCTCGCAGCAGCATCATCTCCATTGGTGCCAGAGAAGTTCAAGGCTGGCGGCCTTCGGAAGCGCGGTCCGCCACGGATACACGGTTCTCTGGATCATCCTATTGCTCCAGCTCCTTCACGCCGTACGACATTCCCCACTATGGACTATCTATCTGTCTATGCCATTGCTGTCAATGAAACCAACGCTGGCGGCGGTCGAATTGTCACCGCTCCTACCAACGGTGCCGCAGGTATTATTCCAGCTGTGCTCAAGTATACGACTGAGTTCATCAGCGACGATCCTGAACGAGATATCCCCACTTTCCTTCTCACTGCTGCCGCAATCGGTATGCTTTACAAGCGAGGTGCCACCATCTCAGCCGCTGAAGGAGGGTGCATGGCGGAGGTCGGCGTTGCCTGCTCTATGGCCGCCGGTGCTTTTGCTGCCTGCATGGGAGCCAGCCCCGAGACAATCGAGCAAGCCGCAGAAATCGGTATCGAGCACAACCTCGGACTAACATGTGATCCCATCGGCGGACTCGTCCAAGCTCCCTGCATCGAGAGAAACGCGCTGGGCGCGACAAAGGCCATCTCCAGCGCCAACCTGGCGCTTAGCAGTGAAACAGGCACGCAGCGCGTGAGGCTGGACGACGCTATCCGGGCGATGCGACTGACGGCCAAGGGAATGAGGAACGAGTTCAAGGAAACGAGTTTGAGTGGATTGGCTACGAGCGTTCACATTAATATTCCAGTCAGTGTTCCTGACTGCTAGACATGGTGTTGTTTTGTATTCAGCGATAATTATCAACAAAAAAAGGGAGTCAACAGCGGCGTAGATATTGCTTTTCTAGATTAGAAGTTTCACTCTTTGCATTGTCAGCTGAGTAAGAGTACCATTCTACTTGGTGGGTATCACGTGCTAAAATATAGATGTCCGTAGTTCATGTGGAGAATCGGTGAGACGAATCATCACCTTGATTATTCTATTCTTGATTTATCGCGGATCTCATGGAAGACCACCCAAACCCTTCAACTGTGTCTCACGAACATTGCCCATGTTGTTTCAATTTCGATCCAGACCTCGTAGCACCAGGCTCCAACAATGATGTCAGAGTTGACTCAAAAGAGCTCGTAGTATTGGTGCTTCGAGACATCATACAGTTCGAGAGCGCGGCGATTTCAGGTTGTGACTGTTGCGCATTCATTTTCAAGACTCTCACAGATTCGGGCTTGTTGGGGGTTGAGAATCAGATGGGAATTCAGCTCTATCTCCGACTTTCAATTGGACAAGGAAATCCAGAGATATTATTCGGTGATCCTGAGCGCTCGCAAATGTTCTTACAATTTTATACTGACTATGGTATGAATTATCTAAGGATATGAAGACCCATAGGGGCGTACTAACAAACATACTCAGCTCAAGGAGAGACTTGGAAACGAGTCAAGCCTTTACCAGATATTTGTGATGACCATTTATCGCGCGAAGGCTTAAGCTTTGTCAACGCTTGTTTCTATAATTGTGTCAAGGATCACAAGCTCTGCAACCAAGACATGTCTACTTTACCAACCCGCATCTTAGACATAGGGAGCGCTGGGGATGACAAAATTTGTCTCGCTGAATCAGAGGCTCTCAAACCTGAGAAATATGTAGCACTCAGCTACTGCTGGGGTAGAAATCCATCTATCAAAGCCTTGACCGGGAACCTGGAAGATATGAAGACCGGGATCGGACTTGAGGAGCTTCCAGCAGCTTATACTGACGCAATCGCACTGACTCGAGAGCTCGGGGTAAGATATTTATGGATAGATGCACTTTGCATCATCCAAGACTCCGAAGCCGACTGGGAAAGAGAATGCTCCAGGATGGCCGATACATATGCCAACGCTTTCTTGACTATTGCAGCCTCGTCATCAACATCTGTGACCAGTCACTTTCTACGGCCTCAGCTCAAGCCACCACCTCGAGCGGCTCGGGACCAGTCCGCGATCTACAGCGAATCAATGAGAAGCGAAAATGGGCCTCCAATTTTACTGAAAGTAAGGCTCATGCAAGCAACCGGTGCTCATTGGAAGTGGAGACCATCTCACAGAACGGATCAACAGCCGCTCGTGGAACCTCTCACTCAACGAGGCTGGACGTTGCAGGAGAAAGTCCTATCAACCCGGCTACTGTCTATATCCGTGATGGAAATGGCATGGACGTGCAAAGAGGCAATATTCTGCGAATGCGGATCGAAACTGAATCATCAGCGTGAATTTGGTGGAACGCCATTGAGTCAAATATCGCGACATGATGAAGCCTTCAATTTCTGGCACAAAGTTATTGAGAATTACTCGAAGAGAAACCTCACGCAGGCCGGCGATAAGCTTCCAGCGATATCTGCTATAGCCGCTATAGTCCAGAAGAAGATCGGGTCAGATTACGTGGCTGGTCTATGGACAGATAACATTGATCTGGATCTGTTGTGGCGGAGACCATCAGCCAGTAGGATTCAAGCTGCCAACTCATCTTACATCGCCCCGAGCTTTAGTTGGGCTTCGATTATGGGAGAGGTCGATTACCTGTGTTTTAGAAACGGAAAATGGCCATACGAGAAGGCGGCTACTGTGCTGGAGGTCAATGCAGTAACAGGTCCTGACGCGCCACTTGGAAGAGTCATCAGCAGCAAGATGATAATCAACGGGCCAATGGTGATGGGGTATCTTGAGAGTCGGGGCCCGTATGATTGGTACGCGGTGCGTCTTGGGCGGGCTCTTCTGTGGTTTTCCGCCGATACGAGCCTCTCAACAATTGTAAACGGCAGTGAAGTCTCAGTGTGCAGAAGAAGCCGTGAGCACAACAGAAGCGATGTTGCAGAGGAGCTGAAGCGACTAAACCGAAAGCGGAATTCTGGGGATACACGCCACCTGACTGAGCCCACCACGGGTAATTCAGCGATTCGATGCTGGGTGCTGAGACTTGGGGCATTTCCTTTCGGGGATAAGGGGCAAAGAGATCACGAGTGGCTAGTGCTGGGGCGGTCAGCAACACAGCCCGAGCTCTTCGAGAGGATCGGTCTAGGGTCGCTCAAGGATAGTCAAGAGGCGGAGGTTTTTGAGTTGGAAACGATAACGACAGTTGCGATAGTTTAAGTTGGTCAATGCAAGCCTCACCTTTACTAGTTGCGCTGAATGGACCAGGTAGCTGGCGATCATTCAACCGCCACGGCGTACGGGCACATACTGTACGTGATTGATAGTTATCACGATTGTGGGTCATTGCATTGATTAGTATATCCTTGCATGCATGGACAGGGGAGGCTGTAGGAGGAAAAGGAGCGAAATGCCAAGCAAGGGCGATGATGGATGGTGGGCCATAACTGATTGAATTGTCAGCCACCAGCTTACATTCCCCAAATTATTAGAGCTGAGACTAAGGTGACGCCACTGGAACGAAAGGGGCAGATGGATGAGAGGGGACAAGGAAGATGATGAGCGAGTGACTGTGTGTTTTTTGAGTTTCCGTGTATAGGTACGCGGTAATGAGATAATTACAGGGGCCTAAGACATGATGACACTGAGCAAACAGCTGGAGATTACCTGGACCCATGCCGTAGTGAAAACCACAACATTTCGGTCTGGTCTGATCAGGCCTAAACTCATGTCTCAGTGCAAATCGTGCGGGGTCAGAGAGCGAATGTGTAACATTTCGAGTGTTTGCCATTGGTTGCGTCGCAAATACGTTTGCTTTTTGGCCAGAATCTGGTGCTGCTTAGGTTTGCCAGGCACTAAATCCATGACTGACATGGGCTTCTCACTGTACCGTAGTGCAGTCAACCCAACCTAGCCGTACCGCTTTCACGGGCCAGTTCTGTTTGTAGGTACTGAGATGTGATGACTCTTTAATGACTCTTTGCGTTGGTCGGTTACACATAATTTCTCTCGCGATTTTTTCCCTACGAGAAAAACCATATTGTCCTCCCAACCTTTTTTTCCTTCTATCTCTTCTGTTCTTACGTCTCCAATCTGCATTGGCTTTTTTTTTTTTCTTCATTATTTTCTGGCGTGTCTTGGTTCTTTTTATCCACTTTTTCTTTTAGAGTTCTCCTTTTTAGCGCACTACCTACCAGCCATGGATGCTGGCTCTCGGGCCCAATCAGCTGGATTGGCCTGGCTTGAACAGTCCCTGGCCGAGTTGGAAGCTGGTAAATCCAGTTGGCCCGTCATGCCATCACTGATCAAACCTCGTCAACTGGAAGAACTGGAGGCAAAAATTAACTCGGTGCATCGACAACTTGGAGAAATCAACAAGGACGACGAGGACAGCGAGGCCCAGCGCCAAGCAAAACAAGACGAGTTGGTAGCTATCGAGAGTGAGTTAAGACCGCTTAGGACGGACTGGGACCGCACGTGCAGGGATGCTCATGTGGCGTACCGCCCCAAAGACGAGATGAAAGCAAATTCTCTCATGAACAACATCTTGAACCTTTATAAAGATTTCGGCCTCCCCATCAACGGCAACATGGGCGTCGACACATCAGGCCTAGGCCTCACTGGAGGCTCGCCAGATGCTGATCCGGACACACCGCGCAGGCCGCGAATGCGAATGAAGAGGGGAGGGGCGGTGCTCACCCCAGATCGCAATGGAGTTTTTGAGGTCCGATTCCATCACCTTAGCCATCCATCGCTTGCTTACGCGCCCTCATCGTCTCATTTTGCTAACCTTCATTTCATTTCGCAGTCAGAGACGCGTAAGAGGAAGCGAGGCCGCAGCTCCAGTATTGCTCAGAAACGCCCGCGCATTCAAGGTAACAGAAATTCCATACATTTCAATGCCGTCTACCAAAACAGACGCGCCGCCAAGAAGCACATCATTATCCGGGTCCCCGAGGATCCAGTGCGCCCGGCCAAGTTTTACATCTTGCGATGTGAGGATCACGACATCGACTTTGACGACAATCCATTACAGGCAGGTCTGGCGCATTTGTCAGAAGAGCATCAGCTTAAGAACCCTTCATTCGAGACTGTTGTTCAGCACTTTGGTTATGAGGTCATTGGTTGCGACGATGAAAAACTCATTCAAAACAACAAAGTCGCCAAGGAAGCCTTTCAAAAAGGTGAAAAAGGAGCGCGAGACTTCATTCGCGTTACTGATAAGCCTTCACCAAAGACACCACGCAAGAAGACCAACGCCGTGAAAAAGGGTAGGTCAACGCGCAAGTCTCAGGACTCTATCCATCCTCGCGACTTGGTTCCTGGAGATGTCTACATCATCTACTGGTCCGCGTCAAAACAGTGGTATTGTGGTTTGTATATTCCTTTGGAAGATCCCGAATCCCTTGGAATAGACGAATCGCTCGAGGCGATGGGGCTACTTAACAACGTACCGCCTTGTTATGAGTACGACAGCTCCAGCAAGTCATTCTCCTGGGCAGAGGGTTATGAAGATGGAGGAGAAGACGCTTCGGAGCAACACTTTCCGTTCATGTTCTTTGAGGGACTTGATTTTCCTGATATGTGCCATGTTGCTTGGATTCCCATCGGCGAAATTCAGCCTTGGGATGAGGGCAAGGCGTTGATGATTAAGCATAGCGACCAGGCTTTTGAATATCTCAAGCAGCGGGAGGCGGCTCAACAGCCCAAGCGGTGGGGTCCAAATGATGAGATTCCAGACCCGACTGATGACAGTAAGTATACTAACTGCGTATGAGGTGAGGTTTCTGACATAGCCTTTCCGTAGACTCAACGTCGGATCTTGCGCCTCGATCACCAGTTGCAGAGTCTTCGACAGATTTCCAACCTGCTCAGAACGCTGAGACCGTTACACCTAACACAGCCCCAGAAGCGGATGCTGCTGATCAGGCCGAAGACGCAGACGTGACTGGGCAGACTGAAGAAACACAGAAGGACACCGAACTAGCACCTGAAGAAGAGCAGGACACTCAACTAGTGCCTGAAGAAGCACAGGGCGCCCAGATGGGAACCAAGGAAGCGCAGGACACCGAACTGAAATCTGAAGAAGAGCAGGACGTTCAACCAGAGCCTGAAGAAGCGCAGAAGGACGCCAGACTGGAACCTGGAGAAGTGCAGAAGGATACCCAAATGGAAGTTGAAGAAGCGCAGGACACTGGACCAGAACCTGAGAAAGTCGCCGAGTCACCCGTACAACCCGATATAGTCGAAGACGAAGATATCGCCATGAGTTCAGAGGAAAACCCTACCGAGGACAGCGAGGATGTTGTAATGGAAACTCCAGAAGATGCAACTCAGGAACCTCTGCAACAGAATGACTCTCAGTCTGATGGGGACGATCAGGAAATTATTCTTGATACTCAGGAAGATCCAGCCGAAAACGTCTCCTCCCCGAAGGAACCGGAAGAAGTCACCGCGGAACGAGAGCAGGAAAGCTTATCTCACGAAGCAAGAGAAGCACGCTTACACAGTGTCGATTTAGAGGATCTCCTACTTGCAGGCGAGGATCTGGAGTTCCAGTTTTCACAGTCTGAACAGAGGGAACTCGATCAAAAACCGACACCTACACCTGCCCATGAGACAATTAGTCTTTCCCAGGCAGCAAATGACGTTGTCAACACGAAGCAGGAAGAAAGCTTGCCTGCCTCGCCTATACTCGGGAGAGCCAGTCTTACCAAGACGGAAAATGACTCTGGTGATGAGAGACGTGAGGCTAGTCAGCCTCAGCGCTCTTCTGTCGCTACGGAATCTTCCCACGATGAAACTCCACAGCCACGCCTTTCTTACGCTGATATGGGTCGCGCTTCTTCCTTGTCAGAGGGTGTTCCAAGCGATGTAGTTGATTCACGGCCGCAAATTCAACCTGCTTCGAGACGGGCTCGATCAGGGACACCTAATCACAACGCGCTCGCTGCGCAGTCACGTATGTCATCGCTATCAAAGTCACCTGTTGTATCTCGACCGCCCGCAATGTCGCCGCCAGCGACAATACCGTTCTCACCCACAGCGCCGCCTGCCTCGACGCCTTTACAGCTGCCAATGATGTCGCAGCCTCCGCCGTCTTCTCAGCCATCAGTACCACGGTCACCAACATCGCAACGCCCGCCTTCAGGGTTACAGCACCCAGTCTCATCATGGCCGCTGGATAACTCATGGGCATCGACGACACCACAGCGATCAGGAGCATCACAATCATCGGCTCTTGCGCGTCGGCCTGCACCATCTCAGCCAACGGCAACTTCACAACCGCCGCCATCATCACAGCCTCCAGCGGCCAGGCCCTCGACATTATCCCCCCCATCTTCATCATCTCAACCATCGACTTCGGAGCCACCGTTCCGTACCCCAACAGCGCAAGAGCGGCCCGCAGCGCAAGTAGCAATGTCTCCTGGGTCTGCTGTGTCTAACAGCGAACAGCCAAACAACGCATGGCCGACTTCGCAGACATCGCAGGTCCTGGCACCTCCCCGCCACTCACCAATAGAGAGTCCACTGCCAGAAGATGCTCAGACTCGCTCTGAAGTCTTGAGACATCCTCATGCAGCTCAGCCCAAGACGTCTGCGCAGGCTTTGGGAAACAGTCCCCGACCTAGCGAACTATCACGTGCGACAAGGCCCAAGGCATCATCCAAGTCCTCAGTTGATATTGTTTTGCTTAACCGTCAAGCAGTCAATGAAGCGCGGTCACAGTCCATGACAACTGGACAGCAAGCAGCAACAACCAGTCCTACACAGATGCCAGCAGCTCATGAAAGACATTCAGAACCTGCACAGATAACGTCAATGCCGCCAGCTATGTCTGCTGCCAGACCTGAAGCCCCAGCTGCGCGCCGCCCGCTCCCTCGGGAGAGACCATCACCTAGACCTTCTGCTTCACCGGTAAAGAGCCGTGAAGCCCCCAAGGCCATGCCGTCACAAAATCAGGCTCCCAGTGCTTCTTCCCAACATCCTTCTGGGGCCGGGAACACTCCAGCAGCTCAGCCAGAGCGACCAGCACAAATGCTCTCAGGTCAGCCACCTACCAGATATGCTTCTCGACCTACGTCCCCGGTACACCAAAACTCACCCCGCTTGCCGCCCATGAATGTCCCTCTAGATGGACACTATCCCCCCAATACAATGTTGGCCCAACAACAGGCATCTTTGTCGATGTCTCGACCTAGTTCTTCGGGACATATTGGACCACAGCCTGTGCCTTCTCCTCGTCTGGCTGCTCGGTCTATATCGCGACCCGGCTCTGCATCCCAAAAGCACATTGTATCACAGGCTATGCCTTCTCCCCATCAACTAGCGGCAGAAATTCAGCGACCTCGGTCCGGATTCCAGGGGCATTCTGGGTTGCAGCCGATGTACTCTCCCCGACAAGTTCCTAGGGAAATCCCTCACCGCGTCTCAGCCTATGAAGGGCATCCAAATCATCGTCCTGTTCCATCACCGCGGCGTCCCTATGCTGTTCCAGTGCAGCCGCCCGCATCGCCTCAACAATCTTTCAGTCACTTTTCCCATCGAAGCCCTGAGATGCAGGGACAGGGCTATGTTTCCCAGCGTCATTATGCATCAACTGGGACCTTGTCACCGCAATTGTCAACAGCGGAAAATCAATTGCCACCCATTCGATTACCAAACATCTCTCGTCCTCGATCTGGAGCCCAGACAGCTCCAAACATGATCTCGCCGCCGCAGACCGCTGTGGGGGCTCGACCAGGACACTATACGGGACATCACCAGCCTACGCCGCATATTATGCAATCGCCGCGTCTATCTGCGGCCGAAATCTCTCGACCGCACACGGCAAGCAACATGCATCCTCCCCTGCCCACGATGTCACCAATCCTAGGGCACACAGAACCGCGTAGACCAAACTCAAGCTACGATCAAAGCATGCCTTTTCACGCCCCCTTGCCCACCATGCTGCCAACCTATTCGAACACAAGCTACCAGTCGTCGGCACCATCTGCACACCAGTACGCCCAACCTAATCGTCCTCAAGGTCACATTCGAAGACATTCCGAAAGCGCTTGTCACCCCCAACTCCAGCAGTATGCACTCGCAGGCAGTCCGCAGATAGCAAACTCTACGCCACGGTCCTATCAGTCGCCTGAGCTCGATCGGGGTCCGAGACGTAATCCGGCTCAGGATCCCTTCCTCCCTGAACTCTCTCCCCACGTTCGTAAGGCACTTCTGGAGCAAGTTAGAACAGACAGACTCGATCTTATCCCCTGCGACTTTCTCAACAACGAAAACAGGTATCGATGCCCTTTTTGCAAGGAAACGACTCTGGAGCCAACAGCGCTTATCGATCACATCAAGATGAGCTGTCCAATGCTGGAGGAGAAGTATAAACAGGACAAGAATGAGCAGGCCATTGAAGCGAATCAAGCCAAGCGAGTCAAGCAAGCTAAGAGAAAGAGTCAGATGGCCCAGGCAACGAAGAATGCCCGAGTTCGGAGTTGATTTGTTTATTATTGATGTGATTATCCCACTAGATATCACTTTGCGAGCCTGGAAGGAATGCCGTGGAAATTGGCTGAAGCATCTCATTGCTTTTAATCAGTACAGTCGCGAGCTGGTGTTTTTGTTATTAGTTATTACAAAAGTAGATCCTTGATCTTGATAGGCGTGTTGAAGAAGAATTATGGAAGCATAGGGAACACTTTCAGCTAGTCTTATGGATCAACAGTTCACATAAGTACTCTAGAGTTGGTAATTTATCACGAATCAGTTCTCATAACACAATCTCCGCTGCCATCGTGACTGAAAGCTTTACTCGTCACTTGTTGTCTGACACCTGATGCTGTCATTGCGGACACGGGAGTTTTGCTGGGGTTCTTCGATTATAAACACTAATTGGCTAGAAATAGGTCATTGTGTTCATGGTTTGGTGTCCCAACGTCGCACATCGTCACGCGAAATGCAGTCACAACATTCAACGCCTTCACTTCTCGTCTGTTTTTGTGACATTCACTTCCCCGCCCTCAATACCAACAGAGTCGAAGCCCATCTGCGCAGTATCGTATCCATTGGCCTGGAGGTATTCGCGGAACTTTTGATCTTCAACGGTGATGGTGTCTTGTCCAACGTGGGGGATGCAGAAGAACACGATGAGAGCTGAGAGGATGCAGAGACTGGATGAGACCCAGAAAGGGTACTGGGCTGACTCAGTCTTGTTTCCTCCAGCGGCCTGGATGTAGGGAAACACATAAGTACCGACGAAAGCACCAATCTTGCCAACGGCAGCGGCGATACCGTAATATCGGCCACGGACACCAGTGGCACATGTCTTTGCAGCGAGAAGACCGATGTTGTTTCCGGGGCCGAGTTCACCAAGAGCTTGGAAGATTCCGAAGACGACGGCAAAAGCCGCGATTTGGGTGGAAATCTTGTCATAGACACCGGCCATGATGAATCCGACGATGGCTTGGAGAGTAACACCGAGGATGAGAGTGTATCGAGGACCGATCCAGTCACTGACAAATGCACCGATGAGAGTACCTGGCAGATAGAACATGTTGATGACAGTGTTCCAGCCAAAAACAGTGGTTAGGTTCGCGCCATCGCCATAGATACCGGCAAGAATCGAGGAGGAGTAGATACCGAAGGCGTAGGAGGAAAACTAGTCACGTTAGCAGATGGTAGATGGTAGTGGCTTGCAAACTTACGTTGTAGAGGAACCAAACCAGACTGACGCAGAGCAGTCGGAACCAGTAGTAGCGCAAGACCAGCGAGTATGGTGTTTGGCGTCTCATCGACTCCTTGGCGAACTCCTCGGGCTCCTTGAGTCGAAGTCGAAGGACGAAGAGGACAAGAGGGAAGACGACTCCAATGCCAAGACTTGTCCTCCAGATGGTGCTGTAGTGGCCGTTATGGCATGCGGCGGCAACAACGTCTATTGAAGGTTAGTTATAGTAGGATTAGGATTGAGGTGTATCGTACAAGGGACGAAAGCACCAATGACGAAGCCAAAATCGATCATTGAGTTTGTGAAGAGAATGAACCAACGGTTTCGGGTTCCCTTCTTCATCTGACCGCTGGACTCGGCGCATCCAACGCTACCAGCTGGATATTCACCTAGGAGGCATTAGCACCAAATTCATTCAATGAAGAGTTCGATATATCTCACCTCCGATACCGATACCGACAAAGAATCGCCAAGCAGTCAGCATGTTGAACATTCCGACTGCCTGTCCGTGCCAGTAAGATCCAGCTGCCAACGCAGTGAAAATGATGAGAATGACGGTTGAGACCATGAGCGTATTGGTTCGCGACCAATGATCAGCAAGGAAACCAAAGACGAGCTGGCCAACGACTGTTCCAGCGAAGGCGATGTCAGAGACGTATTTGAAGGCATTAGAGTTGGCATAGACATCTCCATATTGTCGCTTCAAGGTGGTGTTAACAGAACCAATGACCTACTCACGTTAGAAATGAAGCACAGCATATTCACAGCAGTTCTCACGTTGTTGATGTAGCCATCTGAGAAAAGACCAGCACCGCAAGCAAACACCGGGAGGGCAGTCTCGATCCAAGGCCTTTGAGGAATGTCGTCTTGAGGCGTATGCACTTCATCATGAGGGGCTTCATCAGAGGCATCGCCCTCGTGTTTCTTCCCGAACCCCAGCATCGTGGATGCGCAAGGGTGTATTGATCACAGGTGATAAGGTTTTGTTTGTCGTGGGGAAGAGTGCACGCCTAGTCACTGTTATAAGAGAGGGAGCCAAAGCCACGGTCACGTTCAGATTGACTAAGGCGCCAAAGATCGGTGGTGCCTCGGGTAAGGAACAAACAAAACAAAAGGATTGACTCGGTGTCACAGGATTTCTAGAATTTAAGAGAAAACGGGGGGGCATTCGTGGTGGAGCAATGGCTTCTTGTCAAGGAGATAAGGTCTGGCGTCTGTGGAACAAAAACTGGGCACCGAGTGATTGACCCAAGTTGTTTTGAGAAGCTGGTAATGTTGCACCAACGAATCATTACGTACACGAGACACAAGAGTCGAACATCATAGGAGAGAGTGACCGGAGGTAACCGAAACGGACGGCACTCGGCGCGTTGAACCAATTGACTTTGATGATGCACATGAATCCTTTCTTGTCGATTTATTGCCGAGTTTGGTCGTTGGTGGCGCCAATGCGTCCTCTGCTCGGCTCAAAATTGCCGATGGGCCTGTCAGAGCGTCCACTAGCACTGATATGTCAGGTGAATACGAATATGCTCTATCACCTGTCAATTACCACTCAGTAGCAGTTGACGAGACCCAATATTTGCAGGAGATTTCACCTGGGGGAGGGTCACAGAATGGCTGGGGAAGAGGAGTACCGTCGTGGAGTTGGTGGCAAGCCAATCTTGATCAAGAAAGTCAATATCTCAGGAGAGAATGATTGACATTGACTAAGCGGGGATCAATTAACATTGCTGATCAAATATTACAAGGGTCAGTGCATCATGCATGTGATTGTTGGTGATGAAAGATTGGGCACACGACCCATTCCTGCAACAAGATTTGGTGACAGGCACTAATGCAGCCAGCTTGCAGTGAGAAGTGTACATAGAACCTGAGTATATCCCCCACATCATCCAATAGATCCGCCTCTATAGCTCAGTGGTAGAGCGTTGCACTTGTAATGCAAAGGTCCATCGTTCAATCCGGTGTGGAGGCATTTCTTCATCTTTTGCCATTTTAAGCAAATTACAATTAACATATCAATTCTTTTTTCTTTTTACTCAGCCCTTATTAATAATAGAGCTTTGGATAATTTTTTCAACATTTTTTTACTTATGCATATTTTGAAAATAATTAGGAGAATAAAGTTTAAGTTCACAGCCACAATATGCAGAGAAGAACATCTTAAGACTCTAGTTCATGCGAGGCGCATACGATGTCTAATCTATCTGTCTAGCTCTTTCATAATATAATACATATCTCACAGAGTATACACCAGCTTTCCTCCAGAAACCTTGTTTGCTCTCAATTCATCCAAGCCTTTCAGAATACCTTCAAAGCCACTACCGCCGCGGTTGACAAACGTCTGAGGAGCCTTCACCTTACCCTCCTCAAGCAGCTGTCGGCTGATCTCCCAGAACTTCTTCGCAAACTCAAACTCTTCAGGCTGAGCAGGAGTCTCCTGTCCCTTGAAGAATCGCTCGCCAAAGATGGAATACATAAGCGTGACATAAGGTCCATCGACCTTGGGGTTCACGTCGAGCAATTTTTGCTTGTCGACTGGCAGAAGAGTAGCGTACTTGCCGCCCTCGGTGCTGATAGCTCCAGCGCTGATGGCGACGTCTTGCGCGGTGCAGTCCCAGGCGAGCTTGAGGGTGTTGTTGGTGTACTTGCGAATTTCCTCAGCAATGTTGGGCGACTTGTAATCAAAGACTGCCTCGGCTCCGAGGGACTTGAGATAGTCGAAGTTATGAGGAGAAGCAGTCGCGATAACCCTCAGCCCCGAAAGTTTGGCGAACTGGATACCGTAAATGCCAGTTGCAGTGCTACCGCCGTGAATGAGGATAAACTCATCGCTCTTCTTGCCCTCGGTGGGTAGAGGCAGTCCCAGTGTCTTGTAAAGGCCTTGGCCCTGTGTCGGTGATCAGCATTTATGCTTTGTACTCGTCAGGTCAAACTTACTACCGTGGCAATAGAGATACCGAGAGTAGCAGCCTCTTCGTCAGTAACATTATCGGGCGTCTTGATCTGTACATCTCCTTTTGCCACAATGTACTCGGCAAAGCCTCCGTTCTCGAGCTGAGTTGCATCACTAAATATGCTTAGATGAAATTAACCTAACGATACCCAAATACTGACGCTCCATGGACTACACCGCTGATCCGGTCGCCCTTCTTGAAAGACTTGGTGACCTTGGGGCCAACTTCCTCGACTATACCAGCGTAGTCACATCCGATTCTAGAACCAGGTTGAGTGAGTCCAAAGTCGATATGCTTCCAGTCGGTAGGGTTCAAGCCAACGGCATTGACCTTGACGAGGATATAGTCGTCTCGGAGCTTGGGCTTCGGGACCTCCTGGATAGTGGCCTTGCCCTTCTCGACGAATACGATAGCCTTGGTAGTCATGATGTCGGTTTCTGTTGTTGTAAAGCTGCGGTTTTGTGAGTAATGATAAGACTTGCTTGGTGAATATCATGAAGATATAGAAGCTCTTGAGGACATTTATACCGCTAAATGGCGTCATGATAGTGGAACTTAGAATGGCTAGCATGCGTCATTGATTGGCTGCTTAGACTTTAGTTGGTGTTTAACGCTATCCCCACGGAACGCCGATTACCAATCTATCTTAGCTTGATAATCTGCGGGGACAACGCCGAAGCTCGGAATGTCTTCTCTGTATAACTTCCTATGATTTGACTTTAAGGGGATTGGTGATATCATGGTGGTACTCAAGTATGGAGTTGTTATGTAAATCGCCCCGAGGATGATGTGTAAGCAATCCTCCTAGGATCGTGGTTAATCTGACTTGGCACCGATGGCCAAGCAAGTGACAAAATTTCTTGGTGACTTGCCGTCTGCATCCTTCTACAAGCTCGCCAATTGTCCACATTGCTATCGCACGCTTTTTCCCATTCTCTTCATCCTCCTGGAGACAGCCTAAAAAGTTACCTGCATCTCAAGTGGCTGAACACAGAGTGAGCAGGTCAGCTGGTAAAATCAAATGAAGACATTACTTACCCTCGGATCCATATTCGTGGCCTTGTATTGCATCGCATACTCAGAAGCCACGACAGCCATCGGCTTGATAACCATAGCATCGACATGCAAACCCTCTAGATAAGTTGAGCTTTCAGTGTAACCTAAGATATGGTAAAAATATCGCAATTTTCATTATGAACAATGCCATTGCATTCCACTAGAGGAATGAAACAAAGCGAGAGTTTAGCAACAGCCTCAGTGAAGCTTACCATCAATTCCACGGAGTGCGAGGCTCGATACTGAGTCACTTGTCAGGGTACAATGCAAACAACATTGGCGATTTCATTGTCTCAGTCTCAGAACTTATGTTTGTAAGCATCACCAAACTTTTGTGTGAGAAGTGGAAGACCTAAGATTTATCATAGCATCATGAAGTCAGACGGGCATGAAGGTCTGACTCTAGGTATGCTCTACACTTTTATTGTCCTGTCAGTCTTAATAGCAGCTAGAAGAGGGAACTCATTGACAAGAAATATATATGACTGCAGTTGGCTTCAGCGTCGCCCTACCATGCAAGACAGTTTTGAGAAATGGGCCAACTACAGCAGCGATCAAAAACCTTTTAGGGTTCTACATATATATGCTGGAATGATGATCCAAGCTACAATAACACCCGAACGACCTGACAGTGGCTATAATGAGTTGTTGACTTCAAGTTGCATGACTCATCTGCACAAATGTCAATGGGCCTCCTTACTAGAACACTGTGCCAGAAAGAGTATTGGCATGCGAGCGAGCCAATGGGGATTCACAAGAATATCAGTTACCAGGGTCTTGGGAGGAAGGGGTTGGTAACTGCTGGACACCGGAGCATTCATTCCCCTGGATTTCTCTGCATTAGTGCTGACATCAGCCCCCACAATTGTCCTGGACAAACAAACATCTGCAATGATTGCCTTCTAATAACAGCACATTTTTCGCCAAGAGATTTTGTAAACACTTTTATCAGAATTATCATAGCAAAATGAACACCTCACCAGAACTGTTCGCCCAGCTCACTAACAGATTGCGTATCTGTTATCAAACCTTTGGCGACCCGTCAGACCCTGCGGTCATACTCGTGCCAGGCAATGCGGATTCAATGATAGTATGGGCAGAAGATCTTATCGAAAAGCTTCAGTCCTCCGAAGATGGCAAGAAGTACTTCGTAATCCGCTTCGATCCAAGAGACACGGGCCTGTCAACTGAGTTTCCCGTGCCGGGCGGATACTCAATTGGAGATATGGCAGGCGACATTGAAGGACTCGCAAACCACTTGAACCTCAACGATCCCTCAAAGGGCTTCCATATTGTTGGTCTGAGCAAAGGAGGTCCAGTCGCCTACACGGTCGCTGCGCGTATGCCCCAGCATGTCAAAAGCCTGTCGCTTCTGTATACGTCTCCCGGCGTGAGTCCTGAGCTCCCAATCAAAGGAGGACTTGATCTCGGATTCCAACCTATGCTGGCCGGCTTCGGAGATCAGAGGGAAACGGCCATCAAAAACGGAATGACCGTTTATGACGCACTCACAACGCAGCCTGATGCGGAAGAGAGAAAGGAGGTGGAGAAGGCGGTGAGACGTCTGGTGGAACGGGATATCAAAGGTGGCACATTGTACAGCAAAGCTCCGAATCACGGCGCCGCGTCGTACGAAAAAGATGGCTGGCCAGGGGTTGACACGCTCATGATGATCAAATGTCCGACCACGGTTGTGCAAGCAGGCAAGGATCAGATCTTTGGGGAGATTCACGGAGAAGCCTTGGCGAAAGCGATACCCGGTAATGTTGAGTATGTGCTTTGGGAGGATGTTGGGCATGAGATGCCACGACGCATCTGGAGCAGAATGGCCAAGGTGCTACAGAAGAATTGGGAGAGGGGCCAAAGCGCGGACCATGTTGGCGCCTGATGCGGAATAAAGTGATAGGTTACTGGAGAAGATGAGCTTGTTGTGTTACTGTCCAATGAGGGGCGAAGTGAAACAGGACGACCAACAGACCTTAATATTGTTCTTTTTGTCCGATGCCCCTGTCTATGCGCCCACCAACAGAACAATCAAGCCGCCATCTAATAGTTGTGAGACAAAACCACCATCCATAGAGCAATCGGCCATATTTCCATGACAATAATTAATTCCTCCAGTCGAAACACACGAATCAGTGATGGGCACTCCACATGATGCGGTCGGCTATTGTGACCTGTCCAACATCTAATGCAGCCAAGTGCCCGGAAGCCGTGATGATTCACGGGCTATGAATCATAATCTTGGACATTCATCCGTTTTCGTTTGAGTTTGTCAGTGTCTCGAAAGTAGTATAAAGGAGGGCGACAGGAACCTTCTCAACCAAAGTGAACCATATTACTCAACATATCTCCAGCAACTTTCGTCAACCCCAGAATTCCTCAATATGTTGTTCAGTATTTTATACGCCGGGCTTCTACTGCCCATTGTTGCAGCCAAGGTGTCATATGATGGCTGGAAAGCCTTCTCCATCACTGCTCGCCCGTCCGACAAAGACATCCTTAGCCTTCTCAAAAGCATCGATCACGTCTCTTTGAGCTGCGGGCAAAATCACGACGTTTTTGAGGTCGCCATTCCTCCTGGACAGCTCGATGCCTTTAAGCGTCTTGGCCTGAAAACCGCCGTTGTCAGCGATAACATGGGTGCCGAGATCGCCCAAGAGGGAAGCTTTGGACTCTATCAAGGTCATTAATCTCAGTGATCTTGTCAATTCTACTTACTGATGGTTGGTAGCTACCGCCAAACGTCCCGGTGCTAATGCAAAGCTACCCGATAAATCTTACTTCAAGTCCTACCATAGCTTCGAGCAGCACCTACAGTTTCTGTCCGATTTACAAGCCTCGTTCCCCAAAAACTCGGAGGTTTTCACAGCCGGTATGACTGTACAGAACAGAGAGATCCAAGGTATTCACCTCTGGGGCAAAGGCGATAAGGGAAGGAACCCTGCCATCGTTTGGCATGCGAACTCTCACGCACGCGAGTGGATCAGCGGAATGGTAGGAAACGTCCAACTCAGTAGAGAGTTGTAGTATTCTAACGCTTTTCACAGACCGTTGAGTACATGGCGTGGAGGCTTGTCCAAGGCTACCAGAATAAAGATCGGCTTGTTCGAGATACACTCAACAACTACGACTTCTACATCATTCCGATTGCGAACCCCGACGGTGAGTCTTCAAACGTCTCTTCAAAACGTGGAACACGGATGCTGACTGCTTCATAGGCTTCGTTTATACTATAACTGACGACCGGTTGTGGCGAAAGAACCGCCAGAAGCGAGCTGGTCAGAAATGCATCGGCACCGATCTCAACCGAAACTGGCCTCATGAATGGGATATCCCCGGCGGTTCCTCCACTGATACTTGCAACGAGACATATCGCGGCATGAAGGCTGGCGATACTCCCGAAAACAAAGCTCTCGTCAAGCATACGAAATCAGTTGCGCAGAAGAATGGCATAAAGTCTTACATCGACTTTCACTCTTTCAGCCAGTTGATCCTCCTTCCGTACGGCTACACTTGCGACACCAACATCACCGATATCAAGGAACAGATGGAACTCGCTGGCAGCGTTGCAGACGCTATCAAACAGGTCAACGACTTGAATTTCTACTACGGCCCAACTTGTCAGACCATCTATCAGACTTCGGGTGGAAGCAGTGACTGGGTTTATGATGTTGCTGGAGCAGAGCTTGCTTGGGGTATGGAGCTTCGGCCCCAGAGGCTGAGGGGCAATGGGTTTGTTCTTCCACCGAAGCAGATTGTTGAGTCTGGTGAGGAGATCTGGGCTGGGATGAGGTATCTCTTTGAGAACTTCTGAACAGACAAGCTTGGAGACAAGCCCCAGGGCTTTCAAGGGTAGTGCAGATAGAAAGCAGTCAAATTGCTCCGAGGTTGGGGCTAGTCACGCCACGATCGATTCCTGACTTCACGAGCAAAGTCTCAGATAGTGATTGAATGCTATCTTGATTAGAACAATTTCTCACAAATACAATTAGGGAGTACTTCAACAGAAGACATGAGCATTGTGCCGTGTGCTGGTCAACAAGTCCAATAAATGCTTTGTCATCAAGCAAATCGGTGAGATGGCCGAGTTGGTTATGGCGCCAGGTTAAGGTCAACCTTAACACCAATTCCTGGTGGAGCAATCCTCCTGGGTTCGAGTCCCAGTCTCATCAAGTTCGTCTTTTTGCATTTCCTCCTTTTTATATCCAATTCCTACTCAAGAAACACGAACTGACCGAAGTGGCTGTTCCCCTCGACTCTGTCTCCAGTTGTTGGAAACTCGAACAAGATCCTTGCACTCCCCAATTAACCATGACCATCTCGCCATGAAGCTTGGAGTAACTTCCCAGCTCTCACTGAGGTGCGGCTCGCCCCATAAGATCATTCCAGCACTTTCCTTTGGTTGATATCCTCCTTCTAGCCTTTTGAGCGGCGGTGCAACGCACCTTGATGACGGCACCGCAGGAGGTAAAATGTACACGAAATCGCCGACCAAATCCTCCAGAAATTGTATGTGATCATATGTGAGTTGCTTCCGAATGAGATTATCTCGAAGATCTGGGAACGGTAGGATATCGATCCAGCAAGGATGCGGCGAGTTCATCTGAATCTGAGTTGGTTCCAGGCGAGTTGGTAGTGGTAGATGTTCTCGGTCAAGAGGTCGAACGACAGCAATGTCGCAGTATGTCTTTGATTGGGGTTCTAATGTTGGGAAGTCGAATGCCATGATGAACTCTGCAAACAGCCTCATCATTTTCTTGTTGGTCATCATGCCTCTGCAAACATTGTAGCTGATGAGATGAAGAAGGCGATGGTCAACAGAGATGACTACGCCGCTGTTGTAGCTAGATTGGTTTGCTATGATAAGTTGCTGCGATGGCGACTCTTTTTCTTCTCTGGACAGCGCCATATCCTGGGCTGAAGCAGTCTTGAGTTCTTCTTCGGTGTTTGCGTCGGTACCGATCCTCCAACGGTCAACTCGATAAGGTCGTTTGCCTGGCCCGTTCCTATCTTCATTCTCTCTCCTCAAGCGTTCCCCTACGATGACGTTCAGTACCAATGCAGCTCAGCGGAGATAAGGTTTCATACTCCGTGCTCTCTGATTCAGCCGGTTCTGTGCCCGCTTACGAGCCTTGCGCTCCTGATCATTCTCGGCATTCTCCATTGCTCCTGTTCAAGGGTTTATTGTGGAGATGAGATGTTTAGAATTAAGGTTCCAATTAGGAAAAAGAAGTCATCCATGAAACTGAGATATATGCCAGTCCTATAAAGGAAAAAGACGTCAGCCAGCTGACAAAGGGTTGAACTCCGCCTAACCCCCAAACTCCGACGCTAAGCCCAATCAGGCAGAAACTGTCACTCATGATGCATCATGATCCCATCTAGCGGCCCGGAATTAAGCGGCAGTGCTGAAAGTTACAAGCTTGTAATTGTCGTGCATGCATCACTTGTGAAACTGAGCGGTCTGATTGGTGCTTTCAGGTTCTAAGTCACGTAAGTTTAGTCGCAAGATCCAGCGTTGTTGAAACATGAGGGTGATGGAATTAAGTATATAAGTCAACGTTTGGTCTATGAACTTGAGAAATCAGATCTCCTACAAGCTTCTTTCACATTACAACACTTATTTCTCAATACTCCATCTCATATTCCAACACAGTATGTCTCGGTACTCTGCTGCACATGAAAACCCTCAAGGTCCTGGCGATGCCAGACCTACCGCTCTCCAGATCATCAAAGACGAGGGCGTCGAAGGCAAGCTCAAGGGCAAAGTCATCGTCATTACCGGAACTTCTTCTGGTATTGGTATTGAGACCGCCAGAGCTCTTGCAGAAACTGGCGCCAGATTGTTCTTGACTGCAAGAAACCTGGACAAGGCAAAGAAAGCCTGCGAAGAATTCTTCGATGCCAGTCGAATGGAGTTCATTGAGCTCGACCTGACTTCCTTCGACAGTGTTCGTACTGCTGCCAAGAATATATTGGATAAAACCGACAAGATCAACATTCTAGTTGAGAATGCTGGTGTCATGGCTGTCCCAGAACTTGAGCTCACGAAGGATGGCCATGAGATGCAGTTCGGAGTCAACTACCTCGCCCACTTCTTGTTCTTCGAGCTTCTCAAGCCAGCCTTGCTCGCGGCCGTGACTCCCGAGCTTAACTCCAGAGTCGTTGTTCTTGCTTCATCAGCACACCAGCATGGCGGTATCAACGAATCCGACAACTATAACTTCCAGAAGGGCGGTTACGACCCATGGATCTCCTATGGTCAATCCAAGACGGCTGATATCTACCTCGCTAATGAGATAGACCGTCGATACGGTGCTCAAGGCTTACACGCAACAAGTGTTCACCCCGGAGGCATCCTGACCGAGCTTTCAAGATATATTCCCCCAGAGCACCTACAGGCTCTTGCTAGTAGCGACACGGCTAAGAAGATGATAAAGAGCCCCGAGCAGGGTGCTGCGACGACAGTCTGGGCGGCTATCGGCAAGCAGTGGGAAAACGCTGGAGGAAGATATCTGGAGAACTGTGAGGAGGCGCCTCCAGCGAAGCAGATTGATCCTCACTTCGGCAGAGGGTATGCGCCACATGCATATGACCCAGAGCGCGAGGCTCGACTTTGGGAGGACGCGCTCAAGATTGTTGGCTTGGCTTGAGGGTTAGGCGATGGCCACGAGAGTACGGAGTAGATAGTAGAGCCAATTCAACTCGATGTTGATCATTTCCAGACCGCCATCGTGATCGCCCGTGCTACCAATTACCCCGTTCGATGGGGCGGGCTGTTGCTACAGAAAATGTCGGGGATGGGTCCTGCAATACGTAAAACGAAATGTGCTGTAGCGCGTGAAGCCATGTCTTAGCTAATATGCACAGTGCTCGTTTGGTTAATCAGCCAGCCACCTGAAAGTCAGCTCTCAGGCAACCAAAAAAGGACCGTCGAACCCCTGTAAGAATGGCTGGTTGTTGCGCTGAGGGTCCGACAAATGGTACTCGTTGTTCCGCTAAAAGTTCCATGCATGGGAAGCAATCAACTAATTCACAAGGCTTACCGCCTAGCAACGCACTAAATCGCGGAGAGGTTGCTGTGTCACCCAGGTCTGGAACAAAACACGGCAGCGAGATTCGATAGTGCATCTTTAGGTCATCTTCCATCAACGCGCAAAAGCTCAACGAGCGTCAAAATTACATGGGGCATGAGTTCGATCCTCAATCTGACCGCGACCGCTTCTTTCATGTGCTTTTCAATTACTCAGGGTCAGGTCATTACGTATCCTAATTATTTTGTTGAGGCCATGTGAATCTGGGCATCTGTATCACTCACTGCCAATCTAGCTCATTTGCCAGCATTCCTGCATTAGGCCACTGTATCCTTGCACCCAAGGAGGGGAGAGTAAGACATTGTGCTCAGCTCGGATGCGCCGTCTGAGGTCATCGGAGTAACAGCGGGGTCATCATGCAGATCTCAGCTCGTCAACAGAGACACAATATCAATAGATTCACATGCGCTCTTGGCTTAGACACGGCTCATATGTATAAGAAGATGCCTCTGTCCTTTGTTGTTGAGGGCAGCAGCTCGTATCCAAGTCCATATTCCCTGACGCGATAGCAAACTTGATCCAAAATGCTTCCCTCTTTTCTCCTCTCATCGCTGCTGTGCCTCTCCACAGTCTCAGCTCTGCCCAACCCAATTATCGCTGAGAGAGCAGCCTGCGATTGTACCGGCACTCGCGACGGTGGATCCAGCTCCAAAGATTACATCTGCCGTGATGCTCGGCTCGGCCCTACGAAGCTTCCAAAGAAGCTCCCGCTGAGCGCAACCGTGGAGAGCTACAACCGCTTCGGTGGCCTTACACCAATTCAATTCCTCCAGACATGGACAGACGAGAAGGGCAACTACAAATACCCTCCGCAGAATGGCTTCCAGCTTGACGCGAATGGCAATGCCATCAATGGCAGCATGGTTCTCCAGGTCGGAACTCTCGTAGATCGATTTGGAAGCGAATACGGTAAGTCGCGTCGCCTCAGTCCAACAGCACAGTCTAACAGCATTTTAGGATCATACGTCTCTGCTGCCTCTGCTCCCTACTCGCAAAGAGCTCTCCCTCCTTCGAACTTGGCTACAAACCCCGATACTCCAGACTTCCCGTACAACTACCACGTCTACCGGGTCATCAAGCCTCTTACAGTGGTTGGAGGACCTATCGCGCCTTGGTTTGGCCAGCCCGGTCTCGGAGCGCAGTTCTTCACTGGCGAAACTGGCAATGTCAAGTTTTTGATTGAGCAAAACTATTTGCAGAAGGAGGATCCGTCAGCTCTTGTTTACAAGTCTGATGGTTGCGCATGATTATTTGGGGTTTGATTGAGGTGGACTTTATGTAATGATCTTACGACGAACGACTTATGGATACGTCAGTCCATTCGAGTAGATAATGTCAACCGGGAACAATAGTATCGCTTTTAAGTGTTCCATTCATTTGAAGTCGGCATGCGACAAAATACGCGGTGTGATATTGCATTCAGCTATGATGTCTTCAATCGAGGTCCGCCAAGGCATCGAGGGAAATATACTTCAAGAAATCAATATTTTTCCGGATAACAGGTTAGTTTTGTAAGCATTTTGATCATCGCAGACACTTTCGTGCTTGAGCCAGGCGGTCATATGGCAACTGAATATGCAACCCAGAACTTGGAGGCTCTTGGTGCAGCAAATCGCGGCCCGGAAATATGCAGCCTGTCTGATGGGGAACACATTCTTGACAGAGAATGTGACGTCGGACGAAACGATCTGTGATATCGCGAGGCTCGCCCACGTGTCCGGTCCCAGTTTTGACGCTCAGCGGCATAGAACTTTCTGATGTGACCCGAAGAGGCGTGGCAAATGATGCAGTCAATTGGTGCATCTTCAACCCCTCCAGAAATATCTTCGCGCTGCCTCGAACTCTGTCAATTGTGGCAGGCGACGATTGAGGCACTGGGAGACATTCGTCTACTGGTCAATGATACTGTGGTACTTTCGCTTCGACCAAGCGAAATGAATCTCCCAGCCACCGCATTTTCAACCACGAATACCTCAGGTCTCAAAACCATATTCTGCCAAACCTCCGTTTTCACCGCCCCAGTCTTCAGTATAAATTTCTCGTCGAGCCCGCCCAAGCTACGCTTCTCTTCTTCTTTTCTCCTTAGCTCTCTTTGCCTTTTGGCTTAGATCAAGTGTAGTATCTGTTCTTTTCAGTTTAATCTCTGAAAGATGTCTAAGGACATCAATCGTGATTATTCCTATTTTTGGCCAACGGATGGCTTCCTCTATGCTTGCATATGATCCCGTCCACAGTGTCCCTAGTATTACACTGCCTCTAGGTGACGCGAACACGCGCTTGTTGAGCTCCATCCCTTTTCATTACTTTCTCGGGCTTGCCTGAGTGGTGAAGAAGAGTGTAAATCGTAAATGAATGTGACGCAAAAGCGCGTTGAAACGCGCATGTTTGACTCTCGTCGCGCTTTGTTCGTTTCTCAGTAATCCGATATTCATGGTTGGTCATTCGTCATGTAGGCATTGTGAATTTTGATGTGAATAAATAATGACGATGAGCTCCGATGTACACCATTCTCTAAAGGGAGCTCGCTGCCCGTGAATCAATTTGCTATTTGCCTATGAAATACACTTGGAATATTTAATTTGCGTGAACGACCTGTTAGGTTGCGTCTGTCATGACGTCTTTAGGCTTAATTGTAAATTGGTTGAATCACGTTTTGCATATCGCTGATAAACATTTCACGGCGTGAAGTATCTTTCACATAGCTGCGCGACGCCATTAAAAAGACACATTTAGTTCTGAGATCATTGAAGCATAACGGCATGTGATATCACATTCATCCTTTAAGCCTTTTCTCTTATTTACAGCATCAAAGAGCATATTTAGGGTAAGGGATTTAGCCTGGCAGCGAGAGTCACATCAGGAGATTACCGGGTAATTTCCTGTCAATCAAAGTTGCACACATCACGTGCGCTCCCGACCATACAGACCCAAAACTTTTTTGCGCAAACAGGGGGCCACGACTTGTTATTCACCATCAGCAAAAAGAGAATTTAACATACAACAGCGGGGATTCGCTGGTCGTCACCGACCCAACTACTAATCCGCCGGTTAGTGGCTTGACTATGGGAGAGCGGACGGGATCCCGTATTTTCCACTACCTTTGGTCGTATGTGCTTGGTAGACCAGCAACTGCAGCTCATAACAACAGCAGTTCCCCTACTGGTATTGTGCATCAGAAGACCTTTGTCAGCACCTCAGTTTGTGCTGGAAACATGTCAGGAACTTTAATTTTGAAATCGTAGATCTAGAGACGTCAGCGTGTTGAAGAGCCTGAAACCAAAACGCGCATAAACGCCAACAGCCGTCTACATCAGACGATTCACTACCATATCACTGGGCCATCTCGCTTCAAACTTGCATCGACATGACATCCCGTCCATCCAAGCGAGCAGAAGCAAAGAATGCTTGGGAATGTAAACACCGGGCCGCGTAACCTTGTTTCTTGAAACAGGGCCACGGGAAAACTCGTCCATCTTGGTCAAAGCTTGCATCCATCTCCACCGTGACACGATTCATACCACGATGACATCTTGATCCATGGCTATTGCGATCGAGCGGTTCGCATCTTCCCGTTTCCCTGCTCATCCCAATGCAGTAATAAGCACTCGACCTCTCCGGCTTGGTATTCATAGCAAGTCATCTGAACTCGGCCGTGCCGCAAATATTCTCCTATCTATAGTTATCGTGATGATTGCATGCTGCATTGCCATTATATGCTTAACCAACCTTCCGGGAAGCTATTTTAGTGCGGTGCGATCAGCAGGAATTAAACCGGGACGTTTCCCTCTGATAGATGAAAAACCCGTGAAACAGGACGAATTAAAAGACTAGTTTTCCACGAATAAAACTCTAAATACGCGTTTCGCCCATTGTTTTCGCATACTGTCACTAATAAATCTGAGGCGGCTATGGAGACACAGTACCCATCCAATCTGTTTCAGGCAAGATCTCGCCAAGACGTTGCTTTAGACAGGCGGATAATCGGGCTCACGTTCCGATTTTTCTTGGTCATTTTTTGTTCCTGAAACGTGACACAGCGAATCGACAGGCGGCTCTTCTGTCCGGTGGCCGAAAAGACGCAATGGATCTGATGCTACACTGCAGACCGAAATAATGCCAGGCGTTACGCCAGCTCTTAAGGCGAGACGCTTGGCTACTACCCCCTTTAATATCGGTCCTCTTGATGTGGCTGTCGATGACGATCATAGCTCCCTTTGGGAAACACGGACGCTGATACTCCTTTCGATAGGGCACGAATTCGTCTAGTTCCAGTTTTATCTCCGTCGACCAAAAGGGTCACCTTGTTTCGTGTATAGACTCACAGGAATAGATGCTCCATGTAGGTATTATAGATCAGATGGCTATATAAACGTGAGAGAGTCTTGTCGAGATGTTTCCAAATCAGCCTCCCAGCAAGCTTCTCTTCACTTCTCACCAATCGACCTTTGCCCAACAAGCCTTCTTGTCTTTAACAGTTTCTAAACCGCAAACATGCACTGCAACCTCTCTCTCGGTGTCGTGGCTGCTCTCCTCGCTGGAGCCAACGCCCACGGTCACGTCGCAAAGGTCATTGCCGGTGGCAAGGAGTACACCGGCGGTATTCCCCACGGTGCTCCCTCTGACGCTGTCGGCTGGGCCGCTGGCAACCAGGACAACGGCTTCGTTTCACCCGATGCCTTCAAGTCCGCCGATATCATCTGCCACAAGAGCGCTAAGCCCGTCTCCAACGCCGTCGTTGTTGCCGCTGGTGATGTTGTCACTCTGAAGTGGGACACCTGGCCCGAGTCTCACCACGGCCCCGTCACTGAGTACCTCGCTCCCGTCAGCGGTGACTTTGCCAGCATCAACAAGCAGAGCCTCCGATGGGTCAAGGTCGCTCAGAAGGGTCTCAAGTCTGGCAGCAACCCTGGTGACTGGGCCTCCGACGATCTCATCCGCGATGGCTTCTCATGGAAGTTCACCGTCCCCAAGAACCTCAAGGCCGGTAAATACGTTCTCCGACACGAGATCATCGGTCTTCACTCTGCTGGCCAGGCCAACGGTGCTCAGGCCTACCCCCAGTGCATCAACCTCGAGGTTACTGGCAGTGGCGGCCAGGCTATCAGCGGTGGTGGCGACTTCACTACCTTCTACACTCCCACCGACCCTGGTATCCTCTTCAACCTCTACCAGTCTTTCTCTTCCTACCCCATTCCCGGCCCTGCTGTGCGAACTATCTAAGACGATTCCGAGGTGGTGCAGACAAGTGGTTTCTAGTCCCAGGTCGAGCTTGGGACCAAAGAGCTGGGCAAAGGGCATGCCTTAGGCTCTGATATTCATTGGTTGCCGCTAGTCGGTTCACGTTTTCACAAGCAGCAGAGCTGTGTTGTTCATGTATCTACATTTATGACCCGTACAAAGTTACCTTATGCAATGAACATATTGAATTCAAGCAAGAAAGCCTCCCCTCAGGTGATTCATGTAATACGATTGATGTCAACGAGCTAACCTGTCAAGTCTAAACTCGCATCGTAATGTTTCATGCGCTAAAAAAAGGTTCCCGTTGGCGCTTAAAACTCTGTCCATTTTAAGGATTTCAGGCTGAAATCAGAGCTTATTGCCAGCATGTAACATAATGACTATCTGCATATGCAATGCAACCCTGAGTATGGGCTGACTTGCAGTCGGGAACACCGATGCAACATGTTTGCAAGAATTGCTGTCCGAACTTGGAGCCAAGGGCGTTCATAATGAGCGAGAAAAGCTGCGGCATCATGCTAAGTTTATTTCTGAAAGCTGGAAAGAGTTTCACTGAGATACGGCATCTATTTCCGGAACATGAGCATGCCTTTCTGTTGGGTCTCAAGTCCCAGTGCAGTATTGATTTACCCAAACATCGCAATCATTTATTGCACATGCAACTCTGAGGTCATAGGAAAACTATTTCCCCTTGTGATCTCTGATATCTAGGAATCCTTGGTCTAGGTAAAATTCAGTGGTGCTGTTAATAATGCCTGCAAAGGCACCCACTGCGTTCTCGCCGACTTTCATGTCATGCCCCTTTCCTCGATAAATGTAAGCACCTATTCTCAAAGATACTTCGACGGTTTCGTTTTCATAATCCCTAAGCATCTATTTGGAAAGAAACTGGTGGTCTTGGCTGCTTTGTTGCGGACATGTACATGGTGAATGAGCGAAGAACAACTATGCAACATCGAACGTATGACAGCTCGGCCCGGGTCACATCTTTAAATGAGACAGTGAACGTTGCACGTGACTGGTTCAGGACACCTACCTTTATAATCCCAAGGAACTCTCTATATCATCGGCGAAGAGTGGTGTAGTGGTATCTACCTACAACCTATAAACCTTCTAAAATCCGAACCTAAAATCCTAAAACTCTCATCCCTACTCCACTCTTCGCTTTTTGAAGGTCACAAGTTCGAGGTTACCATCGACAGTTCTTTTTTTGATCTTTTAGAGCACATAGCATATGCTTTGATCCGAAGTATTGCTGTCGATTAACCCACGATGCATAACTGCCACGATGATGAATGGAGGCGATTCCTGACGTAGCAAGTCATATCCTTATGTAGAATAGTTCAGAGTAAATCCATAGCGCAGGATATGCATAGACAGACTGCCGTTACCCTTAGGTGGCTTAGAATGCGTATACAAAGAGGAGGCGAGGCGGGTATCTATCGCTTAGATGGTAATAGTGATATTGTCTACAAACGAATCATCATGACTAATACCAGTTCATTCAACATTGAAAAAAGGCTTGGGTTATTATTCCAGGGAGTTATAATTGATGGTAGGTTGTATGTGCTGTCAAGCAACGGATGATGTTGTGAAATAGCTATAGCGTAATCCCTGCGTAACCACTGACACAATATCCCAGCACCACTGCCTATGACGGACATGATTGGTGCCGTGAAATATGTATTGTCCTAGGTATGAGATTGAATTCACCAGCCTCGATTCGCTGTTGGTAAATGTACCAGTAGTTTTGTCCAGAGAGACTCTTTAGTAGCTTCTATCGTTGATGGACCCCCCTTTTGTATCATATTGAAATGAAAGTAATAAAAAAGAAGTGAACAATGGTACGTGTCTTACATCGAATAACGGCCATGAGCCTCCGCTCAAGTCTGAACTTCCGCCTAAGCTGATCGTTGTCACCGTATATACCAATATGGAACACCCGACGAAGAAAATGAGCGCACAACAGGGGTTTAAGACGCCAGTTTCAACGAAAGTAAGAAAAGCCAAGAGATTAAATCTTGCAGGAACTGTTCTCAAAACTCAAATTCCGCAGTCCGGAGCCCATTCTGCTCTAGAGGGTTGAGACGCTGGCTTCCTCGACCAGGCCCGGGACTGATCCGAACTTGGTAGGTCTAAGGTGTACGATACTGATAAAAACATTGTAAACGAAAATATATAGCATGAATGTATACACACAGGTCATTAAAAATAGTGTGATTAATCTAATTTAAAACGAGGGCGCTCTTTCAGCATTTTGATGCCCGGGTTTCCCTTGCGCTGGCGGCAACCCCCTAAGCTCTATCGAATTTTCATCGCTAAATGTGCTCAAACGCTCGTGGTGCACTCTAACTTCTTCAGTCTTCATCACGCCCCCGGAACTCATAGACATCTTAGTCTGGCTTTGGCTTCCGTCTGAATCGTCCTGGAGATGCTCTTGCGATTCTTGCCATCCTGACATGATGACGACCGAATTTCGACCATAGCGTGAGTTGGAGTTATATCGCTTTGACTGCCGAGCATTTGATGCCCCGGCCGTGTTTCTTGTGTCGACGTCGCGGGGCGTTGTATTGGTCCTGTTACGGTTATAGCTTCGTGAACTTGACTTGAGCTCTCGATACAGCATACGGCTATTTAAATTAGCAAGGCGGCCACATAAGAGGAAACGGAATTGTAACATACAGAACTGGAATGCAGATGGCCATGATGGAAGCGGCAGGCTCTGTCAAGGTCCAGATCGTGAGGTCGACGCGGTCATAGGTGATGTCCTCACTCTTCATGCTGACGACCAGTACAGCCTTGACTATACCAGTAATTCCAGCGCTTTTAGTATGTTAGTAACTTAATACCGTATGTTGATGGTACTTTGTACTCACATAGCACCTAAACTCATAGCGACAGCAACGCCGAGTCGCTCTCGTCGACGCATGGTCATGCGCATCAGGATTACCCAAGGTAGTAAAGCAAGAACAAAGTCGAGAATCGCGGAGTAATCTGAGAAATGTAAGTCGCTAACCACAATCATTGTTGATATCCAAGGACCTACAAGCAGCGAATAGTTGGAACGTGAGAAGCTTTGACTTGTCCCAGCAAGTTCCAGGCACGTTGTGATTCCAGACCCTCTCGAGAGGCGTGCATTTGGCGAAACCAAAAATCCAGACCAAGTTCATCGAGACGTTGATAGTGACGATAATAAAGATGAGGAAGTACTTCATCCATGCGTTGGTGGCAATTCGGTATAACGTGATGGCGAAAGATGTCTTGCTGATTGTCGTAGCCATTATACCAAAAGCAGCTCCCACAATGGTCGTCTTGTTTATTATTATGAGGTTCTCGTCACTAATCGTAGCTGCGTGTCGTCCGAAGCCGAGAGATACGAGATATGTGTTGAGGGAGACAGAAATGGCGAGCGCCACCTATACTCATGACATTCACTGGTCAGAGACAACATCAAGAGAGGCATTTGCAGATAACTTACCCAAGCCGCGATAAGGCACCAATCATCATGCCATAAACCTTTGCCTCTCCATAGTTTGCAGTAAACACGCAGAAACAACAAGATGAGACTCAGCAGGCACAGAGTCCATATTGACACCAGCAATCTGGTTCCTCGTTCATCTTCCATTGTAACGCTCAGAGAACCAGAAGACAAGGGAAACAAAAAAGAAGCGAGACGTCAAGACATGCGCGGCAAGCAATGGTGGGAGAGCCAGACGCCGATCCGGATTTCGGGCAGCGAACAGCGGAGATCCTGGGAATAGTGGTCCCTGGGGTTTTATATACAACGCCACAGTGACACTCGGCCCCCCTTGGGATTAACCTTGATCAAAAGGTCCCTTCCGTGGGCAATCGTGTCATCAACATCAGATTCAGTAGGGATTGACAGACATAGCGGCCGAACAGATGGATTCATTACTGGGTCAGCGCTTTGATCGCGCACCCACCAGGATAGGGCTGCAGCGTAGAGATGGTGGCAACAGGAACCTCTGCAGCGCCCCTTTTTCTCCTTGTCGGAGCCGACTTTACTGGGTTGATCAATGAGAATGACTACAGTGGTCATTGCTAAGTTTGGAATGGCGGACCAGTGCCGCTAGACTGGTGATTTTGGTGCGTTGGTGGCTGAAAGTTCGGAGTAAGGCCCTTCTGCCGTCCACTGATACGTCGGAGAAATTCGTTCCCAGCTCAGATCTAACAAATGCCTGTCTTCAAGAGCCGAGTTTCCCGCGGCCGACCGGGTATAGCATGAGAGGATCAAACACACTGCCAAGCGAGACGGGCATTTATTTGAAGACCCTTTCCCCTTATTCATAAACCCGGTGAAACGAGATGTGTTGGCTGCTTACTGACTTACCTGCGACGTGTGTCCATGCTGATCGGGGTGCAATTCCACGTGTGTACCAAGGAACGACGATGATCTTTTCTTTTCTCGAGAAAAAAACCAGAATCATGGGACGAACCTCGCATGAACCGTGTTGACAGATCTTACACGTCAGAAAAAGCAAGCGAAAGGACCCGAGCCAGATTTAATTGTCGCTGCTCGGCGATGAGAACCATGTCGGATGTAACCCTATCCGTAGAGGAGCAATGATTTACAGGCCCTTGACGGAAATCATGGCTACAGAGTGGGGACGAGTCCAGTATTTTAATGAACCGAGTATCTTTGCATTAATCAGTGATCTGTCAACGGAAATTCATCCCGGAGCTACTAAAGGCTGATTACAACCCACACAATCGTGAGACCTAGAGAAAAGTTCAGCATCCTTCGTCTCTCTAGCTTGCTCACCTACCACCAAACGATCTCACCCAAGGGAAGTTTTTGAGGTACCCGAAGGGCGCCAAGACTCTAAAAATATGGATTTCGTTTACGAATATCCATCGATGGAGCGGGGGATTATCCGGATCCCCCATATCACTCCATAATAATGGAGCATAATGCCCATAAGCTCTTCCGAATTGACCAAGAGTGACTCCATTTCAGTGTCCGTCTCTTGGGGCCGTCCCTTAATCACGCAACAACCCCTTAGCGAGTGACAGTCCAGCACCGGCTTTTCCCTCTAGGGGGGGCTACGTCCGCCAATTTAGGGCGTTTTGAGCATCTCCTAGCCCTAAGCTTAACTAAGTTGGGATTTGGTTGCGATGTTAGGCGCCCCTTTGCCTCTAGAAGCAATCTAAACTTTCTGCCAAGTGCCAACGGCTTTCCTTTCCCTAAAGGCCCCGGGATACCGCCTTCCGGCGCAGGGATTGAAGTCAGTTGGTCCAGCGAGTTCATGCTGGCGAGTGTTTGTGATGGAGAATTATTGCAGTAGTCAGTAGAGTTACTTGATGGTTGATGGAGCAATCCTTTTTGGGAGATTTGCAACTCAACATGTCAATGACTCGAGATCGGAGCATCATGTGGGGGAGCTGAACCTGATCGCCCACATTTGGTCGGTGTTGGAGAAAGAATATGGAAGGGATCGGCAGACCTACCAAAGCATAATTCCTCCCAGGCAGCGAGATATTCTGTCGTGCCCGCTCTGCAATTCTTTGCGAGCAACAAAGTGGCAGTTCTTTTAGGCGAATGCTGGCTCTTCTTCGGATGCACAATCCCTGGGGCAAGAGAATGTAATCTCACTCAAGTCATGACATGGTAGACCATGTTTTTTGTATGGACAATGCTCCTTTCTCACGGCCCACCATGCCTCGACGTCCGTTGAACTTAAAGACAGCGATCGACATGACAAGCCACTGATGCAAGTTTCTTAAACGAGCTTCCTCATTTTTCTTCCAGACGTTGTCTAGAAGCTCAGCTCCCGATTCTCACTGCACCTTGTCCCTTTGTCAAAACGCTACAAGATGCATTCCTCAAACACACTAAGCCTGCTCTTGGCGGCTTTCTCTGGCTATGCTTCTGCCCTTCCTCATTACCCTGCCCCTCCTGTTCCTGGCGTTCCTGGCGATCATCATCCTCCTCGCCCTCGAGGACCTCGAGGACCTCCCAGTCCTCCTTCCCCTCCCTCTCCCTCTGCTCCCGTTCCCGGCCCTCCCCACGTTTCCCCTCCAGGCGTTCCTACTGCTCAAGTCTGCAACGGAACTTACCAGGGCAAGCATGACACCACGTATGATCATGATCTGTTCCTTGGCATGCCCTATGCCCAACCTCCCGTAGGCCCGTTGCGTTTCTCTTCACCCAAGTCTCTTGATAAGGCCTGGAAGGGACCTCGATCTGCCACTGAGTTCGGATGGATGTGTATTGGTTACGGCTCTGATACCCAGAGCCTCGGTAACCCTGTCAATGAGGACTGCTTGACCATTAACATCGTACGACCTTCTGGTGTCAAGGCCGGAGATGAGCTCCCCGTTGGCCTTTGGGTTCATGGAGGCGTCAGTTCCCATCCTATATACCCAACGCTATATTATGACTAACAATATGACAGAGCTACACCAACGGCGGTTCCCGAGACCCTAGGTACAACCTGAGCTACATCGTTGATCAATCCGTCAAGGAGGGTAAGCCCATTGTCGCTGCCTCCATCAACTACCGTGTGTCGCAATGGGGTTTCCTCTTCAGCGAAGAGATGCAGAAGGAGAATGCTGGTAACTTGGGCTTCAAGGATCAGCGCCTGGCTATGAGATGGCTTCAGGACAACGTCGCGGCCTTCGGTGGTAGCCCCGACAAGGTCACTATCTGGGGAGAGTCTGCTGGCGCTCGATCCCTGGGTATGCAGCTTGTCGCTTACGAGGGCCAGCACAACAACCTCTTCCGTGCTGCTGTTCTCGAGTCAGGTAGCCCTGTTGCGCTGTTCAATCAGGCTTCTGATTGGCAGGAGTACTATGACGCTCTTGTCAAGAAGACTGGATGCGACTCTGCCTCCGACAACCTCGAGTGTCTTCGTGGCCTTCCTTGGGAGACCCTCAACAACATCTTCAACAACACTACCCCTCTCGACGTCACCGCCCCTGCTCTCACTGCTGTTATCGACGGTGACTTCATGACCGCCCAGGCCTCTAAGCTACTTCTGGCTGGCAAGTTCGCTCACGTTCCTCTTCTCATGGGTAACAACTTCGACGAGGGTACTGCCTACGGTAAGAAGGGTATCAACACTACCGAGCAGTTTCAGTCCTGGCTCTCCAGCCTCGGCCTCAGCCAGACTCAGGTCGCTACTGCTACTACTCTGTACCCTGATATCCCTGATGAGGGGATCCCCGCATCTTTCATTGGCCGTCCTACCAACGAGTATGGCTCCCAGTGGAAGCGTGCCGCCGCCTTCGCTGGTGACTTCCAACAGCACGCTGGACGACGTCTCTTGGCCCAGGTCTACTCGGCCTCTTCCATCCCCGTCTTCTCCTACCTCTGGAACGTTTACGTCAATGGCCTTCCCGCCATCCTTGGAGCTACCCACTTCCAGGAGGTTGCTTTCGTCTTCAACAACGTTAAGGGTGTTGGCTACAAGCCCAACCCCTTTGAAGGCAAGCCCGAGACTTTCGTTGAGCTTGCTGACCTCATGAGCAAGATGTGGGTTTCTTTCATGCACGACTTGACCCCCAATACTGTCAAAACTGCTCCCAGCCATGTTACCTGGCCTCAGTACACGCTTGCAGAGCCTCTTAACATTGTCTTCGATGTCAACAAGACTGACCTCAGCTACACTGCTGTCGACAACGTCCGAAAGGAGGAGGTTGCTTTCCTCCTCGACAGTGTCTTTGCTTAAGTTCGTGGCCAGCAGTCAACACGTTGGCTAGCTGTAATGTATAATAGGGTGCCATTCTAACATCCTTTCTAGGGACGTATCGGCCAGATGGCCGAAGCCCTTTAACACTTTGTATATAGCTTTATCTTCCATTCGTATTAGCGAGCATCTAGCATGACTTGAATAGATCAAAACATCACATAGTCACACAATATGTATCTGTAATCTGCCATAGTTTCTCATTCTAGAGCAACTCATTCGCCCATTCTACGGTCGACGCACTCTCTAATTACCAGACTCTACCAAATTCGCAAACACCTTGCCTCGGTAACGAGCAACAATCTACTCTCTCTTGGTGAAGACCAGCTGGCATTCATCCTAACAGCACCATAAGTCAGTGCACGATACTGTTACTGAGCATGCAACAAACTTACCTCAGGAAACAAAGTAGCAAACACTCTAATCTCCTCCGAACGGCTGGTTGCATGATGCACCCAGTCTAGTTCTAGAGAAGCCTTGCCAATCATGGCAGCCATAGTTAGCGGAACGTACTTGCGAGCCAAGCAATCGTGAGGACCAGCTCCAAAGACAAGCCAATTCTTTGTCTTGGACTCGGCATCACCCGTGATCCATCGGTCAGGGTCAAAAGTCTCAGGGTTTGGATAGGCTTGAGGATCGTGAAGCGCGGGATAGCACGTAGGGACGATGAGAGTGCCTTTGGATACTGTGTACTTGGGTGTGACAGGGAAGGATTTGGTAGCCTCATAGGGGACAAATATGACAGGGGGACGATAGCGAAGAAGCTCTTTAATGACTGCGTTGGTGTAGGGAAGGGACTCGAGCATTGATAGCTCGAACGGTTGGTGCCTGTTACCGTTTCGTACAAGGAGATTCTCTTCTCGAAGACGATCGAGAACATCGGGGCGTTGAGCGAGGACCTGGAATAGCCACGTAGTGGCGCTGCTGGAGGCATCTTGGGAGGCGAACAAGAAGGTGAACATAGTCTGCCCGATTTCATCGTCTGTAAACTCACGGATCAAGTTTCGTGGTTTCTCAACTCCCTCTTCTCCCGCAGCAATACGATCGTAGTATTTCTTGGACTCCATCATGTGCAAAACCCATTGATCAACGATACATCGTGGCTCAGCACCAGAAGCCATATTAGCCTTACAAGCTGCAGCACACTTTGCGAACTCAGCCAGCACAGCATCTGCTGTACGTTTTCCTTTCCAACACTTTGTAAAGGGGATGTAGACAGAGAGAGGTACGTTGACGAGCTCAAGGGCAGCTGTGACCTCATAAAAGTCGTCAGCGATCTTCTCAACAGCATCTTGAGATATGTAATCTCCAAAGAACGTTCGACAAGAGAGAGCACAATTTATCTCTCGGAAAAGACGCATGAATGCCATAGGCTTCCCCTTGTTGGCCTCGCTTGCTGCTACGAACCGGCCGAAGTAATCATCGTATACCTTCTCCTGGACGGGTAGGTAAGTGCTGAGAGCTTTGTTGACAAAGAGCCCGTTGAGTCCTTTGCGGTACTCAGTATGTGCCTTGCCTTGAAGGAAGACCCAGGCGCTTGGTCGCAGGAGGGTTTCGGCCATGGGGACGATGCATGGTTTGGCGTATGTTGGGGACTTGAACACTTTGTGTGCGATATCTCGGTCGGAGGCGAGGACGACGAACCTTGCGAATGATATAAGCGGCTTTTATCGCGAAGAATGGGGCTATGACTTACTTGTGGAACACGGAAACGCAACTCAGAGGACCGCTAGCCCATTGAGCAAGATAGTGGTCGAACTTGGGATAGAGTGCTCGGATGAAAGGGCCCATGAAAGGGATCTTGAAAGCTGGACCGGCAATTGGGCCCTTACGCCAAAGATACATGCATTGATCGTATGCAATCAAGACAACTAGGATCGTGAGGAGTATTTGAGTATTGCTGTAGCCATCAAGGTAGCTTGAGAGCAGCCCATTCCCGTTGGATATGTCATCTTTAAAGGTTAAGCTGGCGTTGCTGACAGCTGCCTCATCTCCGGGGCTGATTATAGATGCCATTCTGGGAACGAAAGTGAACGGGGCAACTAGTCTATGTATTGAAACTGGTACAGATCTGGGGGAATAGAGGTCTTATAAGATAGGACTCAGATCATGCTGGCTCTAGTACAGGGGTCGTCTAGGAACTTAACATCCAGTACTGATCGGATCTTACAACAAGAATACGAACTCCCTGAGCATGCCTCGGGTATTAGACTGAATCTCCAATACAAAGGATTTGGCAAATTTGACTTGATACGCCTCCCAGTATGGTCATCGAAATGCGATGGGCTGATATTGCCAGATTCGAGATTACTGCATATGTACTAGACTCCGATCTGAAAGGTGGAGAAGGTGACCTGTGTATCCATATCACATCAAATCTGTCTCAGTCCTCAATGTGTCGTAATCCAGTTCCCCAGAATTGGTATCACGCCATGCATAGGATGACCCGTTCTGCCAGATGTTGAGTTGCATCTCCCTCCGCCGAGCGATCTCCAATTCCAGTAATAGACCATCAAATTTCATCTTGAATTTTAGCGGTATATTCTATTCCAATGTCATTGCTGTTAAATCTGTTCGGTGTCGTTGGTCCCGGTTATAGCCTGATGCCTCGCTTCCTTATTACCTCTGCAGCATCACTTGACGTCGCGGAGACTAGTATCTTTTAGGACTAGTCTCCGATCGAAAATTGTGAAACCGAATACGCAATTGCAGCGCCGCAACAGCCAATTCGCGAATCAACGTGTCGTACGTTTTTCGAGAGTGTCTCTGAGTTCGTTTTCAAGATTGTGAATTTTGTGGTAATTATTTCAATTGATATTTATGCGTGCTCATGTCAGAATTGCTTCCCACTGCTGTCGGAATACATCTGCTCGCTCCGTCTGTAGCCACAGAATATTCTGTAAATGGACAACAACATCATCCCAAGATTGCAGACCCATAGCATTTGCCGCAATCTTGGCTGCGTATATCAGCCATTGAATATCTGTTGGGTCCGTAGCCGAGACAATTGTGACTGAAAGGACCCAGATCTGCAAGGAACCGAAGAAGACGTTGCCCGTTTTACCTGCTAAAGGTTGGAGCTGGCTCTTGAGGCGCTGAATAATACTGTTGGCCAACTCTGTATGCGTGTAATAAGTTGTGCCGTGTATGATAAGCATGTAAAGTGTCATGGCGCATCGTAGACACTCCGACTGGGGCGAGTCCGTGAGTGGCGGGATGAGCAGGAGCTTATGAACCACGAAACATGTAAGATCGTGAAGTTCGGTGCCCAATAAACTCAAAGCGTTCGGTTGGTGAAATATGCCGCGCAGTCGAGTCAAGATATCTGCTATGTCGCGATCGAGATGGAGAGTGTCAACAACAGGGTCTTGTATTTCAAGGAAGGATGATGCGAGAAGCCATTGCAGTGTTGGACCAACTCCATCTCCAATTCCGAGGTCGTCCTGTATTGCATATTGAGGAGAGCCTGTGACGAGCAACGATACCCTTTGAAATCAGTTCATCAAGTCATTCGCGGTGATAGGAAGATATGACTCACCAAGCAATCATCCTCGCGGTCAATGGGCTTACTTGTTTCACTTGATCAAGTCCACCTCGGATCCCAACAATACGTTTAGCCCCGTCTATATGCGCTCTACTGGCTTCAATATTCCCCTTTCCATGCTACACTCAAGAGTCAATCAACAGAGTTATAGTCGGTAGCCCCGAAGAAATTACTCACTTCAATGGCAGCCAAGGTGACAACAGAGTTCAATGTCTCATCTTGAATCGCCAGCAACGAACTCCCTATCTTCTTCCGTATTAGAGATACAGAATCTACCATGAGAAGTTCTGATATAGGGAAGCCCTTCTGGGCACGCCTCTCTTCATCTAATGACGCCGTCTGTATAGAAACATGGAATAATGCTGGATCTGCAAGAGCCAATGGCCACCAAGAGACGATGAATGGATTTGAGGACATGTTGAGATCCAAAGGGTAATATTGAAAAGAGATATTTGAGAGAACTAGTCCTTGAGTCAGATATTAGACCATCTTGAAACTTGGTAGACAATGCTTTACAGTGCTGTATCAATCGTTGAACGTGAACTCTGGGAAGTCTGGTCGCTGGATATGAGTCAAACGGATCGAAGGAATTGCCAGCCGGTGCAAATAGCTCCATTGAGTCTTGAGAGGCTGAATCTAAGTCTCGGCTCTTCAACGAATACGTCTTCACCTCAGACTTCTCTATCGACCTGCTCCGAGCCGGCTGTTCCGGTGTTGACGATGATGTTGTCGATGATGAAGACAAAGGCACATTTGCGTAAATACACGTGACTTTTCTCTTGAGGCATCGTGAACATTTGGGAGTTCCGAGATCGCAACTGTGTTTCGCCTTCGCGCAGGCATTACAAGATCTTCGGAGCGAGGTTCGCATGGTTAACCGAGACGAGTTAGATGATAGTGATAGTAGAGGAGGAAGTTTATTAACGCGGTAGCAATCAAGTGGAGTTGTCAGTGAAATGGTCTAACCTCTTTCGGGCCTGACCGTTAGGTGACACTTTGGCCAACTAGACTACCCTGTACCCTGGCAGGGATCGACTGATGCATCACGCAAGCACGCAAGGCATGCCGCTTCTGGTCGAAACAACGAGATCAACGCCCATTTATTATGACCTCATTTACGCAACTACGGTAGCTATCATTACCTCTTGAAGATAATTCGGCGAAACAAAAACGCTAATAGGTATTTGGACAACTTGCCGTGCGGGTACACCAACCGATGCGTAAGCCGGAATAATTCCAAGTGAGGAACGAGAAATTTAACGAGGAACGAAAATTCGGGGGACAGCCCCGCAGCAAATCAGCCAGGAAAAATACAATAGTGCTCCGAACTAAGACCTTTCAAGTTAATACCAGTTACATTTACCCTGAAACTTTCCCTTTCCAGTGGCAGACGTTGCATGCCAAGCATCAATGGAACTGTGATACTCCAAGAGGCTGCTCCTGGACAGGTACGCATTCTTAAGCCAGACCAAGCTGCGATCCACTTGTACCTAGCAAGCAGGCCTTTAGACTCAGATGTGACCAGCAAAAAGGTTATTCATGAAACTATCGTACATACTCATACAGAATCTAAGTAACTCATAATATGACTGAACCGAGCGACGATATGTCATTCTCAACTAGGAGCGTTAGCTCAGCTTCTATGTATCATCAACCTGAAACGTACAATCACTAACATTCCCATCGGGACGCCACTAGTCCCATTTGGAAGAACCTTCTCCATGTTTGGGAACATCATCGCATGTACGCCCGCTCGATAAGACTTACGCCATCAGGTCCCTGGCCAAGCCCGGGGCAAAAGACGCGAGTCTGATGCCATACAGATCTCGGATCAGGTTGAGCCTGGCCTGGCACTCTTTGACTTGCCACGGGCTACTATGCGGGCTTTCGATGGCGATAGCAAGTGGCCAGACCAGATGGTACATGACGACGCTCTGGCGTTGCGGTACGGGAAGTGGGATACCTTGCTCGTTGACTTCTCCCATCAGATAGGGCAATACACTGCAGAGCCTTTGAGTCATTGAAACAACTTGCTTTTCAGCGATGGTGGCGGTGGTCTGAGCGAGCTGAACCTGCGGACTGCTCTTTGAGTCCACAAGCCGCAGGAGGGTTGCCGCACATACATGCAGCCTCCCGAAGAACAATATGAGGTACATGTTGAAGAAGACCCACGTGCACGCCGTCCATCGCGATTGAAAGCTGACCAAAGGCTTATTATTCGGAGTGGCGGGTCGTTTGTCGGCTGTTTGCTGAGGTTGTAGTCTTGTAGGCATGGCCTTTTCAATCATAGCCAACTCAGCGCCGATTGCCAAGGCTTCTTGGATAAACGGAACGAGTAATTCCCGTTGCTTATTCGGCGTCGATGTCGAATCTGCACTCGTGATTCGCCTAGCTGCCCTGTAGAACTGTCCAATTCGAGTGACGACCAGGGCTAAGCGGATGACTGGGTTTGATGTGTCGAGCTGTGAGTCGGGAATGACCAGACAGTCCATATCGTCCTTGGCCATGAGTGAGGGGATTTGCTTATTTTGTGTCTCAGCATCCATGCTATAAGGGTCCTGTTAAGATCTACTAACCATTTGAGTGAAGATCCATGAATGCAAGTTTGACTCTTCGACATTTGTTATCACGCGGTGCCCGACTACGTCGAATAACTTGGAAATGCCGGCCATGTGCACGGCCTTGGTCGTTTGGCCTTGGCACTCGATATCCTCGAGGGTTCGTCAGCGAGTTGCAGATCATTGCAGCACATGACTTACCTCGATCATGCCCAGCAGCATCAGGGATGCCAATGTTTCATCTTTCAGGGGCCGCTTAGATGCAGACAGATCTCTGTTGACAGTCCTCAAAGCAGCCCCGTAGTGGTATCGTGCGGTGACATAGAGCGTTGACGACTTGTAGTGTCTCGAAAGCGACATGTGAGCTGCAGCAAGGAGGGCCGGGCGTATGCACGATGTCCGGCTAGAGCTCCTGTACATGCCCTCTAGAAAGTCGAGGTGCCCTTTGATGACGCCTGGCGCCGGCAAGACGCAGTACTCGTGCAGGAAATACGAGATGGACTCATCCTCGAACGAGGGTTGGGGTTGTCGACAAACCCCTGAGCCTTTGGACCTCGCCTTTTCGTAGCCGAGCCCAATGCCCAAGACGAGGGTCTTCGCGGAAGAGCTGCCGGGCTCATCGCGAACCAGGCTTTGTCCAGGCTCTCCGTGGAAGCGGAACGCTAGTGGTCGATCATAGCCAGGGCATGGAGCCTTGTAGAGCTCGCAACGTCGACATCCTGGGCGTCTGCCATCACACTGGTAGGAACAGGTTAGGATAGGGGCTGGACCGTTGACCTGTCAGATTCAGATTGATTGACCAGGAAACTTACTTTAATCTTTCGCTTCCTGCAGCGGCTGCAGCCCCGGCTGAGAGTTCCGGGGAAGACCATGTCGTGCCTTGGGGCTTAGCTCGGCTAAGGATAATGCTCAAGCCACTCAGACTCTGTTGGTTGTTGATTGGGCTGGAATGATGTTCTTGGGCATGCAAGTTTCTCAGTGGAGCTTTGAGCATCAACTCTTGTAGATTATATCCTATGGGAGAAGTTTCTGGCCATTGCTTATCTAGAAAAGACCAATCAAGCTTGGCATGTCTCGAATGGTTGCCTGAGTAAGCATGTATGTCATTTATCCAGGATCACATTGGTGGAATTACGGCCTTCCATGGTTAGTATCGGTTCTTAAAACGTCAAAGCGTCGCAACCTAGGCTTTTTGTAGCATAGGCCTGGTCTTGGGATACGGCCCTGACTACCAAAATTACGAGCTTTGGCGTCTTGGAGTTATCGTTGTATCAATTCGTTGATGTGCGCCACAGCAAGGGCTCCGGATGAACCGCACCTATTGGAACCTACGAGGCGTTCCACGCTTACCCTCAAGCAGATGAGAACAATTGCTTAGGCCTCCGGGAGTGTCAGCTTTGGAGCCGCGACTGCTATCCCAGGCCAATTTTGCAAGGCAACTGTCTTGTCTTATTAACCACGGGGTAGCCTTTATCTTAAATGCTACGTTGTAAGATATCTGCCATCTAGCTAGGACCGCTGTCACAGCCATCGGGGAGCACTTGACCCACTGGACTAGGCCTCCGATACCATAACGCTACCAAGCTTCCCCGGGAAGATAATCTAAGATCAAGGAGTCACTCCGCCGTATCTGATCGACCTGCTAGCTGGCGTTTTAAATACAGGGTCAGAAATAGGTTTCAACGGTCTCGTCCCATCCGATTCGTCCGGACCCCCTGTCATGATCGCCTTGACTACTTAACCAGTAATAGTGTTGACTGATAATAACTGCCGCGACATTGCGTGCGGCCAAGACACGTCCTCACCCAAATTGAAATGTTTTACCTTGCCGTGCAGTGAGGATTCCTTGACGATACGTCAACGGCTTCTAATAGTGCGTGTCTGTAATATGCGGCGTTCCGATAGTATCGCTGTTCTAGACTTAGCACTTTGGAGTCAGGGAGCCAGGGCTAGACCCAATCTGTATCATTCCCCAACGTCTTAGCGCGAGGGTATTTAAAGAGAAGCATAGAGCCGTTCTGTTCCCACGCGTCTAATTCCCCGCCTTTATCTTTACCCCCGGTGACCGAATGTGAGCAGAGCCTCGCAAGGACGCCTGTTCTGCACGCCGTGACCCGTTCTACACCTAAATCATGCCATCCAAGTCGCACAGTCAAGCCAGGAATGGGAACCGTAGGAGGTACGAGTCTGAGGCCTCTTCCATTCGCCCTGCCGAACCTGAAAACTGACCTTATGCAGCCATACAAAGTCACGCATGGGCTGCTTGACGTGGTGTGTGGGACTTTAAAGACTTTCGATACTAGCCGAACATACTAATCAGTATTTGTCTGGTCCAGTAAGCGCCGTCATATCCGCTGCGACGAGAACTATCCCCAGTGGTAGGTGGACCCATGCCTCTATACTAAGACGATCATCAGCTCATGATCCCCCAGCCAGAACTGCACTAAGCACAAGGTCAAATGCTCCTTTCACGATACCCCGTCACAAGAAGAGTTGCTACTTCAGCCCTCGCCTGAGAATACTTCATCAAAGTCTTGTTCAAGCTCGAAACCTCGTCGACCATGGTCGGCCAAGGCCAGGGCAGAGGTAAGGCAGTGGAGAAGGACAGGGTCAATGCCTATACCGGATGATCGTATCAGAATAACCCTGCAACCAACCATTTACTCCGAAGATGACTTATGCTTCGTTTACCAAGCTGCAAGTAACCAACATAGACTTACAACGATGGGAGTGAGTAAACTCACTGTTATATCATCATACTTACCGAGGTTTGTTTGTCCAGGAGTTTCTTATCTTATCATGTTGACTCTCTAGCTTTTTTCGTATCATCTCGTCGTCTCGGCTAGCGATGAATGGAGTCCTCGCCCTTTCAGCATACCAAGTTGCATCAGTTACTCACTGCCAACATGCCCGTCGAAAAGAGTATCAATATCAGATGCTAGCTATCCAGGACCTCAGAAGATGTCTGTCCAACTTTAGACCTGAGCATGCTGATGGAGCCCTCGTTGCCTCGATGGCACTACTATGGCTCTGTGAAGATATGTGAGTGCGCCTCGCTGAGGCGATGGACGGAAGTATTGACATGACCAGGTCGAGCCGAAGACAGATTGCAGAAGGGATCTCAGCGGTAAGTATTATCCTTCTGCCACGCGATACACCAAAGCTCATAAAATCTCAGATTTTGCAAACATGCCATCGGTTAGGTCACCAATCCGGATTTTATCACATGATAGCAAAAGCATGGCGTCAAACTGCCCATCTGCACACAACGCTCAAGACGGAGCGCGGGAAGCCGAACGGACTACAACGTATAATTGTCGAGATGCAGAAGTTCAAGGCTCTCTTGAAAGAGCAAGAACCGGACGACGACACCTGGAGACAGCTGCGGCTACTCATCGCTCTTGCGGAGGACTTGACCGAACTGGAGCCGTCGACACCCGCCGATAAACAATTCGAACGGATCCGGCTGCTGCGAGACTACAAGCTCTGGCTCCCTCTTAATGACCTCTTGACCGGCAGGAACCTGTCAAGCACGCTGATGGTCAATGCCTATCTATACACGATAGCTTTATACGCCCAGCGCCAGACATCGCAGGCGTATATGATTGACCTGGGAGTCGACCTGCCCAGTTTGCTGGACGAGACGTTACGGCAAATCACACCTGTAAAATCGTACACTGGGTCACTCAACAACCTGAAAGCCCTGGTATCGTCATTGTCATAATACTGGTAATATTTAAGTTATAGCAAGTTCAGATTGTGGCGATGGAATGAAACGAACGCCACTAAGCAACAGGCGAATGATAATGGTAATAATAAACATTTGAGCTACTGTACCAGACATCAACTGTACTATAACTTGTTCCACGTGAATGTAACGAGTAAAACTGGGCCTCGGATGGCCCTTTGCTTACCAAAACCCCCTCTCAGCTCATTAGCCAATAGAAGCTTACGCAATTCCACTGATAGACAGAACTGCATCCTGAATCCTATTCCTTTCATTAAACATCTCACCGCCGTTTTGTATCGAGATGACTGCACAAAAAAGCCTGAGACTTAAAGAAGTCACCCTTGAAGATGTACCCGTTCTCACGGAAGTATGGTTCGCAGCTTTTACCGATCCTGGAATCCAACGCATCTGGCCTGATACACCGGCCGTACGCAACTGGTGGACCGAAGGCAATCGTCACGACTTGATCCATAAACCGTTTCAACGCTACGTCAAAGTTGTCGATCCAGACTCTAAAGATGTTAATGGCCGTCCGCGGATCGCGGCTTTTGCCAAGTGGGATACTTCGATGCCCCACGAGCGGGGTCGACGATATCCACCATGGACTGAGGATCAGCCTGGTCAAGTCTGTGACGAGTTCATTGCCAAGGAGGAAGCGGAAAGACTCCGCGTTATGGGAGACCAGAAGCACTACTGTAAGGGGCCACTCGGACCTTGTACCCCGGATCTGCTAACTGCAATTCATCTAGATCTCGATACGTTGGTCACGCATCCTGACTATCAACGCTGTGGAGCTGGCTCAATGCTTATGAAATTTGGCTGTGATCTAGCAGACAAGGACGGAGTTGCAGCGTATGTGGATGCAAGCAAGTCTGGGGCCGGACTTTACAAACGTTTTGGGTTTGTGGATGAGAGCTTACCCGGTTCTGGCGACGTCGCTTCCATGGCTCGACGATAACGCCCGTCGGTCTTTGCAACCTGAGCTGTGCCACTGCAACGTTGTAATGCTCAAAAATTATTGAATAAAGCATAAACTAGTCATATACTGAAGTTGAAGCTATTCAGACATGCCCTTTGACATATTGTCTTTGTCGATCGGCAGAAAAACGATATATAAGGTCGAGAACTACATGAGACTGCTTTGTGTTAGAGATCGGCAGCAGGGTGAAAAGCCGACTAATATTTACGATCCAGGATAGCCTTACCGGAGATAATCGGGGAAATACCATACCACGTTTTCTCCCGAGATCTCACGTCGCACAAGCCCACAATGCAGGGTCCATCTTGGCAAGAATTATTCTACGACTGCAAGACATGTCAACTGCCGAGACGTTACCAACTACTGGTGATAGGTGAAGATATGGCCTTCCCTGGATTGAAGCCTCTCCCGCTGGTTGCCGCCCGGTCTTCAAATGATAGGTGAAGATACGGCCTGTGCCGCTTGGGAATATATTGCAGAGGCTGCTTCCAGTCTTTCCTGTGATAGGCGAAGATACGAGAATCGCGTTGCCTGTTGCTTTTTTAAAAGCAAACAGATCTTTATTAGAAAGAAATACTGGTAGTAGGACTCGCTGATCCTTTCTCATCCTCTGTGTACTGAAATGTCTCCCCTTCAGAATACACCGTTCAGAGGCCTAGGCTGAGCGATGGAACATCAGTGTCATTTTCAACAGCAGGATAACTGGAAGCGAATTACGGATAACTTCGAGCCTGTCAGCATAGCATTGAGGCCTCGTAAGCGTCACAGGTTTGAGTATTAAGAGCTAGATAAAATGACAAAGGGAAAGAGTCTCCGAAGAACCTTGCGAGAATAAGAACCTAGTCGCCAACTTTCTTATTGGATAGCATGCAATATAAGTCTATTAGATACAGCTAGGTGATTATATGCCTTAAACTGAACGCAGAGAAAGAAAGACAAAATCATAGTATTGTTTGATGCGTTGCTTTGGCATATGCCGCTGATATATCTAATCCGGATTACAGAAATTTCATACTCATCAACATATTCTCATTCCGTGAAGTACCGTGCGATTCAATCAGGTATGCATTGTTCAAGGCAGTGCCAGTTTTGTAACATTATGAGCTACTATATTATCTTACAGTAATCATGAAATTACAGTATTAAACTCAATGGAAGCTTCTTTCATGAGCCTTGTGGAGGTTCTGGGGATATAAATAAGTTCTTGAATAGTACATGTGACCTCTGCTATAGTCTCTTCTCTATTTCACCAACACTCGCTTCGTTCTATTGCCCAGCACGACAGCGGACCCTCTCATTATGCAATTTCATATAATATGGAAGGTGAATTGCGCAAATCCGGTTTGAATCTCTGATTATCCTTCATCTTTGGAATGTTATCGTCCGGGTCCCTTCTCAGCCAGCAACCTTTCCCTGCCTCATCGCATAACCTTGATCCAGGTGGAAACTCTTGGATTACCAGGGCTTCATAAACCCGCTGCTCACATTTTAAACACCGTTTTTAACAGATTTCCTCCAAAGCTCCAGCCCCCAGCCATCTCATGCCGTGTAACCAATCATCCACCGTAACATCCAATTGCTGACATCTGTACGTCGGTTCCTCAATAATCCGAACCGAGGTCACGCCAAACGCGAGATATTCCCCTCTTCGTAGTACATCTTCATTCAATGTCATCATGAGCTCCTTGGTAGGCGGAGTCACAGGGCATCATCGCCTTCGTACTCAATGCGGCATTTGCGGCAAAGCATTGTTGGCTGGCGTGAGTTTTGTGGCTTGTTAGTTCTGACAACACTTCTCTCATGTTCGTCCATCGGCTAACAGCAAGTTTTGCAGTGCTAGGTAACGGTCTTGAACCTGAATTAGGGCTTTGTCTAGACCGCGCGGTATTCCCAGACTCTCGGAACATCAGGGTTGGCACGAAAGTCCTGTGCTGGGCACCGAGCTGCCGGCGATGCACAGATGCTACCGAGGCAGTAGGCTTACATTCTACCTGCCTGAATCTGTTCCAAGAACACTGCAAAATCGACAATGCGGTCGACAGATTATGGATAACAATTGGCAAGAGGAACCTCTGGCAACGTGCTCCAATGCTTCAGCTGGACCGTGAAACAGGACTTGACATCGAAATTGTCCGCGAGAAAGCAGAGGCTTATGGTATTCGACTATTGAAGCTCCTACCAGCAGAGCTCATCCACATGGTACAAGAGTACAGCGATTCGGCGACGTTCTGGCGCTACATCCATGTTCTCAGCATAGCTCGGGAGTTGTCCCGCTTACAGTCCGATACCGCTCCACCAGTTACTTCGATACCTTTGTGTAATATCCTATCCTGGACACGAGGAGATTGCGCTGCTGTGTTATCAAGCAACTGCCCGCCAGTAGTACGCTTGACTCTTGATCACAGGGGAATACGAAAGATAGAAAGGCTGTCAAAATCATCATACGAACCCCAACGTTCGGACAGGGAGGCATTTGTAATCTCGCCTGCGATATGCTTTCAGGATGTTGTGGCTGTACTGAAGGTGATGAGGTTGCTCTGGATATTGCAATGATCTGAACTGACCCAGTACACCTAGTGTCATGTGTTGCGGCTTGAGCTCCCTGCATCTCTGTTGGGGTTTCACATCTGGGACACCCCCAAACCCCCTGGTATTGAGGACTGCGACTTTTACGGCCGCGTGACACCATCCATGCAATTCAAGACCACCAACCTACGCAGTGTAACGGGCCTCACGTTTTTCTTCTCTTTCAGTAAGCTCTACGCAATACACGCGCATACACATGCGAGACCTTGTGCAACGAAAACATTCGACCGGCTTCCTGTGAAAAGACAGGAAAGTGTCGTCTGGATATACCTACCGATGCCCAGAGATGAAGAAATCACCTCGATCGCGATGCGGTTGAAAGTTGAAGGAGGAGGGGCTACAACGCAGAAGCCCTTTTTCATGGTACTCATTTCCCCTTGGTGACTGACTTCACAGTACTAATGAAGATAGATTCGTACAAAGCTAGCCGGGGATGTGTATGTTGGCCCATGCCATCTTAGGCAGCACAGAGATATTGTTCTCAGCCAGTCAAGCCCAGAACTGCTCATTCACAATGTTGCAGATGTCGGACCAGCTACTGTATTCGGAACATATCCGCGGAAGCAGCACCGTGATAGCCTACCGCCGTTCAACAACCGCTGGCCGAATATGGATCCTCTTCTTCATCTAATGTTCGAGCATATGTATCTTTCAGTGGCGCCATTAAAAGACGTGACTGGCATTAAGGTCGTAGAAGACGAGAACTTTGAATGCAAGGGTATGATATTCGACTATAGTAACGGTGCTCAGAGAGCCTTGGGGGACTGTAGATTTGGTCATTATCGTGTCAAGACGTATGTGAGTCCACGGCGGTTGTGCTACTGTCATGTCCAACCTACACCAGCGATAGTGCGAGGCGTTCATGTCGAGATTGGAAGTGAATCGGACCATGCACACAGCGGCGATGACTGGAAGTGCTCGGAGATGGAAGGGAATATCGAGTTTTGGTTCTCCAAGGAACATTCGGTCATTGTCTGCCACTCCATTGAGAGCACAGCAGCGCCATGAGGGGTCTGGATACTTGGCAGCCCTTTGCTTCCTTGGCGGTTATTCTAGTTTCGTCTTGATCAACAGATATGCAAATGCAGAGACCCTCAGCTCACTACCAGTATACGTCAGTGTATTGATGATCCCCAAGCGCGAAATCGTGATCCAGCTGGAGTCATAGCAGCTCAAGATCGCCCAGCTCAGCACGGACTTGTCAGCTTGTCGACACCAAGAATAGGGAAACAGCCCAATTGCCGTGATACGATATGTACGCCAAGAAGTGGTCGATCAAAGGTTGCACCAAAGCTCGGCTTTATAAACAATTCCCTGGTCAACAAACGCGGCTCGTTGCAGATGATGTGATATTTGCAAAACACAGATTGAACAGTGATCGTCCGATGGCCTGATCCAAACGGCCTAGTACGACTCCAGACTGGTTGCACACTTTTCTACATTGGGCTCTGTGATCTCCATTCCCGGACGCAAAGTCCGGCTAGTCCTGCGTCTGTCCAATGAAGAAGTGGCCATAATCAGCCCCGTCGACATTGACAATTCAATAGTCTGAGACTCGACAGGCGCCAAGCGGACGGGCTTGATGTCAGCTGTGGAATGGCCAACGGCCGTTGCAATCCTGACGTTGTCATTTTGACGCTTTCACAGCGCAGCAGTCTCACAGAGGCCAGCTTTGTGCGCGTCATACCTGCAGCCACGCCAATATGAAGGAATCGAAAAGTGATGAGCATTTTACTTAAGGGAGTAGGCCCGTAGTTACTGCGTCAGCCGTTGAGCATTCCCCGGGTTTACACCATTACCTACACCATCCCCGTCACTTTTTGCGTTCCCTGTTTTTCACTCATACCAGATTTCCTCTTTTTGCTTAATCTTTCCTTTCAGGGTCCAGGCCTCGAAGAAAACTAACCAGCCATCGCGCGCGAAAATTCACGACGTTGCGAAAATGGCATCCGCTGCAGAAGTTCACGGTGCGAATGGCTTCAATGGCCACCACCACCACCATAAGCAGCAGAGAACCCATCTCAGCGAATTCGGCACTCACATGGTAGCGGCGTCTGGTGAATTTGTCGGTACTTTCTTCTTCCTGTACTTTGGCTATGCCGGCAACATTATTGCTGTTCTTCAAGAGCCTGCCACCGGACCTAATGGCACACTGGCCAACAACACTATTATCTGGATCGCAATGGCATACGGCTTCTCCCTCTTGGTCAACGTTTGGGCCTTCTACCGAATCAGCGGTGGATTGTTTAACCCTGCGGTAAGCTATTTTACTCGTTGACAAGCTTGATGTGCTGACGGCCATGCTCGCAGGTCACCTTTGGTCTCTGTCTCGCTGGCCAACTTCCATGGATGCGAGCGCTGTACCTATTCCCAGCGCAGCTCATTGCTTCAATGTGCGCGGGTGGTCTAGTCGAAGCCATGTTCCCCGGAAGTGCCTCACAGGCAAATACCACGCTCGGTCCCAATACTTCGATAGCGCAGGGCGTCTTTCTTGAGATGTTCTTTACAGCTCAATTGGTCTTCGTTGTCTTGATGCTTGCAGCGGAGAAATCCCGCGATACGTTTCTCGCGCCGATTGGCATTGGTCTCTCTGTTTTTGTGGCCCTCATTCCAGGTAGGGAACCTCCCTTCTTATTACTTCTTGGCACGAGGTTGACGTTCAATTGCATCATAGGTGTCTTTGTTACAGGTGGATCATTAAACCCTGTGCGGTCTTTTGGCTGCGCTGTTGGTGGCAGAGACTTCCCCGGATATCACTGGCTTTACTGGGTAGGACCTCTTCTTGGTGGTGCTCTTGCTGCTGGCTACTTCAGGCTTGTCAAGATGATGCACTACGAGGAAGCAAACCCGGGGCAGGACAGTCCAGTCGACGTCTAAGAGGCGGCGACAGCGCATCAGTATGTTTGAGCAACAGTGGTGGCTTGGGTATGTGTCTCGAACAGCAATCTGCCACTTGTCATTCACATCAAGGGCAACATCATAAAGGGTTATACACGGTAATAATTTGACGGTACGGCGGAGTTGATCATGAAGCGTGATGACATATTAATCACTGAATGGCAAACGAAAGACTAATATCTCGCTCAAACCCAAGAATTGCCATGATTAACCCTTTCTAAAAAATTAATATACACCAAATAACCCATTTAAAGATCTAAAATCACGCTTTGAGGACCAATGGTCCCTGTTCATCTTGGAACACCACATCCCACCAATTCTGCTTCTCCTTCTTGGCCCAACTTGACGTGCAAACGGTGTCCAAGTCGGTGTTGACCATACCACGCTGAGCAGGCATGAACCGCCTGATAGTTCGGTATGCCTCAAGACCCCAGTAGATAGCCCGACCTTCGGGGATTTCAACCCTACCCAGAGGCTGCTGTCGGCGCTGAGTGAGCTGCGCGTTGACAAGCTGGCGGAGGTAGGGGAAGAACCACATGCGGTCCCACCACAAGACTCTTCGGTTCTTCAGGTTGTTGATGTGGGCGTTGTGATGGATGTTGATGGGGATAGCGGTGGTGAAGAAGTCGGCGTACAAAGTCATGTCGCCCCAGTTCAGTGTGCGTCGGTCCTCTTCTGAGAGAATACGCGCAAGAGGATTTGTCGCATTGGCAATTTCCTCGGGGACAGCAGTCAGGCGAACAGGCTCAATCTCGAGCTCTCGAGATCGCTCAGCGATATATGTCTGGTTGTTGAGTGTCAAGATGTCACCGTCATCCTCTTCGAAGACAGTGGGGATGGAGATGGTCTGATTGTAGTCGAGGCCGACGTGGAACTCGAATTGATCGCGGACCATAGTGGAAACATTGTGAGAGGGATTAATGGCATCGCCGAGCTCGCGTCGCCACGTGCGCCACATCTCTTGCTCTCCCCAGATCTCACCAAAGAAGCCCTGGTCACTGTAGAAGTGATTTCCCTGCTCAGCCTTTCCAAACTCGTAACGCTCTTGGGCGCGACGGAAGTACTTTCGCATGTCGCCGACAGGTCCAATGAAGGCACCACTGTTGATGTACTTGGGTCGGACATCGACCATGCGCAAGTTGGGATCTTTGTCTGTCTCGGGTCCGTACAGATCCTCACGAAGAGGAGACTCCGGAAGAGCATCGCAGTGCAGGTTGGAACCGGACTTGGCGCGAGGCCAGCACCTCTTTTGGGCGGACACCATGATGGTCTGCTTCATGGGCATCTCTGACTTGTGTGGCCACTGAGCGCGAAGACGCTCGTTGGCCTCTTCGTTGAGAGCATGGTAGCGCCAGAGGAGCACACTTGGGGGAAGCTGGAACCACGAGTCTGCGCTGTCGGCGACCATGATAAGATCATCCTCGTTCAAGTGGTCCTTGCTTGAACTGCCCTGGCGGGAGCTCCAGTCAAGATAATCGAGGACACCAGCGATCTTGGCAAGATGCGAGCCACTCTTGCCCCAGTTCAGGATGACGGGGGCGGGATATCCAAGGGCAACTGCTGTGACAATTGCTTTGCAGACGTTGACGCCGGGGGCGTTGGCTGGGAGGAGGATGACGAGGCGGCGGTTGAAAATGTTGCCCGCCTGGTTGGGAGGCTTGACCATGGCGGGGATGCCAGCGGGCGAAACGGGCGAAGCGGGTGAAGCGACGGGAGAGGCTGCATCTTGAGTTTCGCCCATCTCGAAGACGTCAGCCGTTCCATCGGAGAGGTATTGTCGGCCCTACAATTGTCAGTCAATTGAAGATCCCATCGGTGATTGCGACGTCGCTTACCTCGAGAGCCGCAAGAGCCAAAAACGTGGGAATGAGAAGAATAGCCGCCAGCATGAGCAAGAGGCCTCTCGTTGACAATCGCAAGAACCTCCTCGGCACTATCTGAGTGGCCTCAGTCTTATCCTTGACAGCATTTGTCGTCGGCAATTCTTGGTATCCGCCGCTGAACATTTGGCGAAACCAGCCAGCACCCTCATGAGTGCCCGTCATATTGAAGGAGAGGAAGCAGATTGATCCAGACCAGTAACAAAACTGACCAAGCTTAGCCTGCGCTTTCAAAAGAGTGTTTAAATGAATGAATGATCGAACGAAGGACGTCGAGGGGCATGTTGACGGGTTCCGCTGTGATATGATTATATCCTGGGGAGTTCAATGATGCTAGATGCGCAGGAAAGGAGAAAAAAAGCCACTGGAATTTCCAGTCCACCTGTGCATGGCGCTATCGCCGACCTAAACCCGCCTAGAATTAACTATTGTTGGGTGTTGCCTCAGCCTGCGAGGCTAAAATCAGGGGTTCAACTCAGCGCCGGTTTAGCGTGACAAGCGCTACACCACAGCTGTCTAACGGACAAGCTTAATTTTACTGCGCCAAAACATCGCTGTCGCCAAAGGATCATGATGAGAGCGATGCAGCGTCTGCCAAGCAGACGATTCTTGATCTCGTGAAATAAATCTCCAGTCTTGAAGATTAAGTCTGAGCACAAGATGGGTGATTGCTATAAAGTTGCCAGCCCCGACCTGGAGCTTAACAGTTCGCGATGCGATTATTGAGGTCTCGCTTCCACAACAGCGAGCGTCTAACTCAGTCCAGGCGCCCGACGTTTTTCTTCTGTCACTGGTCCCTGTCTTCAGGTGCGCCATCTTCCCCAAGCTATTGGCATTAGTGCCCGACCGGCCTTCGCAACACATGCAGGAACAGGAAAACGTCGGAGACCTCATGATGATCCTTATCAAGCAATAGAAAAGGTCAAATGAGTCTAACCAGAGTTTAAAAATTTTCATCGCTACTCTAACGCTATGACAATCGCTAATGAGACCACATTTTAAGGCTGAAATGCATCCAGGTTATTCGCCCCGATCTGAACTCCTTGTATTCTTGGTACAGTATCAGAAATTCTTCAAAACACGTGGGAGAGGAGGAAGTGTCTGATCTCTGAGACCTCACTAATCATGACTTCATTGGACGTCTCCCCCGTTAGACATAATCTAAGCATGTATCGGGATCGCGCGATGCTCAAATCGTGAGAAGGAAGATTGAGATTCCGATCTTATCGTGTTTCGGGCGGCGCCCACATCCCGGGGTTCTGAGTTCCGCCAGTACAGGGCCATGGGAAACGGACGATCGGCCTGCGTCCAGAACCCCTCCCCACTAACTGCGCGCCGACGATATTCGCGTGCCCCCTGAATTAACCCCTCCACGTCCTTTCGCTCCGTCGTGCGCTTGTCCCATTTTAATCTCAGCGCGTTGAAGTCGTCGCTGACCAATATTGGTGCTCTAACTGTTCCGTCTGAGGATTGCGATGAAGATAAGAGGAGCTTGTACGTCTCAAGCGTGAGGAATGGGCTGTAGACAAGTGTCTCCTCGTCCATTATCCGTCCAGCCTCACCCAAGTTCGCAATCGATGGTGTTTTTAGTACAGAGATATCGAGGCTCTGGAGAAAGGTCTCGTCGGCAGCTGTGAATGTTGGGTCTTGCGCGTAAATTCTCAATCTGCTCTTATCGCTCGTTGATAATGTTAGATGAGATGCGATCGCCATCAGCACGACCAATTGTTTAATGCGTCGCTGTTGGTCCTTAGCGTCCAACAAGCTGCCCAGACCCAGCGAAACAATCTTGGTGATGCGCGGTCGGTTTTTTGTTCGCAGCATGTCTTCAATTGTCTTAGCCAGGGCGGATTGGTTGTAAATGTCCATGGCATCTTCATATAGTCTGTATAATTGTTGGAGTTGTTTGCCAGATCCGTTGCCTTTTCTTGAAGTTTGCGACTTTTTGCTGGGCGTGTAATGATCTGCACTTGTCAACAGTCTGGACCCAGGGCCCTTGATTGAGAGGCTCACCATCGCCATCGGCAACCTGCATCTTCTTTGAGTGTCGCATCTTTTCTGAAACACTATTTGTAGTACTTTGTGTTTGTTCGGCTGGAATTTTGACGTTTTAGACAACTCAAGAGATGATCTCGGCTGTTTGGAAGTGATTGATGATTGTTTATTGTACTCAGACTGAGGGCAAGACTGCTTCTATTTAACATGACCACCGGGCACTCATCCTGTGGTATATCTACATCTATCAGCGACATGCCTGTTCTGTATCTTCCATTGCGTGCTCGGTGTTCGGTCTCTTGCTGCGCCTGTCAGCAAGGCCTTTGTAATCCTCTCGGACAACGATGCCGTCCGCATAAGCAGATTTTGGTGGAGGATGTGTTTGACAGCAGCTGCAGCAGTAAGCCCAATTTCTAAGCTAGCGGCCGCTAACCAATTTCGGATCAACGTTACAAATCGAACAAGATGACAAAACCTTCAATGACGACAAATCTGGGCTCATCATTGAATTGACTCATTGAGCTGGTTCTGTTTGATGAGATGTCCGGAAATAAGCTGGAACAATATTGAGTTTTCTCTCATTCATACATTTTCCGACATAGATCCGTCAATAATTCTCGCTATTCGAGATGTCAGATTCAGCAGTCAGCAATCTCCGTCACTGTCTGTCTTTATCGCACTGAGCCGACGATAAGTTATCCACGATAAGAAATGGATAACACGGCTACCGGCTCTCATCTGCAGCATCATTATGGCTATTCGGCAGGTGAGTCACTTTGAATCATCAAGATATCATTCTTATAATCTCTTTTCGTTTTAGATGTGACTCACGCGATAAAGCCGACTTCAATCCTTCGAGCCATTCCAGATTGCGCACCTCGGACATTCCAAAGTCCGACGTTTCACTCGCCAATCTTGGCGCCTTCGCTCACTCACTTCCCCAAGCGTTCGCATTCGATTCTTCCTTGCTACAGCTGCGGGACGAACTTCCTTACTGGGAAACTTCTCGTCCTACACATTTATTGAATGATTGGCGAGGTTGGAAATGTCAAAAGAGCTGATCGAACGAGCCTTGTTCGGCTAGAGACGATGGGTAACGAGAGATACTTGACTAACAGGCCCCAGTGTGAAAAACACGAGTTGATGTTAGTGTCGCATCGCCACAAATGCTCGCACGCAATATGGGCAATTGACCAAATCATAAAAGCAATAGCAAGAGAAAGCCCACTACAATTTTCTAGCAACTAACCGTACATCTATCCCAGAAATTCAATCTCTATACATTTGTGCTTCTAGCTAAACCGGTTGTCTGCCCAAGGAACCTTCATACCCATAAACGACGACCGCGACGACTTTCTCACCGGCTCTTGATTGGGCTGTCCGTAGTTCGCAGGTCCAGGCGGCGCATAAGGCACAAAACCAGGATCCGGCGTAGTCTGGCTCGGCGGCGCATAAGTCTCCGGAGGTGAAAGCGAAGGAAGATTCTCCGGCGGAGGAGTCTGTTGCTGCATCGGCTGATACGCCTGGAATGCGTTCGCCAGTGATCCAGGAGGAGTCGAATGTCGCACGTTCTCTCCACCTCCGCCAGGCTGGTATGGCCTGTACATAGGAGGCTTAGCCCCCGTGATCGGTTTCCTTCTTATAGGCCCCTTCGACTGTTCGTTCGTCGGTGTGATCAGCTCAGATTGGCGCTTGTACAATGGGTTTGGACTGAAGTCGAGGATGTCCTGAGCAGGGCTGTATAAGTCTGCGAAAGAGTTGGATGAAGGGCCAGATGGCGTGATAGATGGTCTTGTTATGGGTGATGCGATATGTTGACTCGGGATATCCTCCACCACGATCTTCTCAGAAGTAAAACTGACAGATGGACCAGCTCTCTGAGTTTGAGCCTCAGGCGATGTTGGCTCATAGACTGAACTTCTCCTGCTCTCCTCGTGCACCGGCTTCGGGTCATCGTAGTTAAGTTCCTGCTTTTGGTTCTGCACGCCTCGAATCACCGCGGCAATGGAAGCATCGCCAGAAACCATCGCAACCCTGATTGCCTCCATTATGTCTGAGATGTGGTTGGTCAGGATCTTCACGCATTCTTCTCTGCCCGCCTCAAGGGCTTTCTGCAGTGCATTGAGACCTGCCTTGTTCCTGACCAAGACATCGGCGCCACGGTCAAGCAGGAACTGAACTGACTCATGATCGCCGCTCCAGGCTGTGAGAATAAGTGCTGTGTCTCCTTCGTTATCCGCATGATTGATGTCGGCACCTGCGTCCAACAACAAGCGAAGCGGGTCACGAGGAAGATATATCGCCGTGTAGGTCAGAGGAGTCGAGTTATACTCTCCTCCAACAACCGTCACATCAGCCTTGGCTTCCAGAAGCTTCTTGAAGATAGCTTCTTCACCCTTGCTTGCCGCAGCGATGATGGGATGAGTGAACTCGCCTCCTCCAAGGTTAGGATCGGCGCCATGCTCGAGGAGAATATCGACAATATCTCCTCTGCCAGACTCAACAGCCGCTTGCAAAGCGGTACACTTGGGCATATTGATATTGGTCGTGGTTGCGTTGACGTTAGCCCCACGCTCCAAGAGAAGGTTGACAACACCGACATGACCTTGGTCCGCAGCAGTTTGGAGAGCCCATCCATCAGCGGAGTTGATGTCGGCACCAGAGTCGAGAAGCAGCTTAATTATCTCGATGGTGTTGTCAAAGGCAGCTGCTGTCAAGGCATTCCCGTATCTTTAAGTCACAGTTAGCTCGTTATACCTCTCATTTATCTCAATCAAGACTTACAGTTCGCCAGTTGCATTCGCGTTAGCTCCATATCTCAACAGCAATTCCACCGTCCTCTGATTCTCAAAGTCTGTAGCTTCATACAAGGACTCATCCAGCGCCTCAGGCGAGATATTGCCCTGGGAATACTCCCACATAGCTCCTAAGATACGAATCTCGTCATCGCCATCTTCTCCCTGTGCGGTTTGCAGGAAGGTTTTGTCACAGTTCAAGCCGGGACAGTGATCCAGGATCAACGAGACGATAGCCCAATGGTCTCCGAAAGATGCTCCATCCAGGGCGTCCTGTTTGAACTGCTGGTTGTGCTCAAAGTCATGGAACAGCCGCGAGAAAGCTTCAAATCGACCGTATTCTGCTGCTTTGACAAGGGCGATGCCGAACTCTTCGGCAGGTAGTTTGTCGGAATATTCCTTAATGAGAAACTCGAACACTGCAAGGTCAGCTCTCATAGCTGCTAGAGCCAAAGGTGATGTGATGACCTCCTCCTCCTCCTCCTCCTCTTCATTGGAGTCAGAGTCGGAATCTGAGCCCGACTCTGAACCCTCATCCTTATCACTCTCCTCGTCTCCATCGTTGTCCTTAGCTTCCTCCTCTTTAGCCTCTCCCTCGCCATTCTCACTCTCAATCTTTTCGTCTTCGTCTTCGTCATCCTGAGTGACGAGCGAGACATTATGAGTTACCAGAAGCTTCACGGCGTCAGTGTTTCCAGACTGGATAGCCGCACAGATTACACCTCCGTAAGCACCACAGCTGGCATTCGGGTTCGCTCCCCGTTGCAGCAGCTTACTCATAACTTTAACATTTCCTTCAGCTGCTGCTCTGTGCAGAGGAGTAATAAGATTGCCCTTGATGCCTTCGTCGATGCTGGCTCCTCTGTCAAGAAGCTCCTCGGCAATCTCATCATTTCCAAAAGCGGCTGCGTAATGGAGCTATATCATGTCAGCTCGTGTTCTTTGCGCTTCCAAATCTCATCATATCTTGTCTCCAATGAATGCCATCACTTACCGGCGTATTGTAGTCTGAGTCCATGGCGATAAGTTCGCCATGGTACCCATGATCCATCAAAGCAGCTACTAGGTCTCGAAATCCGATCGTAGCAGCTACATGGAGTCCAGTCAGCTTCTCCCGAGAATAATAGGCAAAAGAGCTAGTAAGTCGGTTGTGTTCAGTCAACCAACGGCGTCGGATGACGGAATCCGCGTGCCAGAACTTTTCCTCCAGGCTCAGTGCCTCTGCGATATCAGCAGTCGCTTGGCTGGCGTGAGGTAGCCAGTGTGTAACTGCATAGGCCAGGGCTATGTCTTTTAGATACGGAGCTTCGGGATCTTCATCAACCTCATCTTCTTCATCCTCCCCATCACTTGACTCTTCTGAGGCGACTGAGGCGTTGTCGTCCAGAGATTCATCGTCGTGATGTGATTCATTGTCGGGCTCTTCTTCGTCGGCGGCTTCCTGCTCGTGTCCTCCTGCTTCGCCAGAGTTATCTGCTTCCCCTGAGGCCACGCCATCCTCGTCATCTGGGCTTGCTTCGATAGCACCAGCAACCTCGCCCACCTCTTCGTTTATTTGCTGAGAGATATCGGAGAGCGGAAAGTCGAAGATCTCTAGGATATGACTGAATGCACGAAAACCCAGAATACCATGTTGTAGCTTGATATCTTCGCTGGTGAGACCAAGCAACACGTGTGCGTGTTCAAGCAGATGGGTCTTGACCACCGGCTCCGTGAAGCACACCGTCTTCTCTTGGAGGCTGTTGTCCTTCAGTACGATCAATGGTCTGCACTTCTGGATCAGGTCATGTAGCTCTGAAACTTCCGCTGGTGAAGAGTCTAGACCAGCAAGAAGACCAAGCTCGGCCTCAGTTGGATCTTGATAGGTAAGGACCAAAACACGGAGCATTTCCTTGATCTCCCCAGCCTTGCCCCGGTTATTGTCAAAAACTTGTTGCCATGCAGAACTCAGCAGAGCATCTAGCTCTTGTGGAATGACTTCGAGAAGACGACGGACTTGGAGGTCGTTCTGATGCTGAGGAAGTTCCTCGAGATGATCACAGGTAATGTCGATCCACTGCGTGTTTTGAGCTCGCTTACCGATAACACTGCTAGCAAAGTATGCAAGAGCTCTGCTATACTTCTTATGCTCGATCAGCTCCAAAACCTTGTTCTGTGCGTGTCTTCGAAGCTCGAGCTGGACTTGGTCTCCATATTTTGCGTCTTCAAGATCAACTAGTCGGACAGTATCCTTCCTCAAAGCCCGATCAATGTCCCAAGATTGGCCACTTGTGAACATCCATCGAACCAGTGGACGTCTTCCGGTACCGTCATGCTCAACCTCAGAGCTCAGTAGAGTCAAGAGAGTGTTAGTAGATACGGCGTCTTGTGCTAGAGTTTCGATGTTGTTGATGACAAAGTACACTCTGGCCCCAACAAATACATCATCTGCTAGAATGTCCTGAAGAACTTGCCACAAGTTCTCCACTGTCAAAAGAGGCTGCGTTTCTCGACCTTTCTTCTTAAGCAGAAACTTGGCGTGTGTAGCCAGAAGCCCTTGCTTCTCAATAAGTTGACGGACAAGGGCCTTCAACAAACTCTCAGCTGAACCATAATCGGGCGTCTTATCGCAGAAAAAGTAAGAAAGATAATTCCGCGATGAGCCTGTGTATGGTTCGTCGGTAATTTCCTCTTCGTAAACCTCTTCGTCCTTGGTCAACTCTTCGATCTTTTCAATAGCTGATAAGGCAGCGCTTGTTTTGCCGCGACCATCACGGCCACGGACCCAGAGACAATCCTCTTTCTTGACAAGCGAAGTATCTTCGCCCTCGTTGGGTTTGGCTAACCAGCCCAGAAATTCTGGTTCTTTCGAGAACCATGGGGAAGTGGTTGTGTTCTGGGCAATGCTTTCCCTCTTGCTTTGGACTGGTGCACCTTCTAGAGTTCGTAAAGCAAGGTTTATAGTGGCTGGATCGGTGCGTCTTGTTGCATTGTGTCGATTCTTGACTCGCAGATGTGAACCGTTGATAAGTCGTTTCAAAGGTCCTCGAACTAGTGTGTATCGTTCATCCTTAGAGCTATCGAACTTGACCAAGTCTCGATGATTCGCAGCTAGACCCATCGTCTCCATCACACCATCCAAGATGGAGGAGTCTCTCGTGACGAACTCTGCATACTTCTTGGGCATCGGAATGCTCAGCGCCGATAAGAACTGAGGCATGCCAGAGAGATCCTTAATTGTCGTAGGGTGCTCTTCATAGAAACCACACAGCTCGATTTTTGGGGTTGTCTTGATTACTAGTCTGACGAACTCCTTCCGAAGCTCAGCCAGGCTTTCATCGTCTGGCCTCATCAGCTCGAGGAGTTTGGAAGCTGTTGTATGACCAAGTTTCTCTCCAACTGAGGAAAGCATACATGCCAAGGAAGCTGCTTCAGCGCCCTTGAATGGGGTTCCAAAAAATGCGCAACCGGCTATGTCTTCGAACATGTTTGGGAAGAGATCTTGTCTTGTTGCAGCGATGCAGATGGCCTGATAGAATCAGAACAAGTAGATAACCTCAGAACGATGATTCATACCTTGGCAATGACAAGTCCTCCCATACTGTGACCAATAAATGTGATTGGACGAGGAATGGCCATGTTCTGGAGTACTTGTCAGGCCAAACCCTCTGAGTTCAGTCGAAAGACGTGGAAACATACCTCTCTACTCATCTTCAATCCTTCGAGTAGAGTCTGGGCTAGGTTGCCGAGAAACTGCTTCACCTTGATGGAACCAGTCCATGAAGATTCACTGTGATACAGAAGAATTCTAGCGTTTGGAAAGTCGCGAGCTATACCCTCCTCACTGACCCAATTAAAATCGCTCGTAGTCGATTTGAAGCTCAGTAAAGGATGGGCTCCCAGACCCGGCACAAAAACAATACTGTTAACGTGTTGGTGAGTCAATTGCCTCAGCGATCATGTTTTTGGGTTGATGCTTACTCCATATCGGTCTTTCTGGTTGAGTCCGGCTCTGGATAGAGCTGCTTGATCCCCTGCTCAACATTCTCATAACCCTTCTTCTGCTTAGGAGCAGCCCCAGGAGGGCCGCGTCGCGTTGCTGTTCGACGAAGCGACATCTTGGCCGATTCACTCAAAAGAGTGAGTCCTCGAACGTACGTTGTTGTTGATCTGACAACGTTCACGTCTCCTAATTTTCGTCTTACGCAGGAGTAGTGGCCACTACAGCTCCAGTTTCATTCTTGGCCCCCCACATCTTGGCTTACTGGGGGTCTATGTCAGCATCTGCTGAGCTTTTAACTCCGCGTTATGCGCTTAACATTCATTCTCCAGAGTAAGCACTTAGACAGGCGATACCTCGTTAGTGTCTCATCGATCGTACATGGTGCCACTGCCCGGTCTGCTTGCTCCTTTGGGCTGAGACGCAGGGTGTGCCTAATTAAAGAAATTGGACCGTCAGCACGGCGCAGCGGCCTATCCCCTTTTCCCGAGGTGCACTCTGTGGACACAGAGCGGGCCGTGTGATCAAGTGAATGGGGAACGCTGCTTACAGCCCAATCATGGATGGTGCTATCGGCCTTAAGAGCAGGGGTTGCTTACCAGCCTTATGACTGACCCTTGCTTGGTAATGGTCAGCTTTAATTTCCACTCTTTTCTTTCTGTTTACGCGAGCTTTCCACGACACTCGCCATCGTCAGGGCATTTGTTCTCTATTTATGCTCCTTGAGAAACTTAAATCTTACGCCGTATCACTGAATCTAATATCTCACAATGGCTAGTCCACCGCCGCCATTTACGGTCCGCATCTTACAAAAGGACTTCCTTAGCGACGGCTTGGAGTCCAAGGATGAGTTTAATAGCCTCCTCCCTGCCAGCAACCGCTTCAACGATGACATCGTCGTTCCTACATCGGACCCCAACTTCCTAGAGCGGGAACTATCGGTTTCGCGCCTCAATGACGTGCAAGAATGGCTCTGGGCTTGCGGCCGCCCAATGCCGCCTCGGCCACTTCATCACCAACGGCTCATTTCACGAGAGATCATTATCAGCGAGCTCTCTGAGCTGCACATGATCTGGTGGAGAAACCGCATTTTTCTCAAGCCCATGCCGGCTTATCTACTTGATCCCGACTTCTGGGTCAGCAACATTAGCGACACAGCCCATCTTGATGTGACGGAAGGCAACATTGATGCCTCCGCACGGGGATTTCTTTTCTCATACGCTGCGCTCATCGCATACAAAAGCGACTTTCGCATCGCAAAGGAGCATGGGTTACTGCCTGAGGAAGTGACATGGGAGGGCTGGAAGGCATTGACAGCTCAGGTTCTTGAGAACCACCGTTACGATCGCGTCAATCCGCGCTACTGGTACGGAGAGCTGCGCCTGAGCAGATTGAACAAAGTATACGCGCTTCGCAAAGGATACTTACTACGCGGCTACTCTCGAGTCGCGTCGCACACTGTTTATGGCGATCTCATTCGCGACAATTTTTCGGTGCTGGCTGGTATTCTCGGTTACGTCGTGATCGCGCTCACGGCAATGCAAGTTGGATTGGGCGTTGATCGTTTGGTTGAGAACCAGGCGTTCCAGGATGTGAGTTATGGATTGACGGTTTTTACTTTAATTGTGCCGCTCATTGGAGCGCTCTTCATTTTCTTGGTTGTGTTTGTCATGATTGTGAGCAATTGGAGGGTCACCAAGGCGTTTGAGAGTCGGCGTCTGAAGAAGATGAAGGTGAAACTCTTGCGGAAGAAGTAGACAGAAAACAGTTGAATGAAATACAATTAATAATAAACAAACAATGCACAAACTCATGGAGGGTAAATGGCCGACAAAAACAAAGAAGCTACCCTCTGTAGAGACAAAAGGTTTGGTTGTCTCTGACTTCTCAGGTCAAGCTTCCATATGCTTCCTGGAAGGATGATTGTTATGAGATGCCACAGGACTTTTTGAAAGAATGATCACGCTGGGGATCGAACCCAGAATCTTCTGATTCGTAGTCAGACGCCTTGCCATTGGGCCACGCGACCTGTTTCCTTGATAGTGGCCGCTCAAATGAGGAGCTAGATCGCTGCAGCACCCAGATTCGCACATCAAAGCATTGCTCAGGTATTTCTTAAAGTACCTCTTTATTGTTATTTAAAATTCATTTCGTAGACTTCAATAGCGCGAGTTTACAATGTTATTGTGGTTGAGATTCCCGATGATGGACCAACAGGCTGATTGATGCACGATGCTTGTTGAGTATTGAAAAAGAAAACACCGTAACGCAGAAGCCGACACATGATATGGAAAATACTAAAAGTGTAAAAAGCTTATCATTTAAATTATAGTCTTTTTAGTCAGTACATATGGTGACCCGTTTCATATGGGTTAAGCACTGAAATCGCCCATTGATACTGTTTTCTAGGGTAGATGGAGCTATTCCGCCGCCTTCCGCTGTTGAAAACATGTGGTCATCACTGAACGACGGTAGAATATTACCGCTTGCCATCACAGAACGTCAAATTACCTCCATTCAGTCTCATTGGGTACAATTCTTGTTCCGAGGCACTGAAAGACTTGACTTCAGTCAGTTGTTGGCCGTCTCAGAGTTACCAGGCTGCTAGCTACTGCTGAAGGTTGTCTGACCTGCTGTTGAGACCTATATCGATTGGCAGAGTTCCGAGGCTATAGATAACTCAATGCGAACCTGCGTGTTTCACAAGTTAGAGGCAGAGGTAGAAGTCATGTTCTTAGAGGACGGTAATACGACTTTAGCGAGTTCTAGGAAGCTAAGAGTCTATGCCTCGAAGAGGAAGAGGGACCCAAGAGAGCGTCAGGAGGTATGAGAATATACCGTGGGGTTGAACATTTACTTGAAAAGGACGGTATTTGAATGGATTGAAGAAGTCCTGAATTGCGATTTGTCTTTTGAGTGGCAACTGACTGAATGGCGGATATCACGGTAAACCGTTGAGCTTTGAAGTTCATCTGCATCGAAACGATCAAGCGCGACTGGCCACATCCAGTTGTATATACAAACATTGCACAGGGTTTAAGAGAATCGGAATAGAAAATTTCCATTTTCCTGTAGCCTGGTCGTTATAGATATCATCGAATCTGGGCCAAGACCAACTACAAAGCTCCCCTTCCGTACTGCAACGTTCGACGAGGAGTCAACCCTGGATCCTCCAAATTGCATTGCACAAGACTCACATCGGAAAGCCAGTCTTAGAGGTCTTGAATCCGTTATTTTCGGAAGCATGTCGGACCACGCAAAGACAACTCCCCGATGCTTCGGACACGAGAGGATCTTCTTTTCTGGTACCATTCTGTATGAATCAAGTGGTCTGCTTCTGGTCCCGAAGTTGGGGCTGGTGCTATTGTATTGGGAAGGAGTGCTTGCCCTGGAAGTCTTGTCTGAGCGCGAACTCTTACATGAAAGGAACGTCGCTAAGAAGATATATTTTTTAATCTTGGAGGAAATCTTCAAATCCTCAAAGAACAAACTTGACCAACAATTCCGCATTACCGAAGAACCTGAAAAATTAATCACCATAAGCTTCTTAAATCAATTAATAAATATGCCTTCTTAACGAACTACCAGAGCTTCCAAAGCTAAACTGGCAAATGAGCCCTTGCCACCTTCACCCCCCTACTTAATCCTTACCTTTGCCCTCTTCCTAGCGCAGGGCAAAACGGCTTAATCCGGGTGCAAATGGTAAGATATTTTACAATGACAGTATGCAGTGATCATTGGTGATATACTGATATTGCCGTAGAAATAACTCCTAAGCTCCCTAAAACTCCACATTAACCATTGCAACCTCTTGAGCAAAACTCAATTGTGTTGCCTAATGCAGGCTTAAACAGTCAATCGGATAGTATGTTCAAGAGAATAAGTATAAGTCAAGATATTAACCAAGGTAATTAGACTCTATCCTCTCTCGACCCCGTCTACGACGATTAGCAGCCGCCATAGTGCAACTCTTTATGCTCGCCACCCTGAGCATGGAGCCAATGCCCCTGACGAGGAGGGGGAGGAGGAGGAGGAGGAGGAGGAGGAGGAGGAGGAGGAGGAGGATGATGATTTGGATGAGATTGAGATTGACTCTGGTCACCCCCCCGGGGAGGAAGAAAACTTCTGACATGAAGCCATGATGCCAAAATAAATTAGTCTAGAGGCCTACTAAGATATACTAAACTTACCAAAGTCTTGTTATTACTTAGGATAGAGGTCTTAGGCTTTCTTGCCTCCCCTAACCCCCTTGCAGAATGTTCATCTACTTGTCAATTGCATTGTCACGATGAGCTCTCGTCACCGCTATCATCATCAGGCATATTGACGGTCTCATTCTCATCGTCACCCAGACAATGGCCTCCACGATACTCGCATTCCTATTATCTACCGGCTTCGCGATCGACTTGACCTCCTATGCATCTTCCTCGATCTCTTCCTTGTTTTCCCAACTGACCGAGCGCACCGTCAACAGACGAACTCCCTCCACAAAACCTCCCGGACATACCAGCGACTTCCCTTGACCCAATATGGAACTTCCTATGAGACGAGCCCGTCTAGAGGGTGTGACGGTGCGCATACCTAGCTCCTAAGAGACGAGACAAGCATGTCTCTATCGAGACTTCCCCTTCTAATAGCCACCGTACCGAGCGCGAAGCGATATCGGAGGTCACCACAAACGACCTAGCGAGGCAGACCAAGGCCAGATTTATGCGCGCAATTAAAGTCTCCCTGGAGGACACGAAGCTCGAGATATCGTTTGCAGATCGGTCACCAGTTTTGGAGTAGTTTGTTAAGGCTTTGGCGTCGGGTAAGGCAACGGAGCGTAAGGTGTTGTGGATCATCATGGAGACCACTGGGCAGACCCTGAGTTGGTGACCAGGGCGGAGATCTCTTGAAGGTAAGTGGATCCTCGGCCGTGGCTTGTTGAATCAAACTGACTGATGTCAAAGATAGATGCGCTTGTCCAGAAAATCCGCCGAAATGCAAACGCCCCGTCGTGCTAAATCGCAAACCCTCTCGATCCTCTCCTGCCTCAAGTGTCAGAAATCTAATCATATTGAGCAACACAATACCAGTATCAGCACGCCTCCCGGTCCACTTCAATCTACCGGATGACCACAAGCTGCAGGGAGATTTGTCGGAACCCCAGAAAATCGAAGCTCTTCATCGTCATGTACAATCGCCGGCCGCTACTCGTCCGAAACTATGATCGATCTTACTGCCTGCGATGATAATCACGATGAGATGATCGATCTCGCTGATGACCCAGGCCCTGTCCGCCAAGGCGATGTGGCTCCGTCGATACAGCTATGCGGCGTCCAAGTCTAAGCAGGCCCAATCGTCGAGCTGGCCGTTATGAACTCTTCGGCCATCACTTCCACTTTTTCTAGGTCGAGTGTGTGGCTGAGTGCGACCAGAAGATCCGTGAAACACTGCGGCCTAGGGACGCCCGCCGACACGCAGCGCGATTTGTGCATGCGCACCTTGCGACAGGGCGACAGCCGAGACCTGCAGGACATCGACGTCGATCCGGACCGCGTGGTTTAGTGTACGCTCTTTTACTACGAAGAGCGCGACATACAGCAAGCCAGACAATGATCCTATGCAGCTGGCCTGCCGGTAGAACCTGGAGGTCTGCTCCGAAGGGCAAGACAAATACAGGAAGGAGCTGGGCGGGTCACTTATCTTCATTGGCTCGGGCGATGGCCAGCAGCAGAGAGGCCTAGAGTCGAGGGATAGGCTCCGCTGAGCTTGGTGAGACTACAGTATGTGGGTCCCCGCTCATCAACAGCTGCCCTCAACATCGCTGGTGCCGTCGGCAACAATACATCATGTTCCATTGGTCCTATGGTGATGACGGCGTGTATTGGGGCTCACTCGTGGCCAGCTTTAGGGTCCAGGGCGCCGTGAGCAATGCGCCGGACCTGTGGGATACCTGCCAAGCGAGCTTCTTCAAGACTGAGCTATTCCGGACACTACACCCTCGTCTTATCACTAAAGGGCAGATACTTGGACTCACTCTGGGCCGCCACTGGAGAATACTTGAACAGCATCTGTGTCATTTGCAGTTTAGACTTGTGGCCGAGAGCTTATGCTCAACGCGTTGAACTTGGTGAACTTGGTTTTTCAATGGGTTTGCCGGCTGCTTCACTAAGCATGGCTACTTAAATGGCTGGCGAATGGTCAGGCGCAGCACCTAAGGCTCTGTCCGACCTGGAGACGACCTCCACGACATCGATCATGTCCACTGCTTGGACCCAGTGAGTGCACCCTACGACGCTGACCACCTCACCAAATCGTCACCACCAGAGAGGGAGACGACTTCTACTACACAGATCGCTCGCGGAAGCACATCGTGCGGAAGCTCGCCAAGCTCCAAGGCCTCTCGGAATCGCACCGATTAACGGCGATATCACCTCGACCAGGAAACAGATTGGGATATAAGTTCCCCAAACAAGGCATGCGTATTGTACAAACATACAGAGCGCTGGCTTCTCAGCGAAGACGGCATGGTGTCCAAGACCGAGGACCATGGGACCATCCTTGTGGACAACGCGTGTGTAATTTGAGAGACCCTGATGTGAATATCGTCATTAATTTAACATAGCTGGATAGAACAAGATAGCTAGCCGCAATCGAATCCTGTCACATTACCTCGACCGAATGATTTGTGTTGTCAAAATATCCTCTGAACGGGTAACTGGTTTTTGAGTTATTGTATTGTGTCTCAAGGCGGATTATATTTAATGATGAGAAGAGATCATGGAAGCCATCGCAATAGCACTTGGAGGAGGTTTGTCTGCCGTGCTGTTTGTGCGCTATTGCGCAGGATAACAGTCAAAAGATCACAGCAAGGTGTCGATCGTCAGTACAACGACGAAACCGGGCGATTGAGGCTTCCAGTCAGGTGTTTTGGCCCCCAGCCCATTTCTGTTTTCCTTTTTTTTGACACTCCATCCAGCTGTCTTACACCAAGTCTGGTCCCCGCCACTGGCTTCTCATAAGCCTTAGTGGCCGCCTGGAGACGTCAGACCTTGGTCTGATCGAGAAGTGTAGGGTCCAACCTTGCAGACTTGGATAAGCCATCACGGGCTTCAATAAAATACAAAGATCATCATGTCGTGTATTAAAATGCAGTAAACTTCAATTAGATAGCTCTTTCAATAGCTGTGTTAAACCCCATGGCAGGTTGTCGAATGACAAGGTACCGTCTTCTAGTCCTTTGAAGACTTTCTCGTAGATGTTCGCCACCTCCCAACTATCCCAGACCCCTTCACGTCTATTCATTGACCGCAATATCATGATCGATCTGTTCCGAATCTCGGCGTCCGTGCATGAAGCGCAAATTGTAGAAAGCTCGCGAACTAGATGGCCGTCAAAAGCAAACATCGGCCGGGTTTGAGAGTTTTCTAGCGCAACAATCTGCTCAATCTTATTGAGTATTCTTTCATAGTCACTCTTCGCGAACCCTGTGTTGTGGGGGTCTGTGTTGAGGAAAGCTGACCATGTTGTCTGATACAGTGATAATACTGCCAAGCGACGTTTCTCCAGGGTTCCAAATGGAGTTATCTGGACAGACATGACAAAGAGTTGCATCCTTGAAGTCCATGAAAGGAAGAGGGGTTTTATTAAATCCAGGGCATGGATGAACGACTCGGTTGCTGATTGTGCAAGGCTCTTGCAGCCGACTTTCTGATCGATGTCGGGTAGAGTGTCACTGCCAAAGAGGCATTCATCGAAGAATGCGTTCAAGGCCGACAGAGAGACTTCAGCCTCCGTGATAGTCAAGAAGGGCGTTTTGGGATTACCCATATCTATCTCTGGGGCGCACTGGGTGATATTAGAGAAGGCCGTATCTCCTGTGAAAGCACCGACACTCTTTCCAAGAGAGGAGAACATTGCGGCTAACATCTTAAAAACTCCGGCATTCCGGTCTTCTGGTGGGCAGCTCGTTCCGTTCGGTGATGTCTCCGGCGATCGAGCGACGCGTAGTGATTCTAGAAGTTGATAACCAGCGCGAAGATGGCGCACCGAGTCTGCGTAACGGCGGTGTAAGTTCTCGATGCATATAAATATCGTACAACATAGTAATGCGGTTTGTATATTGGAGGCAGAATTTTCTGCCATGACTGGACGTATTAGAGCAATAGCTTCGCTGTATTTGAGATTCGCTTGATAGTCGTAGTCGATAGAATGGCCCAAGTTGTTGAGGTTCCCTGGGTATGATGCGAGGAACCGCTGATGAGAAGCCCCTAGTGCACATAGCGCGTGTTTGATGACAGTGTTTGAGTAGGATAGTGGTAATATGATATCGTGCCAGAACTCTCTTGAGCCATCAATCATCTCAAGGTCAGGGATCACCCATTCTCTCGTATGGTAATAAAGAGCATTATCAGCTGTATTGGCCAACACTCCGCCTGTCAAAGCTGGGCGTAATGTACTGGACCCGCTGGTCATTTCATCGGACTTCGGATGCAAAGGCAACTCATATGACGAAGTGCCGCTGACGTAAAGCGGCTCGGGGCTACTCTGAGAATAGCCATCGCATGTCCATTTGTCTCTCAAGCAACGAAGACAGGAAGGTTTTCCCTCGTCACATTTCAAGTGGCGACGTCTGCAACACTAGATTAGTCCTGCAGCTCGTGCCATTCGCTATTATCCGAGTAACTGACTTGCTAGATTAAAAATCAGCCCGAGTTTCTTCTGCCGACCCGAGGTCTCAGAAACTTACCAAGTTTTGCAACCTGTTCTGACCTTGGGAACCTTGGCCCTGGTTCGCTTCTTTCGTGGTTGATCTTGAGGTTGTATGGTGGCCATGGTGATCCATTTGTTACGAGAGGGCTAACCAGAGCTACATATTGGGGGAGCTTGGTTTGACTTATAACATCACCAGTATGAATAGGGCTGTGCTAGCTCGTGATGGTTGACTCGTCCGAGCGTTCGCTGCAACCCCCATGCCCGCGGGCCACCGTAGCCCGCAAGCTCATTGGTACTGCCGTAACTCGACCCCACCGTGGGACGGTGTTTCATGTCGCCGACTCAGCCGAGAAGCGAAATGCTTTTAAGCGACTTTTCCTTTTTAATGATGGATATTTCGTATTCCCGAGGGATCTAGCTCGTGTCAAGAGACTACTTGCCGTATTTGTACTAATGCGTGTCTCAAGTGACAGTCTCGTCTTAATTTATCTCTACGCTAGTCCTCGATATCCGGGCTACAGGGCTAGCCAACATCACTGCCACCACGATTATGTCACCGCGGAAATGAGGCGCGTGATGCTTATTGGATATCTGCACTAACATGGAACTTCACTTTGTCCCATGATGAACCGGCGCAATGAAGTGCGGAGGGTTTCCCCAAGTGGCAATCCCTGTAGGTTAAAAATATGCTTGGAAATAGGATTGGAACTAAGCATCATTTGGATTTGTTACGACAGATGCAGAGCTATTGTCACGACTTCTCAATCAAGACTTCTCAATGCCCAAGTCATGGGGCCCCTTTGCGGGTTCTCTCACGTTTCTTAGGACCACAGTTCCATCAATATAAGTAGTCAGATCTTGCTGACGAACCAGAATGGCAAATCATCAATCACCATGCTTCAACTCAAGAGACTACCATGGTCAACAGCAGCCGTTGCTTTAAAAGCAGTCATTGTTCTCTTTGGCATCCTCCTTTGCTACCAAGCCTACACATTCTACGGCGAATGGAGTTGGCCGAAATCTTTCAGTTATGGCACCACGCACGATCCTATTTCTCTTGTTCATCCTCATGGCGGAAGCCAATGTTTACCCTCGCTGAACTCCTCCCTTCCACTAGAAGCAAAGGCGATACGGAATGCATGCCGGCATATGCCTCCATACCCATCCTCAGACGTACGAATCGGAAGAGTCACTGCACACTTTGGCTCGGTTCAGGAACACTACCAGAAGGCGCTGCGTACGCATGTGCTACATAGCATGATCCATGACAACGACCTGGAGGTTATGTGTACTCCAGTTGTTGATTCACTCTGGAACAAACCTGCCTTCATCCTGTCGCTCCTCTTGGAAGAGATGGTGAAGCCTGCCCAAGAACGCTTGGAGTGGTTATTTTGGGTAGATCGCGATACCCTGATCCTCGATCAATGCCGTCCTTTATCGAGCTTTCTCTCTCCTCACGACGTTGATGAGCCTGACGAAACCGAAGACACAGACGACTCAGAGCCCGAGCGAAGAGACGAGACGAAGTACGATGACATACATCTCTTGGTGACGAACGACTGGAACGGCCTTAACAATGGTGTTTTCTTCGTCCGGGTTAACCAGTGGGCAATTGAGCTGTTTAGCGACATCGCTGCATTTCGATACTACAGACCCAACGTTTCGCTTCCATTCACTGAGCAAAGCGCCATGGAGATCATTATGAATGAACCAAAGTTCAAAGCAAACGTTCGAGTTATTCCTCAAGAATGGTTCAACACTTATCCTAAAGGGTCGGCCACAGACTTCGTTGAGAAGGTGGACGAAGATGGCTTGAAGGACTATCATGCGAGACGAGGAGACTTCCTACTGCATTTTGCAGGTCGTGGTGGAAGGGATAAGTTGATCAATGAGTGGACCGAGATGTTGGAGGGTACCAGAAGTATATGGCCGAAAGAGGAGGTTCAAAGGAATGCGACGACAAGCATTCGGGGGTTTTGGTCCGGGCTCTGAATCATCGAGCTGAGAAGCGATCTGGAACAGCTTTTATCACTATATATAATTAGATTTCAGAGCATTCTTATCATAAATTAATAATTCTACTATTTACAGAAGCACTTATTTATCTTATAGAAAGAATAAACTGTTTTACTTGCATAATGAACTCCTGTTACTCTTATAACCACCCGGAACGCATTTCTAACAGTCCCAGACGTGAAGGCACGCATACAAATACAGTCTCAAAAAGGCTATAGTTCTAGGTAGAAGAAACATGCCTAGATAGATATGTAATAAAGGTAAATTGCAAACATTGCAAACTCTCACCTTTATCACGAGCGCCATGGTGTTTGGAGGCCAGCGAGAGTAGAAATGGTAAGCAATGCGCGGACGACTTTACACCCAACTCGAAGTCAGTCTGGCACCCAATTGACACGGTTCCGTGGTCTAGTTGGTTATGGCATCTCGTTAACACCGAGAAGGTCCCCGGTTCGATCCCGGGCGGAACCACGTTTTTTGCCCCATGCCCATCGAGTGATACGTATTTTTGCCTCGGTATGATGTTGGGGACATTAACCAGCAGGTTGTATCATTGCTAAAGGGTTTAAGGTCCAAGTTGAGCGGCAAGGCATTTTTTTGCATTGAATGCCCTCCAGGTATAAAAGAATGAGCTGGACAGCTGTGGCTTGAGACACCTTCCACCAACATCTGCCTCGCCCATACCCAGCAACTGATAAGGCTTGTCTGCAAACAGGACAATGCAGAAGCCCACAAAGAAGAGAAACATTGGTTAGCATTCGGGATCTGCAATCAGCCTGCCAAGGCCGGTCGGCCAGACTCTCTGTGGCGTGACACGCCGGAATGCACGAGGAATTGTACCGCTAAATCCATGGCGTTCAATAACCATAAAATTAAGACTTCAGCCTCACAGGGGAAGGTATGCTGCTAAGCCATTTGCGAGTTACCAACGCTCTTCAAATCCAATAGTCTTTGTCTCAGAACCTTACTATGCTTCATCCGACGCCCAGAAACGGGCTGGTGATGTGCAGCATGGAAAGTTCTGCTTGGAAGGACTCACAAAATAAAAATGAGGCTGAGGAGCTGAAAGGCTTAGAAGGTAGCTTGTACTGCAAGTGGCTGGCTGCGACGTTGTTCTGGGTCCTTGGCATTTAACCATGAGTTTGCAAACGATGGTCAGTATTGAGTATTTAATACAATGCTATATCCTGGGTTTAGTAGATAAATCATCATACATTCATAAAGACTCACTCAGCAAGGTTCTGCAATGAAAGTCTTTTCATTTTCCATACTCCTCGGTGCCCTTCTCTCTCGGACTGATGCTGCTGAACAGAAGCACATCGATGAAGCCTGCAGCGATGTTTGGGGAGTCATCAACTGCGGTAGCAGTGTTACGTATCCTTCCTACCCAAGAGCCGTTAATGGTAGGACACCGCAGCTTCCAGTTCTTTCCCAGCTGACCTCAATGATACAGACAACAACGGTAAACAGATTGATACAGAAATTGTGACTGAAGAAAAGAATATCTGCGACGCTGTCCGAGAAGCACTTGGCAGTAACGACTTCGTGGACAACGCCGAAACGTATTGCACTTGTCTCTCAAATGCTGTTTACTGGAGCACCAGTCCGAATGCTAGGCCCAGTTTCGATGGTCAGATCAATGCGCATATAACGGGGCCGTATCTCGACTGGATACACAAGGATGAAATAGTACGTCAACTTGATCGTGTTGTATCCGTCATCCACTAACGCTTCAAAGTGCCTTTCCAACAATGATTACAATATAATAACCGACAGGGCATCTGTGGTCAAGAACCAGCTTGCAGCTACAAATGGCTGGACCTTCGTTCGAGCTCCCGAGGCATGTCGACTCATTGATACAATGTTGTGTATTGAACAGCCACTAATAACAGTTTCAGATCGACGTAGCAACGTACAAAAGGCTCGCAAAAGCAGTCATGTCTTGCTATACAGGAACATGTGACGGACCGAAAGTTCGTGCCTTTTTCGCCAGTTACGTTGAAAACGCAGACAGCGTCATCGACAGCGATTTTGTCCGGATGCTCAACAAATGGGTTGCCTTGTTCGAAACTCTCAAGAAAAGGACAACAGATGTTCAGACCTATTCGAAGCAAGTTCAAGCGCGTCTGAAGACTGTTTCCTCCAAAGTCAACTCAGTCAAGGCCAATGTCTGCAAAAACAATGCCTGTAAAGGATCGACGCCAGCCAACGCGTTCAAGAAGTGTAAGACATATCGCATCAAGCTTTGGAAGTTTGGCTAACTCTGTAAAGATGCAAGCACAATCGCAACAGTGAAGAGTCTGCAAGGTGTTCCTAGTGCTGCAGGGAAGTCGCTTGCAAACATCCCTAAGATGACGCAGATTACACGGAATGCCATCAAGTACACCACAACTCCGGCAGATGAGGCGTATTATCTAAAGTTGATGGACGAATATCAGATCAACTCTTTGAGAGATGTCGTCAAGGCCTTCAGGGTGACTCAATATCTCCCCCAGGCAGCAGAAGACTTGAAGAAGCTCACTGGGACTTTCAACCTCATCAGCAATCACGCAGGCGCCGCAAAGACTGCAGCTACGTCCATCAATCAGATCCTGTCTGTCAACTGGGCCAAAAATTCCGAGCTGTCCAAGACGACATCAGGCCGCAAAGTCCGTGATGGCCTTATCAATATTCAGAGGAGCTTTAGGAATGATCTGAAAGGCCCTCTTGATAACCTCATCAAGGCCAACAAAGCAGTAGAAGACATTCTCGTTCAGGTACCTCTTCGGAAGAAGAGACTTGAATTTTATTCTGGTGGTGTCTCTTACAGCCGCTGGACCAACGCTCGAATGCCTGTGCCGTGCAAGAAAGAGAACACAAAATCGTGGACCATTGGGGGATTTCCGGCGAGTTATACCTACCAGGAAGTCCAGGCTTGCGAATTTGGTCCGACAAAGGTTCCATTCATTAAAAATGTCATTCCATATATGAAGTATCGCTTTGTTTGAAACCTTGTGGACCTTTGATGAAGCATCATTGAATAAGGCTTTCACAAGGTGCATGGGCAATTTGTACGGGGATCTACGGACTTACGCAGGCTAAGATAGAGTTTATACTTACGCGAATAATCTTGAAGCTGGTTGGTAGTAAACCTGTTGCTTTATACCTTTAGTGTCTGCCGGTATGTGAGGCAGAATAAATTCTGTACCTACTCGCCAAAACATGATCTCGATTCTCCAGTCTCACTCGCCAACTACGGGCTAGTCGCGGCTTAGCCCTAATCGCATCTTTCACTGATGTCTTTCCTTTTCATTTTCTTTCATTCTTTTCGTTGTCCCATGATACCCTATTACCCCATGAAAACACCAACCCCGCAAAACTGCTCCATGGTCCGGGGAAATTCGGGGCACTAGTCCGGGCCGGTGCACACCTATTAGCTAACGGTTTCCTCCACAATCAATAAAGTCTGAGTTTTAACTCCTGCACTTCGACGCCACTGCATATGGAGAATAATATGGTGGTAATGATGGGTTAACTATTACCTAAATGTTGAGACGCGGCTCGAGAAAAACAAAGGGAAGAAAATTCTGCAGAGTGCAGGGAGGATGTATCTATAAAAGGCGGCCATGCCAAGTCTTGAGGCTCACTATTCTCCTTCGGACGACTTGATAAAGTTGACTAGCCTGAGAATTATCGAAAAGTTGTACAAGGAACATCATGGCCACCAAAAGTATCGAAGAGATCCGCCCTCACTCACCGAGCTCTTCGGCTCTGGGTTTTGGCCAACAAATCGGCAATCCTGTATGTCACCCGCCATATCTCCTATCCAAACTGCAACTAACGTGGCTGGTTAGTCCCCATTGGCCATGGGCACCTTCGCCACTACACTTCTCACTTTGTCTTTGTCCATGATGGGATTCCGTGGAGTTGAGACCCAGACAATCTTCATTGGCAATCTTTGCTTTGCCGCTGGCCTTTGCATGTTTGTCTCTGCTCAGTGGGAGATGGCCCGCGGTAACACCTTCGGTTACTCTGCATTGAGCGCCTATGGTGAGTGACTAACACGGATCTCGACGTAGAAGCTGTGATTTGAGGCTAATCGCTTCTCTAGCTGTTTTCTATGGTGGCTACGGCGTCATCCTGTGTCCATCGCTCGGTGTCCTTGAGTCGTATGGCGGACCGACACCCGAGTATCATAACGCTTTGGGGTTCTACGTTCTGAGTAGGTCTCTATTGGTGCTTATAATTATCCAATAGCTAACCTTTATGTAGTTTGGGCAGTCTTGACACTGTTTTTCATGCTTGGATCAGCTCCAATGTAAGAAACCTACCATTTTCTGATCCCCATGACGCTCACAAGCATTAGTAATCTGGTCTCCTTTGGCATCTTTACCACTATCTTCTTCTGCTTCACCCTTGACGCGGCCTCCAACTTCGCCCATGCTGATGGAAAGGTCGAGGTTGCAAAGAATCTCATGAAAGCTGCTGGTGTATTTGGATTTGTCTCCGGTCTTTTGGGATACTACAGCTGTGCTGCCGTTATGTGCGCTGATGCACTTCCATTCGAGCTGCCTTGTGGGGATACGTCACGATTCTTCAAAAAGACTTGCAAGCAATTGTGACTGCTTCTTGATCGGTATCATTGAGAATGAGGAGAGATTGAATTTATGTGATCAATGTATTTTATGAGAAGAATGATATCGCATTGGACGAGGCCACCGAAAACTATGGAACGACACTGATCGAGTATCAACGACTGAATATTCTTGACACTCTTCCCGTTCGTCCCCCTTAATTTAACTCGAATATCCATCGGAGACGTGTTTTCATGTTCGCGGGAGCCATTCATGTAAAGAGATGAGGTAAGAGGCCTTTGGGTTCATCGTCAATCTGGTTGGCTTCTTCCTTATCACGCCCCACCTCGTACAGACGCCAGGTGAGGAGCAAGAGAAAGCTTAGGATGACTATCTTAATGAGATAGAGTGTATAACATAAACTAATCTTTCTTAACTCCTTCCTGTTCATCCTCCTTGATATCATCCCAGTCTCCATCACCATCGATTTTCCTCTTAACATCCTTGGGAGAAGGAAGATGGGGTGATGCATTAGGATCCATCCCCCAGACCTTGCTCCAAAGAAGAATCTGTGTCGCGATGATGAAGACGCCAGCACCCACGACAGCAGCCCAGACCAGCAATGCGAAGGTAGCAACAGGAGAGTAGAGGGCGATGCCCAGAAGACGTGGTCTGAGGGAACCTGGATATGTTCGTTTAAATACTCCCCAAGAGATTCGCCACGCGGATTTCAGGACCCAGGAACCGTGGAGGAGTTGGACAGGGAACGCAGAAGTGCACACCAAGAGCGCGAGGTATTGGTGGAGGCGTGATGTGATGCGGTCCTTGAGCCAGAAGCCAGGGCGTCGCGGTTGGGTTGCAGGACTGGGTTTGATTACGGCGGCAGTATCGTTTTCGTTGTCGTCTTCATTTGGGAATGAATCGACCTGCTTAGCTGACCACCAGCTATTGGCTATGATGAGGATGGCCAGTGTCCAGAAGAGGTCGCTCTTGAGGTACTCATATCGAGCAGAGTCTGAGTACCACCAGGACTCGTATGAGGGGTAGGGTTTGGCAGTCATTTTGGCGATTGATTCATGCAATGAGAGAATGAATTTGGATGCATTACAGATTGAATTGCGGGAGGGATTAATCCTTTTTTGAAAGCTTCTGTTTAAACGGCTGCCTGGATGCTGACTTGTGTCTCCACATTCCATCCATCTTGCTCACTTGATTGGCTTCGGGCGTTCACAGTGGCTCGTTAGCATGGACACCGAGAATGACCACTGTGCCCTGCGTCTAGTGCTAACTTGTAGGTCTGTCAACCAATGAACGATATCACTGAACGGTCATCGTACATCTTTGTCGGCAATCCAAGGCTGACTGTCAAAGTTGTCTATTTCTATGATAGTAATTTAGACTAGATAGGAACTTCACTTCAAAGGATGCTTGAGCACCAACTTTCCGAAAGTGCTCATGTTCTTCACGTTATATACCTCCTTGATGGCATCTTCTCCAGACCCTTCAAAGACCCGAACAGGCGCTGGCACATACCCGCCGGGGGCACCATAATTCTCAACAGCCCAGCGAAAGCCCCTCCAATGTCTATCAGCAGCAGCCATGTCCTTTGGCCAGACGACCTTTTGGCCCCCGGGCAACTCGAACTCGACATCGAAACGACGTGCCCCCATGATTGCTTTATACTCTGGATCGCCGCCCAACAGCACTGAAGCCAGAACAGTTCTATCGTGTTGAGGAATCGCTTTCTTTAGTAGGACTTGGGATTCGGGAGATCCAAGCGCGTCAAAGGCCCAGATTGTTCCGCTGGTTGATTGCAAGGCTGATTTGACCTTTTCGATTACATCTGTATCGTTGTAGTCGAAGGACTGGGTTGCACCCAGTATCTTCAGATATTCGTGTCGCTTAGATGAGGCAATGGCTATGATGGAAGACACTCGCGCTGCCCGGGCAAACTGAACAGCAGCCATGCCAACACTTGTCGCACCGCCCCAGATCACCAAAGTTCCCTCCGGGGCAGCGACACCCTCATCGGGCGTACCCTCTTCTCCAAAACATGCTCTCTGGGACCGCGGGACAAGATGTTAAAGAAACATAGAGACGAAGGTGTTACCGAACTGAAGAAACACGACTTACGAACTTCCTGTGCCGCGGTGCAGAAGACTCCGAGGCTGCGGGACCTGAGAGTAGGCAGAATTGAAACATCATCATTAAATGATCTCCTGGCACAAACTCCATTAAACGAAACTCCCGGATGAGAGTCTGGCAGAGCACCTGGCGGGAGACAAGACGCCAGAGGCTCAAGGGAGCTGAACTTGACTGAGCCAGGAGAACGCCAGGACATGTTACACTGATCGGGGCTGGACAGAGCTGAGAGCTCTGTGAGACCTGAGACAGAGGAGAGATCTCCAAGATACGATATACTGGACAGAGCTAAGCTCCGAAGAAGACTACAGGAGAACTTGGACATATACTACTGGTTCTGGCTGAGCAGTCAGAAAATCAGTGGGAAGAAGCAGACATACCCTACTGGTCTGAACTGAGCGGCTGGGAGATGGGCAGGGAAGACTTGGATATACCCTACTGAAGTCTGACTGGAGCTGGGGAATGACCAAAATTTGACTTAAATGAATCACACTGGAGGTAGCACGATTTGGATAAGTCTAAAAATTGGCTGGCAGGAACCTTCCTGGAGAAGTCTAGAGGTTGGAAGTGCTGGGCTGAGAAGACCTGAGAACTCTGGAGCTGGAAGTCTGGCGGAGTCTGGCGCCGAGCAGGAGACTCCGGGAGGACTTTAGAGTTGGCTAAGGTCAAGCTTGGTATACAGGCTGGACTAGACTAGATACCAGACTGACAGCCAGGACGCAGACAAACTTTAGTACGAAAACACCAGAGCGGCGGACCCTAAGGCTTAGGATCTATGATACTTGGAAATCACTCTGAGTCACTCTGGTCAACACTGAGCCCGAGACATCCCGAAAAATCAATTGGCTTTAAATCACTTTGAGAAATTGGAGATTTGAGCCTATGCCTGATAGCAGCGCCAAAGACTTTAATTACTACTAGCACTAGACCACCAGAACTTTAGCCATAATAACTCTACGACAACTCCTTAGACACTGGGACTGATCCCCCCTAGGCAAGTCGCTATATTTGAGGCCATTTATACCTACTGATTTTATACCACCAAATTTTGGGAGTTATGAATGAGCGATAATTGCAAGGCCCTGTGGATGACAGGAGGCGTGACCGGAACGACTCCAAGACACTTATGCAAGGAACTCCATCTCGGTGGCACCGTTAGCTCCAGGTTCCACATATTTCCTCCGCTGGAACATGTCGCTGAAACCAGTTGATCGTTACGCCCACAAGCAATGGAACGGACGTGTTCAGCGGTCGCCGGTCGTTGGTCGCTTTCTGTCCATGTTCCACTCAAAATCGCGCCGAGTTATAGCCGGCACAATTAATTCTGGTGCCTGAATCAATTGATCTTTTTTTGGCTCGAGAAATTGACCGTTGTTTGTTGACATTTAAATCGTAGCCTAGCAGGCAACGACCAAACGACAGCCTCTTAATACTGGCTTCGGTCTCAACGCAGCAAACATACGTAACACAGCCTCAAAGAACACTCCAATCTCTTATACCCCTTCAATATGACGCGTAACCTTTATGTCCCTTTCGAGATCGTCCTTCAGATCCTTGAAACGTCTATTCCGCCTGGTGAACCCAATCGGGTTATTGACGTTGCAACCCCGGAAGTTCAGCAGCTCGTCACCTGGACAAGGGTATGCCGCGCGACGTATGAGCCAGCGACCAGGTTTCTACGGCAGCACTGTGTACATCTCGACTCGATACCTCGACTCCAGAAATTCTTGCGCTGCCTAAACTACTCCAAGACTTTAAAAGCAGGGGGCCATGAATCTCTCCCCAAAACCGTCCCACTTTTTGCAGTCTCGTCCATCTATCTTGGACTCAGCCTCGAGGAGATCCAGACGCTACGAGCCAGTGCACTTGTCTGGGATGTCTTTCTGGAACTCGGTGGCTCTGTCCGCCGATTGATCATTGACCTGCCGTTTCGCAGAATCGCTATGCAGCATAGCATTGATGCGCATATTGATCAAGTCTTCTCTCGGGGTCTACAAGCGTTGATCAACCTTGAAGAGTTCGTCACCTTAGGCGGCCTGCCTTCATTAGAGTTCTGGAGGAGTGAGCTCAACGTCAGCCAAATTTGGCCCAAGTTACGAAAAGTCGCTGGATTCAGCATCAACCTGAGTGACGAAGGACTTTGGTACAATGTTGCTCGACATCGAAACATTGCGCATCTGGTTATCACAAGACCTTATTTGCTTCGCGTTCAGAAATGGAACATCAAGCAATCTATCGGTAGCGTACTTTGGAACCCCGAGTTTGGAGGTAACTCGACCTATGCTCGGCCTTTGAAGATTGTCATTGTCAATCATGAGTTTAGCTCACCCATAATTGATACGGAAGGCGGAAATATTCACGACCCGGCTGGGCTTCTCGATGTCTCGTCTATTGAGATACCAATGCACGCGAAACGGGTCGATTATGTCTGCCGTGAGTGGCTGATCAAGGCTGCGAAAGAAGATACGCTTTGGGGGTACTGACGTATAACCGCGTACGATATGATAATAAGAAATATATTTATTAATATCGTGGTAGATCTTTCTTGAATCCTGTGGTGACATCCATTTGCGCCATGTCTACAAGGTTGGACCCTGCACTTATCGATCAGACCAGGGTGTGACGTCTCCAGGCGGCCACTAAGCCCTATGAGAAGCCAGTGGTCGTGGACAACGGCTCAAAGGAATACATCACAACCTGACTGTTCTCTTGGTTCTTGATCTACCACATGAAGGGCTACAAGATCAAGTTAATCATCAAAAAAGTGACACAAGAAGTGATAACCAGCCACTCCATGAGGACGACCAAGCGGACATCATGCACCATCAACATCTTCAAATGCAAAAGCTCCGCGATCGTGCAATGTTTTAATGAAAAGGAACCGTGTTGCGAGCCAGGATGATGATGTTTTCACCAGCGCCGAGCTCAACCTCACCATATTCTCGGGAAGTTGCCCGTATACGAACGTATCGTCGCCGACGAGAGGTTTGCTTGATCTTCCGATAAAGTCTCTACTATGTACCACATACGGCTTTCAAGGGGTTGCAAGATAGATCGCCCTACCGGCAGTACACAGTAGAGGCCAATTAATTGTCCACTCGATCAAGAACATCGGCAAGAGCATCATCAAGATCAGGATATCGTGGGCTGCCATGGACATTATGGAAAACAACTCAATGCCTACAGGAGAAACAGGAGTGAGGAGGGCCTCTACGCCATGGGTGACGATTGCGACGAGCTTGAGCCCTTCGCCAACATCAAAGAAGAAGACTGGATAATCGACCATAAGAACAAAGCAGTAAGCTAACATAGTATATTTTTCAACAATATCGAGAGAGACGCCCTAAGCTTACTATCTCTTACAGGCAGCCAAGTGTCAATATGAACATCACAGCAAAAGATTCCATAGACATGAGCAGAATGTTTTAACCAAAGAGCTCAGTATCAAATGACCCGACACCTGGAGTTGCGTCGAGGACTGCGAGGCAACCAGACTGCCGAGTAAGGCGCGCAATGCAAGCATCAGCTGTCAGTACAACCAGACTGAGCATGATCAACAGGTTGCCATATCGAGCGCTTACTTTCACTGATCGAGAGTGGCTACGAGATCTACGTCAATGATGAAAATATGCCCGTCGCCTCGCTCAAGAGAAGGGATAACGGCGAGCCCATGAAGCAGGTAATTTAGGCCATGATGAAGAGCAACGCACCGTGTAACCTGAACAAGCACCTCAGAAAGACAAAGAGTCAAGAGGACGCCGTGTTGTCACTCAGCGGACCAGATGAAGGAGTTTGAGTACATCACGGAATACGCCAAAGAGCCCTCATTAATAATCTCGCTGCCGCTGCTCTCTTTGTGGTTAAAGCACTGGCTGAACCTTGCCCTGATGGTTAACGCATCTTTCAGACGGAGCTTTCAAGCTAGCCATATACAGAAAAGAAGCTTCTTTCGTTAAAGGAAGGCCCTGAAACAACCCCTTATCTCGAAGATGTCGCATGGAGGTTATCAATGCCAAGCCTTCCTCGCCAGTCTTTGAAGACCAGCCTTCATTTCCATCATTCTTCCCTTCCATCTGTTCGGTCAGAACTTCAACCTTCCGTTGAGATCGACTCCGGAAGTTCCCCGGGTTAGGAGCTATACGGCAGCTTCATTCGGAGACCCCTTCGTGGCGCCCACCACCAAAGCTGTGTCTCGAAACATATATCCATGAGACTGATCACTGGGATAAATACAAAACCAGGAGAAATAATCCTAACGACAATATTCATGTTGGTCTACCAGCAATACTATTCCTATCCTCACTTGGCCACCACAGTTTCACTCAGACCGGCAATCTACTACACAGACAACCTTTTATCATCGAAAAATGAATACACCTCAGTCCATTAGCATAAACCCAAGTGAATAGATTTAAGTACATACAACAAGCCACTCTGGCTTAACAGCTGTAAACCGCGAGTGGGTTATATGCCTCAACATGCATTACGTTGGTATTCGATACCTCCGGTATATTATCTCGACAAGGCTGCGACCATCGTGGAACTCCTCGGTCTAAAGACGCTAGCGTTCCCTGTGTTTGGTAAGGCCTGATTAAGATATAACATTGACCACTCACAATTAGTGATCAGTCAGTCGAGATAACCAAGCTCATGTGCTTTGCTTAAGCAATTGTACACTACGCGGCGAACTGGAAGCCCTGCCGCATTCTTACCGTATGGGAGATGTGCCTCGCGGTGAGTTGGATCAATCTAATCGAACTTGGGGACATCTTCGAAGCACAGTGATTTAGGACGAAGGATTTCACCCGATACCTCGTTCTTGCGATGTCCTGAATACGACAACCTTTTAAAAGATTCGGCTCGCCTATGAACGTCATAATCCATACAGATATCCAGGAGTACCAGAGCCAAGTTTGCTCATCACGGCGGCTCAGTATGAGATGGAACGTTTAATGGCAAACTTAGAAAGTCGGGTTCAATTACAAGCCGCTAGAAGTGATGCGACACCTCTTTGTACAACTTACCTCGACGACGATGTCCAAATAAATAGAAGGAGTGATGCCGTGTCCGGACAGATGCCGCCCATCTCAGACTCAGCCGCAGGCGCGTTGCCTCGGGTGGCTACTGGCATAGGATGCGCACTTGCAGACTATTCCTATGACACATGAATCTGCCCCCCAGGATCCTTTTGGGTGGTCCTGAACGTGCTGAGAATGCTGCGTTGATTCCATACCCGAATCTGCCCCCACCCGCTCCAAATTCAAGCCCAAGGCCAGGTCTAGCGGCCATGCCACCGGCCTCGGGTCAAACGCCGGAATCCTTCGGTTCCTGGTTCATCGATCCGGGATATTTGTATGAGCGTTAGGTAATATTGTGTTTTATTTCAAGTTTATCCAGCAGTGCCTCGACCATCCATACCCCGATAGACACTATTAAATAGGGTGGAAAGGTGCTGTGAGTCTGCCTTGTGAGAACTACCTACCAAGGCTAAGCATATCGGTTGGGAAATTGTTTCCAAGCGTTATGACCTTAGGCCAGTGTTGGTTCGTGAGTTACCAGGACCATTGCCGGAGCCGTGACGGCTGAGAGAGGGCTCAGACTTAGAACGCTGTTATCAAGGCCGATTTACTCGACAAAAGGGGTCGAGGAAGATCTGAAAGTGAACTATACATAAATGAGGTGTGACGAGTTGCAATGACGGCCTTTACTGGCTGGTGTACAGCTTTAGTCTAGGTTGTCGGGGTTATTAGAGGTCTGGTATGCGGCACATGGCGTGGACATCATCACCGCCAACGGCTTTGCTAGCATCGTTGCCAGCATCACGTCCCCAGTCATCTCGGGCGTCCCCAGCACCAGAGTAGCTGTTGGGGTCGGATTCTGGGTCAGCCTCAAACTAGGTTTTGCAAACATCATTTTCAGGAACATACTACTGCAAGAATTCGGGGATCTCCTGGTTAGGTTCAATCCATTACCCTTCCCCCTAGGCATCCCTAGCATCCCCACTACCAGTATCATCTCCTCCCTAAGCGTCTCTAGCATCCCCACTACCAGTCTTACCACCGTCGTCAGCACCCCAAGCATCCCCACCACCAGTATTATCTCCTCCCTAAGCATCTCTAGCATCCCCATCACCAGTCTTATCACCGTCGTCAGCACCCTAAGTATTACCCCCAGCATCTCCCCAGCCTCGACTCCCCAGCATCACCTCCCCCGGCCTCGCCTCCCTCCCTAGCACCGGTATAGTCGTGAAGGTAAAAGCCAGAGTCGGCCCTAAACTTCAGGTTATTATAAGCGTTAGCCCCGATCTCCTGGTTGATCCCCAGCAGTGTTTAGGCAAGCAGCCCTCAGGAACATACTGCTGCAAGAAGTCAGGGGTCTCCTGGCTAGTCTCCAGCAGTGTTCGGGTGAGAACACTGGGCCATCGGCTCAAACTCCAGGTTGTTGCGGGTATCACCCTTAGGAACATACTGCTGCAAGAAGTCGGGTATCTCGTGCTTGGTCTCGAGCAGTGTTCAGAAGCCGCCCTGGACATCGTCTCATCACGCCCCAAAAGGAAAGACGTGGCCACACCACGATGGCCCGGGTGGGGTATATGCACTCATTCTATGGTTGTCGAGCTCTTCGGTGTAAAAGCGGCAGGCAGTTGCTGCGTTTCGTCCCAACACCTTGACGTCCGCGAGGGTCTTGACGAGGTCACTTCTGAGCCACTTGTGCTCATTGTGGTTCCCACTCGGGAATTAGCCGTTCAAATCTTCAATGAAGCTCGTAAGCTTTGTTATCGTACCATGCTGCGTCCCGGTGTCGTTTATGGGGGTGTTCCTCTAAAGGAGCAGACCCTTCTTCTGCAGAAAGGATGCGATGTCCTGATCCGGTTCATCTACCACGTCCAGTTCGTTATCATGTAGGCTTACGCAATAGGAGCCGTCAGGAGCATAGTCACTCCAACTCTGCCGTTGTAATCCGCTTGCTTCTGGAGCTGGAAATCTTGTCTCTTGCGCTTCATCGATCATGATAGAGGCCTAGTTATATTAGGAACAAGTCACATGGGGCAACAGAGGAACATACATAGTTTGCGAGCGCGTTGTCATTGACATGGTCCTGTAGCAGAAGGCCATTCGTCATGAAGACTGGATGCGTCTCTTCCTAATCCTTCTTACCGAACCGGACTCTGTAACCGAGATTCGACAATGATGCCCAAACGTACATCCATCTCTATCTCTTAAGCGCTACGACGAGCTACACTGGTTGACATGGTAGAGTCATCAGGATGAGGAGTTGAAAATAGCTCGAGTCCCAACAAGCCTTGCTATGCTGGATGCCGTTACTTTACGCGTTTGTGTACAGGTGACGCATAAGACACTTTCCCATTTATCATAGGATGAAGTGAAGGCCGTTGTCTTGTTGCGCAACAGTCTTTGCATTTATCTTGGTTGCTGTTGCTGCTGCTGCCGGTGCTATCGTATTGTATTCGCGGTTACGGTTGCGGTTGCGGTTGCGGTTGCGGTCGCGATGCCATCGTGGTCTCGGTTGAGGTATTCCGCTTATTGCAGTCGAGTTTCTCCATTTCCTTTCAGTTTTGAATTCTTTAGCGTTTAAATTTGCGTTTGCGGCTTGGGGCGAGATATGATGTGATTGTGGTTGAGGTTGGGTTTGGGTTGGATGGTAAGAAGAGCTGGCGGCTGGAGCAGGAGACCCACGGCATTTTTTCCACCACCTCATTGGCCCTTCTTTTTCACGCACCGCCCTCTTTTGGTTTTTTTTTTTTTTTTTTTTTTTTTTCACCCACCACCTTCAGTGGCCACGAAGGTGATCAATTTGAACGCATCCCCGAATGAAAGGCACGTGACTTGAAAATATCGCCTACACAAATGCACTAAATTAGTGCTAATGCCCGTTGAAAAATACAGCCATCCACATGCCATTAGTTAGGTAGTGGCTTAAAAGACTTTCACCCTTCACTAATAAGACAGCCAGCCAGAATGGCGCCCCCGCTTGCAGCCACAACAAGGAAGACCACCAGAAGAAAAATCAAACCTCATTTTCTGACGGCGAAGCTGAATGAGAAAAACTTCTACCGCTTTACTGGATTCGACGAGGTTATCGAGGGGACCTTTGAGATTACTCCTGAAAACTCTTTTTCTTCTTTTTTTTTTTTTTTCTTTTTTTTTTTTTTTGATATTAACGAGGCTATCACGCATGCTACGGCGCGGCACAGTCTTAGGTAGCTCAGAATTTCTAACCCATCAACAAATAGACTCTGATTAGTGGACGTAGCACCATTCTTTGCGGCGCCCCCGTGATTGCTGGTGGGGTTTGAAAGTCCCAGTAAGCTGGGCTTTGTCAGATTTTCTGTTGTCTTGGGGAGGTGGTGAGTCACCCTAGAGGCTTGGGTTTCATGACGTCCCGAAAAGAGTTGATCAGGTATTCAGGTCGTTTCGACAAAGCTTCCGACAAGCCGCAATAACCCGTCTCTCACTAAATACCTCGACGATACTCGCCTTTCCCACCTCTCCCTCACCGGACCCTTGCGACCAGCATCTCTACCATATCCCATATCAGTACGGAGACGGAACCTGACAACCTAAAAGAGCCATTCGCGACCAAACCTTCCACTCTTTGTCTGTCATCGGAATACGCCTCCTCACACCTCTTATACGGGCATAAAGTTCGTCGTAAAGCTACTTCATCATAAGCCCGAGTCGGTGACAGAATCAATGATGACTGTGTCTGCGTTTATGGCTTTGGGTTCTCCAAGATACTTACTCGGTAATGACAAGGAGTACAATGCTGTAAAGCCAAATGTGCCACAGGATGTATCTGAATAAGGTTACTTGATAAACGATAAAGCTTCTTTGCAATGCCCTTTTTAAAAGGTTATTTCTATTATCTAAAGGATCTACAGAGTTAGAATTAATTTATAAATAGGGGATAATTTAATATTCCTTTAGGGATGCATATCGATCATCGCTGATGCCCTTATCTGAGCCGGTTGTACTGCTCGGGTGACCGAAGGCCGAGGGACTTGAAATCCGTTATCGCGATCCAATTTGTGGTGTTGAAGAACCCGGGGTTGTGCCCGATTTGAGTGTCTGGCAAAGAGACTGCAGAGGTACTGTTCTCGCAGGTGAACAAGACTGTTGGAGTCTGTTTTTCGTGAAATGAAGCTATTTCGTACTCAACCTTCCGATATAGCATGATCTTGATTCTCTTCTCATCCTCATTGCTTCGCCCCTTCTCCCCTTTCGCCGAAGTCGCCCGTATTCCTTAGGATCCACTTTAGCGTCCTAGTCATCAGCCTCACCATCGATGGCCCTGTTCTCAACAGTGAATCAGTGCCTTCCTTTGTGAATCACGATGGCGTAGTCATGATGATTCACTCGGGGGCGTATGGTGTTCTTCGACGCATCACACCACGGAGCTTCTCGAGGCGTTATCCTTCAAGTCCTCGCTGTCTATATAAGACAACTAGTCTGGCTTCTGCGAGCTGGTTGTACTTGTTCTCTGCCTCTTCTAAATCGTTGTCCAGGTGAAGCCATCATTGAGCACTCCTGGTAAAGACGAACAGGGGGAGGTGGACTCGAGTCGCCCAGAGCGCCCTCAGCTTCTCACAGTTCATCAATTCGATAACTGCACTTGAACAAGCAGCGCTCTAGCTTGGGGATTCTGTCTTGATCGCCAGGGCGGACATGCCTCCTCTACAGCGCTATCTGGATGTTCCGTGAGGGGTCTTGAGCTTAGAGACCTTGTTGGGATCCTGGTCGGGGCTCGTGAAGTCCATGATGGATATGCTGTCGGCCTCTTTGCTCACAGCGACAGCGACTATCGCATCATGAGGTTCAGGATCTCTGCAGTGAGCCCTTGTTCTTGTCTGTATGTTCTCGATAGGAGAGTCATCCATGTTTATGGCGTGTGTACGGATTTGTGAAGAGCAAATGAAAGAAATGTTGTGGGGTGATTGCGCAGTACATCCCAGACCAAGCGGCTACCTGGCCACTTGCCACACCGGCTCTTTCACACGTTGAGGATTAATTATTTGGTCGAACGCAAGTTTTTCTTTTCTCTACTGATTTATGTAATTTCCGTCTTTGATTGATTAGAAGATCCTGTTGGTGTTAGGGGCCGGGTGATCTTCACCCCTCAGGTTTACTGGGGGATCATCAAGGTATAATCCACCATGCCCAATTGGTCTCTGAACAAAGCGAATTTGTCCCCGGCCAGTGCCTTCGTAAGTGTGTCGGAAACTAACTCTTTCTTTGTGATCAATTCGAGTGAGATATCTCCTTTGGTCACGGCTTGCCTCGGCCAGTGGTGATATATATCGACGTGACGAAGGTGCGTGACTAACTTTACTACTCCCTTGTTGATGAGACGGATTGCCTGATGGTTATGACTATAAATGGTCCAAGGCGACACGCCAAAGGAGAGGTTGATGGCCTTGCATAGGCGCTTGAAGGCCATGAGCTCTTTTGCCGTCCGTGAGAGCGCCAGCAGCTCAGCTTCTGTTGACGAGGTTGTGACCGTATCTTGCTTTCCTGCCTCGTATTGGATAAATCTTCCAAATAGCTTGGTCGCGTAGCCTTGACAGCTTTTGCGGTCATGAGTGTTATAGGCAAATGATGCATCAGAGTAGACTTCCAAGTGGCCATTGTCGCCTGTGAACATGATCCCATAGTTCCGGATGTCGTAGAAGTATTCGATAACCTCTTTTTCGGCAGCGGCATGCTCGAGACTGGGGTTTTGAAGGAATTGGGCCAGTTTGGCTGCTGTGAAGCTCAGGTCTGCCCTCACGATAATCGCCGGGTATTGGATTGACCCAAGGAGTGATTGGAAGAGGTGGACTTTGCCTGTCATTGCCTATCCTGCGAATGGCTTCAGCCATATTCCCTTCAGTGGGTGCTTCCTGGTCTTTCTCTCCATGTTGACTTCGTATTCAAAGGCCATCTTCGTGATGTATAAGTTTTATGACAGCCAAGTCTTTCGTGCCTCCCTATCTCTGATAATCCTTACTGCTAGGAACCACTTTATGTCTCTAAGATTGGTGACTTCGAAGCGATCCATTATTGCATCTCTGGTTTCTTCAGCTCGAGCCCGTTGAGATGAGTGAAACATCATGATGAGGTCGTCCACGAAGAAGAATATGATGATCTTCCCATCTACCATGATACAGGATTCTTCCAATACAATCAATAGGCTAAGGGACTTAAAGAAGGTGACGAGGAGCTTGTACCAGAGGAATGGAGATCGCCTCAGGCCATAGAGAGCTTTCCTTAGCTTGATACACTTTCCTTCTCCTCCGGGGATTCCTTGGGGTCATAAACAGTATACGTCTTCTTCTTCCTCAATAAGGGCGTTTAGGAAAGCTGTGACGAAGTCGAATTGCCACGCCTCCATCCCCCATCATCAGTCTGAAGGCCCTTGCTGCTAAGGTGATGGCATAGGTGTTGAGCCTCTTGTCAGGTTGCTCGTCTCCTCGGACTGTCATATGTGCCTTATACCGTTGAAGGTATCCATCCTCGTCAATCCTGTAGGCAACGAACATAACGGATTCCGCTGAGCTTTACGAGCAGAGGTATGTCCTTCTTATTGACCTTCGTGAACGCTTCTGATTCGAGGAGTTGATTCCACTCCAGCATCACCGCTCCTTGCCATCCTGGCCAATGAGAGCTCAGATTTGCTTCCTTTAAATTCTTGGGAAGCGACGGTAACTCGTTTCGGTGTATTATAGGTTCCGAGGCTCTTGCGAAAGGTAATACTGCTGCGAATGATTGCAGGTCTGGGCGTTCGGCCGGGTCTAGGAGATCTCTGATCGAGTACATCAGTGTCTGTAGGTGGGGGAGGGGTTAGCCGTTGCTGATGATCTTGAGCTTCTTACTGTTGATGATCCTTAACTTCTCCTTCTTGGTCACAAATGATCGGGGGTAACTCTAGTGGATCGTTCATAGATACATCCTCGAGGGCTTCATTAATGTGAGGCAATCCACTTGGTTGCTGTTCCTGAGTTTGAAGATCAAAATCGACTTGCATCTCATCGACCTCACCTCTCGCCCCGTCAGGATCGGCAGCGTCGTTGCTCACATGTTCCTGATTTGTTAGATAGTCAGAAGCCCGGTCATCCATACCCCGTGGGGATTTCTCTTTTTCCTCAACGATTAGGAGATCAGCTTGGAGCTGACGGATAACTTCCGGGTTCTGCTACACTCGATGGTCTCTGCAGAAGGGGTGTTCGTCAAAGAAAACATGTGATGACGTCATCACGGTACTTCACGTCAGTTCGGGGTCCCATATGAGGTATTTGGTAGAGGAGACGATGCCTGCAAGTCATCTAATATACGCTCTTGGGTGAGCTTCTCGACGGTTCCTCTGAGGGCTTTTCTCTTCAATACGAAAGCTTTGCATCCATACGATCTCACGTGGGAGATATTAGGGCGAAGGTCTACCTTAAGATGTGACCATGAGGGTTTGTTGTCTCTGACCAAGTCATGAGGCTCTCGAGAGTGGATTTTCAACCGAGTGGCTCTTTGGGGGTCGGCCAGCAGGTAGATTGCGACATTCCTGCCAAAGGCCATCGTACTGGCCTGAATCCTGACTGGGCAGGAAGAAACGTAGTCTTCTCTTTCCAAATACCCCCAGGTCTCTCGATGAAGCTGTTCTAGTACTAGTAGCTTGGAGCTAAGGGTCTTACTATGATGCCCTCTCCTTGGACTTGAATTCACTGCGTGGGTCAACAAGGCTTTCTCGTTATTTGAGATAAACGCTGCCACAAGGGTTCCATACAGTCGTTGGATGAGGAATATGAGTCACCAAAGGCCATCCGAGAGTTCAGTCTCGTATTGGATGGAGTAACCGAATCTGAGATAAGAGTATCTGCAAGCAAAGAGCGCGCAGTAGTTATATCCTCCCGGAGAAGTCGGCGTTGGGAAGAGATCGAAGGTGAGTACAAGCCGCGGTCCTTTTGGGAGGTTATCTGTACCCGGTCTTCGTGAGATGACCCTCTTCTGCTTAACTGTGCCGTAAACATCGCAATTGGTAGTTGTGTTACACTCGATCTTGATTCCCGTGATATTATCCGTGGCCTTCTCCATGACTGCTGCTCCAGGATGACCAAGGCGCTGATGCAAAAGGTCTGCCGAAGCTCTCGCCTCTGTTCTCTCACCCGGCAAGGCCTTGTGATGGGCGGTCAACGCCGTGAGGTCGTCCTCATCATCCTTTGTCTCTGGTACTCCTTTGTATGAGATCCAGGGAAGTCCGTGGTGTTCTTTCGTCTTCAAGATGCCTCTGTTCCAGTTGTAATTGGTAAATTCTCTAGAGAAAGTGTTCTAGCCTATGTTTTTGCCTCTGAGGGTCTGTGTAGAGATGAGACTTGTAGGTGACTTAGGGACGTAATAGGCTTTGGAGAGGCTGATCCTTGCTCCGTTGTCTGCGGTGATCATGGCCTTGCCACTTCATGTTATATACGAGACCCCTTCTAAACCGTTGATCTGTTCACTGTCAGAGCAATCGAGGCCTCTGATGAATAGGGAGAGATCGTTGAGGATGTGATCTGATGTACTACTATCCATCACAATGCTCCTTGATAGTTTATGAGAGCTCGATTGGGCAGCCTTCAGTGAGAAGATTATATCTAAAGTAACTCCTCGGGTTTCTCCCCCGGACTCTTGGTAGTTGATGCATTGTATTCGGCGATATGTGCTTTAAGGCCTTTAGTTGAGCCTACCTTCTCGTTGACCTCTTCCTGAGTGTCGGATTCCCGTTGAAAAGCTTGATCACCTTTCTTAAGGCCTGGGAGAGCATGGTAACAGTTTTTCCAGTGTGCTTTGGGATCGTCGATTGGGTGCTCTTTGGAGCAGAAGAAGTAAGTCCTTCGCTTCCTCGTCTTCTTCTTTGGTTTCGGGGCAGATTTTGATCCAGTTGCTCCTTGAGCCTCTTCTTCGAGCTTCTCCTCGTCGCCGTCTTGGGTTCTTCCGTTTAGAGAAACCATCGTCGTTTTGTGACTTCTCCTGGGGAGGGTGGCTTGTGAAGTCACGATCTTGTTCATGTACAGGATGGCGATCTCTTCGGGATCGAGGTTACGTCCTTCGTGAAGGGCTTCGGTGACTTTGTCTGAAAGAGCTATTCCCTTGGATTGATCCTTTTGTGCGATGGTCGAGCAAATCTAAGGAGAACCTCTTTTGGATTAGCTTGGGGGACTCCAAGGGCTTGAATTTGTCGGTAGGTCCTCAAGAAGTCGTTAGTCCATGCCGAGATATCGTTACTCTTCTTGTACTTACCGGGTACGGTGTTGAAGTCCTTGACAGCTTTAAAGCTCACCACCACAATATTGGGTTGAATTCATTGCTTGAGTCATTGAAGCCTTTCCCTATCATCAAAATATTCCCTGATTAGCTCGAAGTACATGCTTGAGACGGACTTTTCAATGAGCTCTACCGAGAATCTCAACCGCTTGGTTTTTCATCATAGCGAGCTTCCTCTACTTGTGAGACGAGGATTGAAATGCCCAAACTGATGTGAGGGATTTATTTGTTGCATTGATATCCTCCGCTTGTTTTAGCGTAGGACTACCAGGTGCCGTCATGACATTCATTGTAGCTTGGACTATATTATCCATCATGTGTTGAAGTTGAGGAGGCATGATTATTGTTGGTTCGGTCAAGGTTCCAGGCGCGTCTAGGTCGATGAATTGCCACACATTTAACTCTTCAGCTCTGGCTTGAATCCAGGCAATTCAGCGTGGCCAGTCCGTCTGAGCCTTCAATATGATCGTAGAATGGACGGCTGTAGCTGTATTTGAGGCCATTAGGATAATATCGCAAAACTCGTCTCCTCTAATGCTCATTACCGTAGGAGCCTGCATCCGATTCCGTACCTATTCCTGTTCGAATTCGTCACCAGTTTTGTCGAAAACGCCGTCCCTTATTACCCGTATGTTTACACGAGTCTAGCGTGGCTTGCGGATAACCTTCTGCCTCTTACCGCCGGGAAGCAGGCTCTGCATGCCAGGTCGCTTAGGGACTCAGGGCGCCGAGGTCTGCAGTCACTGCGCCGGACTACCCGTGGCCCTGGTCGTGGTCGGCTTCTGTGCGCTGGAAGGTCGAGAAGCTTCAGGAGTGCCGAGAAGGTCCATGATATCGACGGAGTCCGCGTCCGCGCCGATTCCAGCGAACGGGTTGGCGATTGTGCTTGCAGTCGCGTTACGCGGTTTGAGTGCGCTGACCTCAGCCCGTAAGTTGGCTATTGTGGAGGAAGCGGAAGCGTGCTTGTTAAGTGCTTGGCCAGAATCGGCCTTTGCCTTCTCGGCTTTCTCGAGGGCAGAGTTGGCTCTTGCAAGCGTGACTTTGGCGCCCTTAGTGGCAGCCCCTAACCTCTCGTTAACTCCTGCGAACTTAGTGTTGATTTTGTCGCCGAGCTCCTTAATCTTAGGGCCTACTGGGTTAATGCATCTAACTAGTGCATAGATAGGAGTGGTGTCTTGTGCAGTAAGTCCGTGGTATTTAATTATATCTTGGAGTTTAGCAATCTTGGTAATTACGTCTACAAGAGCTGCATTCTTAACAGGGCCTGCGGCGGCATGCTGCTAGGTTCCGGCGAACTCGGCGAGGTTTCGAGGTATATGTGGTAAGTAGGCGTGGCCGGTTTCAGATAGTTATCCGGCGATCATGCCGTTAAACAAGCAGTAGGCTAATACGTGGAGATATGCTAAAACCTAGTAAGCCGGGGATAGAAGATTGTTAATGTGGCGATAATTTGGCCTGCTTGTCTCTCTGTTGTAATAGGCTTTGTATATGTTAAACATGGCGGTCTTCGTGGTGCAGGTAAGTGAACTATCCAAATTAGACATGGTATGTTTCTTGCTCTAGATAGCCGCTTCTTTATCATCGTCGTTGACCTCCAGATAATGGCAACTGGAAATGTACGGCCATATGTCAATGTCCCCTCCAGCCCATTTCGCAAGCGGTGACTTTTGCGCCTCGCGCATGTCAGCAGCTTTCTCGCTGCTGCGTCTCCCTTACCTCGGCCCCTGCAATTCACTGCGATGTTCGATGCCACATCGGCTGCTTCAGCAAAGCACGATATGGGTTGTTGCCTGCACGCTTCTTTCGTAAGTTCTGAGAATCACTCAAGTAGCTCATTGAAATGATGATCACTGAGCCACTTGAGGAAGAAATGAGAAACGTAGAGCTGGCTGGAATAGTCGCACTAGGGGATCTCGAAACTCCTCATCCTTCCGTGGCCGATTGCAAGCCAAGAAGGACACTCTTATATTGGCTCAAGACTGTATCAACTCGGCTTTTGACACTCAAGATATCGGCCATCCCACATATCTCTTTTGTTTGAGTATCCATTAATAGGGTGTGAGCTAGCAGGGAGTCGTCATCAGTAGAGCTCAGGCTCTCAAGTTCATGCTCAAAATGACATATTTCGATGGCCCTGACCTCACCAAAGGAGCCTTCAACAACCAGCGAAGAGATTCGTGACGAGGTTTACAGCGCTGAGGTGGATATTGATCAGAAGAAACAGGCGCTTCAGAGGGGCAGAGCACCTTGAGAACTTTGGTATAATGTCCAAGTTGTAAGCCAAATGTGTTATTTGCAGTTGAGACTTGAAATGAACATGCCAAAATAGACTCTGTAAAGAATCCCTTAAGCTTAGTCTAAAGTACCTAAATATTTTGTCGGTTAAGTTAAAGGTCCTTAGGATCCTCGCCTCCCCTAGCCGTTGTCTATTGACATGGAAGTGAGTCGCCTCTTCAGAAGTACCGTTCATATGCCTTTGCAGACTCCAGAACCATCCGGTCAAAGGGAATCCAGCCTTGGCCTGTCGCTTCAACCGCCTTGCTAGCATCGACCTTGAAGCCACCATTGGGAATACTGTAGTCTTGCAGATATCCCTTTCCTGGTTCACCTTTCCCAATAATTCGTTGTCTATCAGGATAAGCCTTTCGCAATAAGTCGCGATAAGCCTGGATGTTTGCAAAATTGCCGTTTCCCCCAGCGATATACCGTTGCCCATCGGCTACTTCTTTCTTGTCAACTACAAACACCATGAGTCGTGCAACATCGCGCACGTCAACATGTGTTCCGTTACCAGGTCCAGCAGACGACATGTTCTCCCCGTTCATGATGCGATAAGGAACGATGGCGGTCTCACTCAACTTCTCCGGGTCTTCAGGCAGAATCAGGGGCGGTCCAGCCACCCAGACCGGGTTGACAGCCGTCATTGTGAAATTAATGCGATCTTTGTTCTTTTGTCGAAACTCCCAGAATGCACGCTCTGCTTTGACCTTGCTTGCGACGTAGATCTGGTGGCCTGTCACTTCCGAGCCAGCCTTCGCGATCGCATCCTCAATTTGATCATTCCAATCTTCTTCTGTGTAACCCTTCTCTGGATACTTGGGTTTGCAACCTCTGACAGCCACTATTGAAGACATGTACACAAATGACTTCAAAGCAGGCTCTTTGGCAGCGGACTCCAAAATGCCGAGAGTCCCTTGCAGAGAAGAGCCGATGACGTAGTCGATATTGGTGTTGGCAAAGTCAACTGGAGCCGCCAGGTGGGCAATTGCCGTTGTCCCTTTTACAGCTTCATCAAATGCTCCCCTGGCCATGAGATCGGGTACCAAGATTCTCGTGAGTTGGCCGGAGGAAGCATATGAGGGGAGTGCTGAGAGGAGGCTTGAGGCTGAGGATTGACTTCGCACTGCCGCGCGGACAGAATAGTTGGCGGCGAGGAAAGCTTCAACGGTACGTGCGCCGATGAAGCCATTAGCGCCAGTGACAAGAACGAGGCCTTTTGTGGGCGACATTTTGAGTACGAACGGGTGTGATCTTTGAACAAATTTGTAGAGGATAGAGTAGAATGATGAGTTGATGTTTATTGCTGCCCGTCTTTAACCAAAATGTTTGACTCTTATCTTAGTGCCTGAATTTTGGTATGGCAACCTCGCTCCGGGCTTAGAAATAATCGCCTGGAGATTAGCGTTATCCCCGGTTCGTAGTTGGTGCCACAGTGACATTCCAAGGCGTTGGCCACTAATTTGAAGAGCGTTCGTTGATCGTGGATCCACTTATAGGGCAGAGTTGCCGCAGCCATGGAAAGGACGATAGTTATGTCCGGGTCAGTGAAATTGCTCAAGATGCATCTTTTGATGCCTGATGCTTTGAGTGGATGGACCGGAGAAAGCAGGACAGCTTTGCGAAGCACATGCCCCAGTGAAGGCAAGCCGACGTTGTATGAGGCCATCCACGGCCAGTGCCCCACTACTTCCGAGCGCCCATTCACTACAGCATCGTGCGACAGACAACCGCGACAATCGCACAATCTCCCACTTCGAAATCCGACTAAGAATGTGTTTTCCGGCAATATTATGGCCTGGGCCTTGCGAAAGCTCGTCCAGCTTTGTCTACTGTAGGCAGCAATGCATGGATCCGATTCAAGGCTGACAGACTCAGCCCCAGCTCAGCCCCCGCTCTTTGGCTCTCGAATGAGATTTGAACCGTCAAATCGCCATCAGACAAACGAACAAACAAACACAAGCAACAAACATGCCTTCATCTCAAAACAAGTCTGAGCTTTCGCCCCGCGAGTCCCGTGTCATCGGCGCGCTGCTGGGCGTCCATGCCGGCGATTCGCTGGGCGCAACGCTCGAGTTCAAGACTCATGCGGACATTGCGCGTGAATACCCTCTCGGTCTCCGTGAGATCGTAGGCGGAGGCCCGTTTCGATGGTCGCAGGGCCATGCAACAGACGATACTGATATGACTCGTGGCGTACTCCTTGCATACCACGACTACAAGGCCGGCGACGACGTCGCGCACCTCGCTGGCGATTATTTCATCAGTTGGCTTCACGGCGACTGGCCAGGCAGGCGACCGGGAAGTCGACCTGAGGACATTGGAGGGGCAACCGCTACTGGGCTTATGCGCTATGAACAGACGCAAGATCCTGATCGCGCCGGAGCTGGAGAAGGAAGTGCTGGGAATGGAAGCTTGATGCGCTGCATCCCGACCGGCCTGTTCCAACGCGATCCCCAGAAGTTGGTCGAGGAAAGCGTGCGTATCAGCAAGATCACCCACGACGACAAGAGATGCACGGTCGCATGTGCAGCCTACAACACGATTGTGTCGAAACTCATCGACCAAGTCGCCCCTCAAGAGGCCATTGAGGCAGGTCTCCAAGTCGCAGAAACTCTTGAAGTAGGCTATGGCCCAGTATATCAATCGATTGAACTCGGCAAATCTCTCAACATAGCAACAATGGCTGCGAAAGGACCTGTACCTGAACTGGGAGGGAGATGCAGTGGATATGTCCTCGAGTCACTGAGCCTCGCGATTGCTGCGGTCCTCGACACTCGCAGCTTGGAGGATATTGTGGTGGACGTTGTTCGCATTGGCTGGGATACAGACACAAACGGGGCGATCGCGGGAGGAATACTGGGAGCTCGAGATGGAGCAGCGGCTATTCCTCCCCAGTGGAGATCGGTCTTGCAATTTGGTCGTGAGTTTGAAAATGCGGCTTTGAGTATCTTCGAAAAGAAAGCCGCATGAGATCGTTACGAGTACGTTGGCTGCCGTTGGCGTCCCAATTCAGCATATGTTCAATATATAATAGAAGGTTGAAGACTCATGAATAAACTAATTTGATGTTTTTCATATGCCCTTGGTGTCACGAAGACGTACAGTGAATTGATTACGACCTTGGATGGCCGACGTCTGAGAAACAGACTGCTCTTGAGTAGCCGGGCCGGAAGTCCTGAACAGGCAAGCCTTATCACCCCGCAATCCCACAAGACGACATTTCCATTTCGTCACCTTTGCAGTAGCTCCGTGGCTCCATCGAGGGATGACAAGGATTGACGCCGCGGAAGTAGGCAGCCGGTACTAGCCTCGGAAATGTTGGCGACGAGGGATGCACGTGACAGATTGCGGGGTTAAGCGCTTCAGGACAATTATCCATGTCTCATCCCCGGATTCGCTTTTCCGTCCAATCTTGCCCGTTTCATCCTCTCTTTTCCGTTCCCTACAGCCTCAGTTTCACCGCAAAAACGAAAACACCTCTGCACGAGTGGATAGACGTGGCTCCAATGACTTCAGAGCGCTCCATACTCCCAACACCGTCAGAAGATACCAACAGCATACATGTAGCGAAGAAGCGGAAAAAGAACGCTGAGAGAGTCAGAGTGACAAGGGCGTGCGATGGATGCAAGAAGTAACGCAACCCTAGGCATTTTTCGCGTAGATCGACCGTGAGCTAATCTGTGTAGGCGGAAGATCAAATGCAATGGCATGCAGCCGTGCAAGTTCTGTACCCGGACAAGGGTCTCTTGCACTTTTGACTCGGCTTATGCGAGAGGTCGTTTGCCGGTGATACCCTCAGCGGATGAGGTGGGAGATGAGAGCATAACTGTATCGGCTCAAGATACAATGCCTCGGAGCGAGAATACCAGCCCTACGGATTTGACGCAGCAATACATGGCAGATGCGACCAACCAGAGTGTAGAGTTGCAAGACTATGGCATGTCATCCCATCTCATGGAGCAGAGCGGCACGGGCTCACGGGCTGTAACGTCGGTGCAACAGTCACCTGAGCCCTCTCAAGAGGATCTTCAGGGTCACTACATCGGTCCTGCCTCTGGCGTGTCGTTTCTTCTCAGGGTCCAGAAGCGTATGCATCAAGCAATATCGTTCTCTGGCCCAGGAAGCATCTTCACTTTCGGTGATGCACCCCTTCATAATCCTGACTATGATCCCAACTTTTGTATGATGCTTCCCAAAGAGGATGCTCAGCGCTTGGTTGATCGTTACTTCGACTTTGCCATGCCAACCTACCGCTTTCTACACCGACCCACGATTCAAGAATGGTTCTCTGAGTTTTATGAGACGTTGGGTACTATGCGTGATCCGAATAATTCTGCCGCTAAAGTCGCTTTACTCTTCATGATCTTAGCCCATGCTAGGGTCTACATGCCTGAGAACGACAGACCAGGGCCCTCGGATCTGAGGTTAGGCACTCTTCTTTGACTACCTTCTATACTAACAAATGTGCAGCTCACGGTATTACTTGGCAGCTGAGCATCAACTCTCGAAAGAGAGTGGTTCCATACGACTCACTAGCGTTCAGGCTCGTCTTCTGCAGTGCTACTACCTCGGAACTCAGTCCCGTGTCAACCATTGCTGGAGTCAGTTCGGTATCGTCACGAACCTAGCCCTTGCTATCGGGCTGAATCGAAACAAGCGACCCGGCGTTATAAGCGGACTGAACCATATCGAAGTAGAAAGTCGTCGAAGAACCTTTTGGTGCGCTTATACTCTCGATGCATATCTCAGTGTATCTCTAGGTAGACCGCGTAACTTTCATGATGACGATATCGATACAGAGCTTCCAGCTTGTGTCGACGATAATGACATAACCAAGGATCATATCAATCTTGCTGGCTCAACTAAGGGCTACTCGGTTATGCTTGCCCCTCTTGGACATATGAAGTAAAAGCTCCGTCTTACTCGCGATACACATACTGACTCCTTGACCAGGCTCGCTCGCATCATCGGCCAGATCCTGCGGGGCCTTTACTCAGTCAAGCCTATCTCGATCTCCAAACGCTTAGAGGAGACACAACTCGTCTCAAAAGCTCTCGCAGATTGGCGAGCTGAATTCTCCCAGTTTCTCGATGCCGACTACTTTAGTACATCATTTCTCGTCCCAATCGTTCAACGGCAACGCAACGTTCTAAATTTGACCTACTGGCATGCTATAATACTCACGCATCGGCAAGCGGTCCTCAACAACTTTGCACGGATCTCACGGAATAGAAGGGGCAGTGAGAACGATGCTGCAACCCAAGAGAGCGTGCAAAGGTGTCTTGAAGCTGCCATCCAAACAGTTGGTCTGATCGATGAGATGACCGACAACGGACAGATGTTCCGGGCATTCTGGGTCTGTACGGCCAGCTCTCTTTCCTATGTCAAAACTAACCGTTTTCAGGTTACGGCATATTTCGCCTTTACTGCAGCCATGGTTCTGTATATCTACGTAATCCAGAAATGGGCATCACCTCCTGAAACCTACAGCGAATACTTTACAGCTGCAGCTCGATGCCAATCGCACATGTCAACCATGGTCGAGAAGGGCTCGTTGTCAGAACGATATTGCTTCCTGTTGGAAGAACTACGGGTTGAGGCCTTACGCCAGGTGAATCGGATGCATCCCAACGTGTTTGCTAGCCTGGAGGGGCATGCACAAGACAACGCTTTCCAGTCCAATGTTATACCGATGGACACACCGAGCGACAAGACTTCTTATACGGATCTAATGGGAGAGAATGGGTTGGACTTTAATGGCATGTCTGGTGTTGACTTTTCAGGCTGGGGTCAATTTGCATCTATGGTTTCGTCGGGCTTGGGTAACCTGGATGCTTTCCTTGATGATGAGGTCTTTCGGCTTTAGAAGCAATTGTAATACATAAGCTTGGCATTCGGCCTCTAATGGACCGAGTAATGTTACCCTTTCAGTATAATATTTAATCATGGAATCTTGCCAATCAGCGGGCTTGACGGATATGACCTTACCTTTTCCAGCCATCGGATCTAAAGCCGAAGCAGCATCGGAAAACCCAATTCGGGGAACCATGTCCGGTCACAAATCCGCTGGAGATTTTGGTTGGAGCGGATGAGGGGTACCTCGCGTTAGCTTCCACGTTTATCTTTACCGTTCCTTGAGCCGAATAAAGCCCACCTGTTGAACCTGTCCGAGGTACTTATTATCAGGAGTTAACAAACTTTGAACCAGTATCAAACCTTTCTTCCAAGGAATTTACTACATAGCACACTCCTCAAAATGGCATCAGCAGTCTCAAAGCGCCTTGAAGGCAAGACCATTCTGATCACCGGAGCATCTTCGGGTATCGGAAAGGCCACAGCCTTTGAGTTCGCCCGCACCAGTCCCAAGAACCTCAAATTGGTCTTGACAGCGCGACGAATTGATAGCCTTCGTCAAATCGCTGAAGATATTGTCAAAGAAGTTGGCGATGGCGTCAAGGTGCATCCTGTCCAGCTCGACGTCAGCAAGCCTGAGGAGGTGCGCTCTTTCGTGAGCAAGCTGCCTGCAGAGTTCAGTGAGATTGATGTCTTGGTGAATAATGCGTAAGTTTCTCTATTGCACAGAGGCAAAGGTGATTAGCTAACATACTACTCGCAGTGGTCTTGTCAAGGGCGTTGATAAAGCTCCCGAGATCAAGGAAGAGGACATCAACGTCATGTTCGCTACCAACGTCACAGGCTTGATCAACATGACACAAGCTATCCTACCTATTATGCTGAAGCGTAATAATGGCGAGGGAGCTGGTGACATCATCAACATTGGCTCTATCGCAGGTCGTGAGCCTTACGTTGGCGGTAGCATCTACTGTGCGACCAAGGCTGCCATCCACTCCTTCACTGAGAGTCTGCGCAAGGAGCTTATCTCAAAACGCATCAGAGTAATCAGAATCGATCCTGGCCAGGTCCAGACAGAGTTCAGTGTTGTGCGATTTTATGGTGACAGATCCAAGGCTGATGCAGTCTATGCGTAAGTTCACCCCTGTCCGGATTATTGAAGAACCATGAGCTAATCGGTGACAGTGGTTGTGAGCCTTTGACACCGGATGACATTGCTGAGACGATTGTCTTTGCTGCTGGCAGAAGGGAGAACGTGGTCATTGCTGATACCTTGATATTCCCCAACCACCAGGCTGCGGCTACGATTATGCACAGAAAGACTTAGGAGCGCCGTATCATAATTAGACCAAGACACCAACACAAATAGAAATTCCCAAACTATAAATGCTCGGGTGATTCACTGGCAATTTGGCGTTGTTCAAAGCTCGTAAGAAGATCTTCGGTTATTTTTCATCAAACTTAAATCGCGACAATCAAGTGCAATTGCCAAGGATTGGACTGTACAGCAGAGAAGTGATGACGGGCGTCTATCCAGACCGTTACTCTCTGTTGCTTCAGCCACCTCTTTCAGAAACTGAAGGTAGTCACTCGCATCTTCCAAGTGGCTAGTCGGACCTGGTGACAAAGCCGTTCGCCGTCAGACAATTCCGGTCGTAAGACCATGCAGGATGACCGACTACCTTATCTCTGCATGCATTCAACCTAATCTAGAGCCCCCGCGTATCCTGCGTCCTTCCGCCCGCATCCTCAGACCTTTCTCGGCACAGCAAATTCTCGGCTTCGGATATTTTCCTTCGTAGAACCAGGTCCAGACCGAGTCAAGTGCAGTTGGAGTAGCGTCGCATTCGCCCAACGCTTTGCGGGGGATCGGCAATGCTCACTCTCGCTTGTCGGAAAAGCGACATTCCCAACCACCTCGGGCTTAGCTTTTCCGTGGCAGCTCTCAAGCCCCATGACTCGAGACGAAGTAGCATGTGCATGTCGGATTCCCGTTGCTAATTATCCAGCGTCGGATCTGGATAAACGGGCATGATCCGCTGACCACTGCCCTTATTCAACAGTCCGCAGGCGACCTGGCGAATGGAAGCTGGTGACTGGTGTCGTTTCTCATCCGTGAGTGGAGACCGCGGATTCATATCGCGGTCGCCCCCATAACAGAAAGCCTCGGAAGAAAGATGTTGAGGCAAATTTCCGCCTAAGCCATAGTCCAGACACCTTAAGTACCTGTAATCTTCCAAGAACATCCTTCTAGTTTACTTTTACCATACACAATACACAACACTCAAACTCCTTTCGTGAAGTTGATTCGACAGTCATCATGTCTTTCTATAGAGCCCCACCAAGCGGCGTCTGGGCACCAGCAATCACCTTTTTCGACCATGAGACAGATACACTAGATACCGATTCACAAGCAGCATATTACTCTTACCTTTCTAAAACCGGCCTTGCAGGCCTTGTCGTGCTCGGAACAAATGCTGAGACCTTCCTGTTAACGCGCGAAGAGCGCAAGGCTCTACTGCAGACAGCACGTCAAGCATGCGGGCCATCATTCCCTATCATGGCTGGAGTTGGTGGACACTCAACAAAGCAAGTCTTGGAGTTCATCAACGACGCAGCTGATGCCGGAGCCGACTACGTTTTGCTCCTCCCTCCTGCTTACTTTGGGAAGCAGACAACACCAGAGGTCATCAACAACTTCTTTGATGACGTTGCGAAGAACAGTCAACTACCCATCGTCATTTACAACTTCCCCGTTGTCTGCAATGGCATCGACCTGGACTCGGCCACTATTGCCGCTTTAGCAAAGAGGCATAGCAACATTGTTGGCGTCAAGCTGACCTGCGGCGCTGTCGCAAAGATAACGCGACTTTCCGCAGAGCTTCCTGAAGAACGTTTTGCGATCTACGGTGGCCAATCGGACTTCTTGATAGGAGGCCTGGCTGCTGGCTCTCACGGCACAATTGCAGGTTTTGCCAATGTTGTCCCCAAGACAATCGTGCATATCTATAACCTCTACCAAGAGGGCAAGTTTCAAGAAGCCATGGTTCTACACAAGAAGGCGGCGCTGGCTGAGCAACCTTGCAAGGCTGGAATTGCATCAGTCAAGTATGCAGCAACTCTGAGCACAGCCAAGGCCGCTGGGATCAAGGGCGCTGCAGATAAGCTGAAGCCCAGAAGGCCATACGTGGAGCCCACGGATGCTGCGAAGAAGAGCATTGAGTCACAAATTTCTGAAATGTTGGACTTTGAAGCCACGCTCAAGCTACCGGCTGAGAAGGGCAAGTCAAACGGCGTAACGAATGGCGTATCGAATGGGATTATGAATGGGACATCGAACAGCGTGGCGGTGCATTAAAGTACCTATGTACGGATCAAATAGCATATATACTCTACAGTAACATATCGATTTAATAAATTCGGCAACATTCAAGCAATATCCATGTTTCCTCATTATCTCACCGCCGGTGCCGTTCATCAGTGCCGACGATACACGAGTGATTTCCCACGAAATGTTATTCCACCTCCTATAGCTACGGCATTCAATCGATCTTCGCCTGCTCTTAACTCCAAACTGCAGACTGTATTTGCGAGATCGCTAATGGTTGACTTAGAACGAAAATATTCCATTTTACAGGCACTCTGTATTTTCGTACTTGTCTAAGCTCGAGCTATTGGCATTAGCGCGTGCTGAGCTGAAAACCATCAGTGGCCTCAGCGCCTCGATGCCGGCTCACAGGGGTAATTCGCGATTTAACAGGGCAAATTTGATCACATCACAGTTTCAGTTATGAAGGATTCCGTGAGCTAAATCAAATCAACTTCTTCGAATGCCTATGAACCAACTATAGCAACTTCTCTAGGACATTTAAGAGTCCATTTTCCGACGTCTTTACTATTTCTGCGATAAAGGCATGCATGACCATACACGTTCTAGGCTCAACGATCAGCGCCAAAGCCCTGCTAACGCCCACTAGAGTATATAAGCTTACAACGCCACCAATTTATCGACAAAAAGAAAACAGGGAGTCTTCAAAAGGGAAAAAGGGACCATTAAACACTCTTGTAGTTCCGGTTTTCCTTGTCTTTATTGTAACTAAATTGTCGCTCGTTTTATTATCTCGCCAAAGTCATTCGCTTTTGAACATGATCTCGTCATCTTTTCTTTCTGGCGCGTTGGCGGTTTTGGCCATCCACAGCGTTAATGCTGGGCCATGCCGTCCATCATCTGTCTCGACCACCGAGACACTGACCACGATTGAGTCCACTGCCACCGAGAGCTCTGTGTCAAGCAGCCCAGAGACCACACTTCCTCTGTCCACCACCGCTGAGCTTTCTGTCATTGCAACACAAACGACAACTATTTCTGATGTTGTCTCATCGTCTGAGACTTTTGCCGATGGCACTACGACTACCCAAGCTGTTGAAGACACCACCACAACAGCATTCGTGACTACATCCGCCACTGGGCTTTCTGTCACTACAACTGAAGCGACTACTGTTTCTGGGGATATCTCATCCTCTGTGACTCTGGGCGATGACACCACGACCTTGCTTGCGATCACCACAACTACTCAGGCTGTTCAAGACACTACCACGACAGCCCCAGCTACGACAACCACCACTGCAGCTGCTGAGCCGGGCGAGTGCACTTTTAACGTCGAATGCGAGGCTCTCAACGGCGGGGCCAACCCCATCTGTGATGCCGGCACTTGCGTTCCTGACAACAGCCAGCCCGATCCGTGCACCGATGACAGCGACTGTACTACCCCCGGCGAAACGTGCTCGATCTCTGGTTTCTGCCATGTCGCTTCAGAGGAGCCAGACTTTTGCGGTGACGGAAACGACTGCCTCTTATCTGTCAAGCCTATTTGTGTTCTAGGACTCTGCGAGTGCTCCGAATTGACACATCAATGCGCACCACGATCTGACCTGCAACTCTGTCAGTCAAATGCCGGGTGTTCAGCTGGCGCTACTTGTCAGCGGGGTATCTGTGTCGATCAGGTTGGATGCATTGGCCCTGACAGTTGTCTAGCCAATTTAGATCTATGCGTTCTTCCTGGCGTTTGTGTCTGCCGGAATGGTGTATGTGCCCTCGATGGTTAAGGGTGTTTGACTATATTGTTCCATCGCGGTTTGGGCCTGGCAGACACGTGACACTTTGGAGGATTGCTTCGTCATCTTGAATTGGGTATAATACTCATGTATATTCTTCATAATACCATAATCCAACTATATTTCCCGCCACTGGCGTTGAAACGCTCACAAAATGCGAGTGACTCTAACCGGCATCACTAGTACTCCGTATCCACTCAACAGTCCATCCAAGCAGTCCTAAGTCTAGAGCACATGCTTGAACAGCGGCGACCTGTCTCCCATGTCAAACAGCTCCTCCTCAGTGTACTTCCTCTTAGCCTCCTCGGCAATCTTTGCCTTACGGGCGTTGGCGATCTTGTAGCTCCACTCCAAGAGAAAAGCAACGATCAGACCAGTACCTCCAAAAGCAAGCGACAAACCGAATCCAGTGTAATACTTGGGCTTCTCTTTCTCAAGATACATGAAACTGCCGACGATGCCACCGACATTGCCGACACAGTTCATCAGAGCGATACCGATAGCTCGTCGTGACGAGGGGGCGATGTTGTTGGCGTTCCACGAGGCAGCGGCGGCTTGGATAGGATAAATACCGATAACAGCAAGAACAACGGCGAAGTAGGCCACTCCCTTCTTAGCTTCGAGTTGACCGTTGAGAGAAATCATGATCGAATAGGCGACTGTGACGATCACCATGGGGATGGCGACGAATGGCATACGCCAGAAGAATCGGTCAGAGATCTTGGCGAAAACAATTGCAGAAATTGCAGCAGCGACGTAAGGAGGAGCTGAAGTGAGCTGAGCGTTTGTGTTGCTGAATCCCATCGCTTTGGTAATGCTTGGCAGGGTGAACTTGGTACCTGAAGCCAGTTAGTCAAATCACACAACCCAAACAGTGCCTTTTGAACATACCATAAGAAAGAGCAGACTGGCACAAGAGGAAGTAAGCCTGAACGTAGACTCTCCAGTTTGTAAGCACCATTCTGATATCCTTCCAGCGGACGGTTGTCTCTTCCTGGAAGCCTCCACCTTGCTTGATGAACATGGAGAGCTCAAGGAAGCGGATCTCCTCGGGGTTCAACCATCGTGTAGACAGAGCAGGAGTGTCGATTAGTAGGAAGAAGCAGGCAACACCGAGAACGACTGTAGCCATGCCTTCGAGAAGGAAGATCCATCTCCAACCCTCGAGACCAGCGACACCGTCCATCTCAGCAATGCCAGCTGCAAGGAGACCAGAGAAGGCACCAGATAAGGCACTGGCGCAGTAAAAATAACTGATGCGAACGCTGAGATCCTTGGGAAGATACCAGTAACTATAACATTGTTAGAGGATCTTCGCTGTGTCGACATCCGTTTGTTGAGCTTACCTGCACAGGTAGATAGCACCTGGGAAGAAACCAGCCCTGAGTTGCTATGTCAGCCCATGTCTTCAAGACGAGATTAAGAGTCAACAGATATGGACTTACTCAAAGATACCAAGGAGAACACGAGTGGCCATGAGGCCACCGAAGTTTTGTACCAGTCCAGTGCAAGTCATGACAATACCCCAGCAGACACAGAGAATACCAAGATACATCGATGGACGCTTGAACTTCTTGAGAAGAATGTTGCTAGGGACTTCAAGAAGGACGTAAGGTACGAAAACTTATTCCAAGTTAGCTGACAGTGAGCCAATCGGCGAGGTTGGTGTAACTTACAGATAGACAGAATGGTGTTGTACTGAACGCCTGTGATAAGGTCAAGAGGTTAAAAGAGGTTTTAGCCAGAACACAAAGAAAACACACCTGTCATGCCCAAATCTTCGACCATCCCCTCAATCTTCGCATTACCAATGTTGGCACGGTCGATGTGGCAGATAAGATACAGCAGCGCAAGCATTGGCACAAGTCGAACATCAACCTTGCGGAAGACCTTCTTCTTCTGCTCCTCGGTGTAACTATTGTAGAAGTCGGCATCGTCAGGGTCCAAACCAAAGACGCGGAAACCGGCAATCTCGATGGCCTCGGAGGTGTTTTCGAGATGGTCCGGCTTATGGTCGCCGACCTCAACGTCGCTCTTGGAGATTGAACTTCGAGGAGCCATGATGAACTTGTTGCTGCTCTAGAACTTGAAGCTCAGGAGTTGTGATGCTGAATGACCGAGCTTTGGAAGTGCTGAACCAGGCTGGGTATTATAGTCGAGACAACGATCTGGAAAAGCGAAGGAGGTCATTGCGTAGATTAGCTCAAGCGGATGCCCCCCATTTCCCCAGACGAAAGCCAGTGTAACCCCAGACTTGGCGACATCCAAAGCGGAGTCTCCTTGTTTGCCAAGTGCGGGGTAGGAATTCTGATGGTCTCATTGTACGGAAAATAGCACCCCCAATGCCATCTCCTGGGCGATCGACGGATCTGTTGACGTACGGAAAAGCACCCAATCAAGTGGTTATCCGCGACGGATCTGTGACCAGCCACATCAATCTTTCAAGGAAACATGTCCGATGTGCTTTTTCCTCTCGATACGGATATGGAAACAACTCCCATGGATTACTACACCAAGTAATCATGCGTGATACCCGTGATGGTTACTCAAAGGAAATGATGCTTACCCCGCAAACAACAATGAAATGGCAGCTCAGCCATGCACAATCCCGGGATAAATAGTCCACCACTCAAACAATGCAGTTCCAATCAGTAGACTCAACAATCACAAAATACACACTAGATCACAATCATGGCTCAACGAAGCATCATCAAAGACATTGTCATCACCCCTGTGGCCTTCCATGATATGCCCCTGCTAAACAGCGTGGGTGTACATGAGCCATACGCTTTGCGCAGCATTATCGAGATCATCACAGAAGACTCATATGGTCTCGGTGAATCATATGGAGATTCGGCACATCTAGACCGCTTGCAAAAGGCAGCGGATAAGATTAAGGGCCTTTCTATTTACAGCACAAACATTATCTACCAAAAATGCGTTGAGTCACTCAAGACCGACACCTATACTGGTGGAGATGGCATGGGAGGCATGGTGACTACTGCTTCAGTCGCTGACAAGGTCTTCTCACCGTTCGAAGTCGCATGTCTTGACTTACAGGGCAAACTAGCTGGTATATCCGTTAGTGACCTTCTAGGCGGACGCGTGAGAGACCAAGTCCAATACTCAGCCTATCTCTTCTACAAATGGGGCGGGCACCCTGGTCACGAAGATGACGAATACGGCCCGGCGCTAGACCCTCAAGGAGTGGTGAAGCAAGCCAAAAAGATCATTGATGAGTATGGCTTCAAAGCAATCAAGCTCAAGGGAGGCGTCTTCCCTCCTGCAGAGGAAGTTGCCGCGATCAAAGCTCTACATGAAGCTTTTCCTGATCTGCCGTTGAGACTTGATCCAAACGCGGCTTGGACTGTTGAGACTTCAAAGTGGGTCGCAAAAGAGCTTGATGGTATTGTTGAGTACTTGGAAGATCCGGCTGGTGAGATTGAGGGAATGGCTGCTGTTGCCAAAGAGGCATCGATGCCCCTAGCTACCAACATGGCAGTCGTTGCTTTCGACCATCTCCCACCATCAATTCTCCAAAACGCCGTACAAGTCATCTTATCCGATCATCACTTCTGGGGAGGCCTTCGAAAGTCACAAACACTAGCATCCATCTGTGCAACTTGGGGTCTGCGCCTTTCGATGCACTCAAACAGTCACTTGGGTATCTCACTCGCCGCCATGACGCATCTTGCCTCCGCAACACCAAATCTTGATTATGCTTGCGACACTCACTGGCCTTGGAAGCGCCGAGATGAAGACGTTGTTGTTGACGGCGCATTGAAGTGGAAGGATGGCGGTGTTGTCGTGCCGACAGTGCCAGGTCTAGGCGTCGAGCTAGACAGAGAGAGGTTGGCAAAGCTTCATCAACAGTACCTGGACTGTGGGTTGAAGAAGCGTGATGATACTACGTATATGAAGAGGTTTCAGCCAGACTTTTCAGAGAAGATCCCTCGATGGTAGATACCGGGCGTTGCTAGCCGGTTTCAAGCAGACCAGTCATACCAGGACTTTCATGTATACAATAGTCTCTCAAATTTCTTTAATCTTGTCCTATACTGTCTACAGTGTAGCTAACATGACCCAGAAATGGGTTTTCCACTAAAAATAAAACACTTCATTGAGTAAGCTCTTCTCATAACAGAGGCCGATTTCTATCCAGTGCTATTCTTGCCAGGGTGACTTCTTGACTAAATCTGGCCTTCTTGACTGAAGCATGACTCTTGGTTCATATGCGAACAACAGAACGTATCCCGAAATGAATTGAATAGGAGACTTAGTCTTTATCAATCTGTCCGATAGTCTGCAACATCTCCTTCAAGTCCTTCGGTTCCTCTGTGAAGACTGTAACCTTCATCTTGTCTCCCTCGCCTTCCCATCTATAGTTCGGTGTTCCATCAGCCTTTTTCCTGTAAATCCATTCAATACCATCTAGAAACGTCTCCTGGGTGATGATCAGGTGTTTGGAGATATAGTGCGTCCACGTGGGAACATTGTTTGGGTTGAAGGCGCCCATGACGAGAATGATCTTGGAATTAGTTGGTGATTATCTAGTTGACTCTTCTGGCAGAATTGGATTTGTCTGATTTGTCTCTTCCGTTATTAGACGTGCATATATGTTGCGAAAAACGAAAGGACCTGAGTTCGATTAGACCTTTCAGTCATTATATATCTGAAGAGACTATGTGAATCAGAGAACAGGTCCCTTAAGACGCACTAGATTTGCTATTTCATCCAAACACCATCTGAATCATCTTCAGTCATTTAGATCCAGTTTCATGGGATCGAGGGCATGTCTGGAGATTCCAACTCTAGGAAAGTTGATAAATCTCAGCATGGCCAAGGATCCATATCGTCAACTCATCACAGACAAGATTAATAATATTTATGATAGTTTGTTGGTTTGACGAAGCTACCATTTCTTGCACCACGGGACTGTTTTTGAGGAACATAATGACAGGACAACGGTTATTCACGATCATTCGTGTGCAGCATCATGAACATACAATCTCTACTAACCCTAAAGAAGATGTTTCTGAGAAGGTTGCGCGAACACATATCAGTACTCAAACTGACAAGAAGTGATTTACTAGGATGACTCAGCATATGGAGGGGTTAGCGTCCCCAAGAGTCGCATTACCCGGTACCCGAGACCTGACGATTCAAAGGATTAATTAAACAAGAGTCACGGTATTACAAAGTACCAAGATCTGGCATCAAATAATTCCTTTTTCTTAAATATATGTAATTAAAGGATATAGCAGCGGATAAGAAACTAATGCTATTGGTATATCTTGTTTTGCTAGATATAGACACTCGGCAACACGAGCAATGACACAACTTCCAGAAAAGACCTTTCCATCATCACAGCCCTAGCCAAGGTTAAGGTCTTCACTCATGACTGCTGTCTTTTTCCTTTGCAAGCAAGTAACTGCGCGGCCCGGAAAATGTTGCTGACGTAGGATCCAACTTCATCTGACCACCATCGTCGTCAGCTTATGTGAGCAACCAGAAATAATATATCTGGGCAACATCAGCTGGATTCTGTCTTCTTTTTGACTTGGCATTCTACTTTTCACCGCTTGTGCATTGACTAAAGCTACAGAACCTTATCATTAAAATGTCTGCCAACTCAGACCTTAGAAAGCAAATCGAAACTACGGTGAATAGCTTCCTCGCGAGCTACGAAGACGGTAGAAGAGCCAAGGACCCGTCAGTCATCAACCGCGATGTGACTCCAGACTGCACTCGCCAACTTCTTCCCGCATCACTGTGCAAAGCGCTCGGCCTCCCGGAAGAGTTTCTCATACCCAATGATGTCTACGAGAAGCTCTACGCCGACGATCTTTCTCTTGGCGGCGTTCACAATACCGTGTCAAAGCACTTGACGATCGACGTTGAGGCCCGGTGCGCGGCAGTTGAGAGCAGTGGAGACATGATCTACCATCATGGCGAGACTCTGCACCTAGAATTTTCTTGGGTTTTCTATCTTACTGGTGATGGTACGAAGATAAGCCGGGTTATCGAGTTCGCTGATAGCACTGCTGTCCTGAAGATGGCGGCCATAGCGAAAGAGTGTGCCGCCAAAAATGGCCAGGGTGAAGAGGTCGATTTTGACGCTACTGGATAGTGTGACGGTTCATGGCGATGGCCAGAGCCATTGAATACTTATTATCTTGTGAAAATGATAATTTCTCTGCTATTTATAAGATGTTGTTTTATCACAGGCCAAAATTCTATGACGCTTCCGGTATGATTGGTGGATTCACGGTCAAACAAATCGTGGTCTTGGCGATCAAACAAGTCGAAACGGCACTACAAATAGCAAGGCAGAAACGTGGTCTTGGTGCAAAAGTTCCGGACTTTTCCGTTGTTGCGAAACACTTCATGTTGATATTCGGTGGAGAACTTCAATTTGATACATGGCGACTCCGAAGCGCCCAAGCACCTGCTGAATACAGTCCGCGGGCCTCTATTTATTTAAACTTAAATATAGAGATACTGGAGACCGACTGGAGACCGACTGGAGCCCGGGGAAGGCCTGAACGCGGGACGCGAAACCCGGTACAGTTCCCAATTAACGCGAGCCGGGGTTGTTTATCGCCGACTCCATGGAGTTTTCAATATGCTTGTAGCATGTGAAAGAGGTTTTATGTCCGTGGAATATTCTATTGATCTGCCCGGTACGCCCGAAACTCAAAAGAATGCCCAGCGTGGCTTAAAAGTCTTGGAATTTTGAGCCGCCTGCGACGTGGCATTGCAGGGATGTTCAGCGCCTCTGCCGTGTCTCCAAGCCACCATCGACAACAACAAATGCCATCATTTATGACGATCTGTTGACCAAGACGGCAGTTTACTTATCTCGCATACGAAATGAAACGCGACAGATCGCAGGTGAACACGATCCGCAAGAGCCGCAACCAATACCACAGCCCCCTATCGAAACAAGTTTGAGGACGATCTTCAAACGCGACCTCAAACCCTTCAATACTAATTTAGGCCGCAATCTACACTCCCTGTTCACGTCCAAGTGTTCGATATCTACACCCAATGGGATCCAGCGACCCTCATTCCAAATTCTCCACCGACAAGGTAAGCTTAAGCCTCATTAGCATTGGTACGAGTCAGGTGACGAGTACGACGACCAAAGCGGGACGTGCAGGGCATATCTATTGGCTCACCGTTGATCTTCAAGACGATCGCACTGATATACAACAAGGGAGAGCTCAGGAGCTATCCCAATGTTTTGGGTCTCATATCTTATACACGAGACTTCGTTGGCCAGCGGCCTTGCAACGCGGTGCGGCTCAGGCGTTACCCGTTGTCGCGCCCGTCACTAAAATTAGTCTAGTTTGCGTGTCATGTCCAAGAAACGTGTAATGAAGATCTGGTATCCAGTAAAGAGCAGGCATGTGAGATTCGTAATGAAATTTGCAAAAGTGCCGAAACGATGGCGATAGTGCTTGGGCTCTTATCGCTGTTGGCGAATATTTATACCTAGTGCCAAGCCCCTGGATATCTGCCTTCCTGGCTGTATCAACAGCAGAACGCCTCGACTTTAGTCTGGAACTCTCACGTAGGAGTCTGGTGACTACATACATTAGTGGAACTCTCTTCGCTTTTTCTTCGACCTCTCCTTATCATCTCAGTTTACACAAAATATTTCTGCATTACCATGGCGCATCACGATATGAGGGTGCATGATCCCAATATGGATCGCGATAGTTACAACCTCGACAACTTATCTACCCAACGCAACCATCATGAGTCGCATCGACCAAACTCACCATCAGACCTTATGTCCGGAGCCTCAACCGATATCGAGTCCGGCACATCAACACCGACGCATATCAAGGATGCAAACCAACATCCTTCCTTCGACATTTACGACCCGAACCGACCTAAACTTGGCTTGCGTCAACGCATGAAGCACTTTACTTGGGCTTGGTATACCTTGCCCATGAGTACTGGCGGTCTATCACTTCTCTTCTTCGCTCAACCAAACCAATTTCCTGGTCTCAAGACTATTGGTCTGGTTATTTATATCATCAACCTCATAATATTTACCTGCGTGACAACGGCGATGGTATCACGGTTCTTCCTTCACCCGGGAACATTTGCCAAGTCCATGACACATCCACGAGAAGGTTTCTTCTTGCCTACATTTTTCTTATCTGTAGCCACCATCATTACCAGTACCGATAGGTATGCGATACCGAAGGACAACTCAAACCTGGTCTGGGCTGTCCAGGCAACCTTCTGGGGCTACCTTGTCGTCACCCTGATCCTATCTATAGGACAGTACAGCTATGTCTTTGCAGCTCATAGCTTTTCTCTTACTACTATGATGCCCACTTGGATCTTACCCATCTTCCCTATCATGCTTTCGGGTACCATCGCGTCCGTCATCGCCGAGACTCAGCCTCATGTTGCTGCTGTGCCTATCATTGTTGCAGGACTAACCTGCCAGGGTCTTGGACTCAGCGTTGCCGTCATGATGTATGCTCATATGATTGGACGTCTGATGCAAGCAGGCCTGCCTAACAGAGAACATCGTCCAGGTCTTTTCATGTGCGTTGGACCACCTGCATTCACTGCCCTAGCTTTGATAGGAATGGCTGAAGGTCTGCCCGAAGACATCGACTTCATCCAAGATGGAACATTTATCAATGTCGGAATGGTTCGACTGATGGCTACCATGAGTGCCATTTTTCTTTGGGCTTTGAGTTTGTGGTGGTTTGGTATCGCCGCCGTTGCCGTTATTCAGTCTCCCCCTAAGTACTTTCATCTTGGATGGTGGGCTATGGTTTTCCCCAACACTGGTTTTACTCTCGCTACTATCTCTATCGCGAGATCCCTTGGCAGCAAGGCCATCGGATGGTTCGCCACTGGAATGAGCATCGTCATTCTCTCTGCTTTCGCTTTCATTTTCTACAGCCACGTTAGGGCTGTCATTTCCCAAGACATCATGTTCCCAGGACGGGATGAGGATGTCGAAGATCATTGATTCAAGCATTTCAGCGCAGCATAATTAGACTTCTAAATTGCATAAAGGAACATAAAAATGTTATACACTACTACTGGCACATACTGTCGTTTTCCATTCGCTACCTCCGTGCGTCGCAACCAAACTTTTCTTATAGCAATGCTTTAATATTCACTCGTTAGTTAGTTTCATCTTTGAATTGATATCATATCTGAATTTGAATCACTCCGTTTCCTAATTAAGAATTTTACTATCTATGCTAGTCCATTTTCACTGTTTCGATCGTTTCATATATCTACGATAAGATCAACGGATCTGAAACCGCATCTTGAGCTCCGAGTCGCATCCCCTTGTCACTGTCGCCGTTGTATAATGCTGCAGCGGAATTTCTTTTCTGAACATTTGACTCACTAAAAATAGTCGCCCTTCAACTGGTGCACTTGAGACGTTGGTAAATCTGAGCTTTTCAGTAGCTGTCACCTCATTGGGTACGTAGTGAATCTCCTTGGCTCGTCATGGGTCGCAGCCCGCTTGCAATCCACTCCTGATGCCACTTTGCAAAAGACCCAAGCCTAGGAGAGCCACTTATTGGTCCAACACCGAAGTTATCGGTGAGCTTAGCATCTTCCGTAACAAGGTTGAGTTGTTTTGTTGCAGTCTCCAACTTCCATTCCCAGACGGTCTAACCGTGTTCAGGACACCTATTCAGTCAAGCTTCTTGGCAAGATAATTTTCCCATCTATTGCTCTGGCAGGGCAATAATAACTCACTCGTCAATAAGCACTTGGTAAAAGTCGGATGCATGTACGTAATCAATGCTGACACCCCTCTCTTGGCTGAATACCCGGATAAATGAGGATAGAGTAGTGTTTGTTAGATGCCAACTATCATTATAAACCAGCACCCATACGAAACCGCCAGTGAATGTGTAAGGAACTCGAAACTCTCGCAATTATGTCTGAATCAACGGCCGAGCAACTCCCCACCCTCCCCTCTGATCTGACTCCCCAGTGGTTCAGTGCCAAACTCGGGCATAAGATCGAATCAGTGGAGAATACGCGCAACATCTGGGGAACCGCGAGTAAACTGTTCTACACACTCGCCTACGAAAATGCAACCGAGGAAGAAAGACCAGCCAAAATTTGTGTTAAAGGAGTGTTTGATCCCAAGATGATCGAAGCTCAGCCATGGACCGTCAGTCTGGCTCAACGAGAAGCGGAGTTTTTCTCCAAGGTTGCCCCAAACGTGAGCCATATGATCTTTCCAAAAGGCTGGTGGAGTGGAACAGACGAGAAGCAGGGAATTGCAATCATGAATGATCTTGTCAGCGAAGGTTGCACTTTTCCAGCTGAAGTTGCTTCATACTCGGTTGACAAGGTCAAGAATGGTGTTGAGCAGCTGGCAGGTCTCCATGCTCAGTACTGGGGCCAGAGTCAGGAGGACCATCCATGTAAGAACCTTTGTGAATAATTCCGGTACCAGCGTCTCACACGTCTACAGGGATCTGGAACAACTACGATCCTGCCATGACATTCATGTGCAGATCGTGGGACGAAGTGGTTAGAAGACCCGGCCACCCCCAGCTTCCGGAGTATCTGATGGACGGGGCTCGATGTAACGAAGCCTTAGATCGTTACTACGCTGAGCGAAACCCACGTTTCCGAACCCTGTTGCATGGAGATACTCATATCGGAAACATCTACTTCACAGCTGACAACCGTATCGGCTTCCTAGACTGGTCTGCTTTCCACTTTGGTTCATGCTTTCACGATGTCGTGTATCACATGACGGCCATGCTCAGCGTGGAGGATCGTAGGGCTCACGAAATGGAGGTCTTAGACCACTACCTTGAGACACTTCATAGACTTGGAGGTCCCAGGTTTGACCGACATAATGACCCTGAGGTTATGATCGAGTATAAGAGATCATTCATGACGAATGTTATCTGGCTGATCTGCCCGGATGGTCTGCAAAGCAAGGAGCGCGTCGCTACGTTGTGTGAGCGAACTGTCGCAACATATGACGACCATAAGGTTATTGACGTGATTTTGGGTCAACCAAAACCGGTAGCATAGGCGCAGCTCTCCTAGGACAACATCATTGTTTTGGCGCTTCTATTTGGATTCGAAGCCAGACACCTATAGTATTGGCCAGAAGTAATGACTTGTTTTACATTCACTGTGTTGTATTTTTATGTCTTGTTGTGATGCTGTGCGACGTGATGATTACGTGCTTGAGTCAAGACGTAGCGTATTGTGTTGATGAGATATGACGTTCATGACATAATCTAGGAATAATGAATTACAGATAAATCATAACGTTGAAGGCTTTTAACCAGTGAATAACACGGTGGTTTGTCGCAATTCTAATTTCTTCGTTTATACGTTGCTCACCATTGAATCAGGTAGCTTACATCAACAAAAATGCGCCGCACTCGATCTATCCTCAACCTTGTCTATGTCCAGTCACTGGCACCTAAACGATTCTCTACTATGCCTGCATTCAGATAGATTGAATGAAGTCAAGTAGATGAAGACAGATCGCATGCGACCGGCCCCTCGAAGGTTCCCAAAAGCGTGCAAGACGCTGTCCCGAAAGGAGTTGAGGAGAGCCTTCCAGACTCTGTATGCCCATCTCAATCTCGTCGGAGACAAGAGACTAACAATGCCCAGATTCACGCTACCGGCTCCAACCCCGGTCAATCCACCAATAAGACGCATGCCAAAAATGATAGATAGGAGTCAATATTGCCCAAGAAGGTCCAAGAGGAGGTTCCTGGGTCTGTTGAGGGGGCTGTACCAAACGCTATTCACGATACAGGAGATACACCAGTCAAAGGAGTCAAGAAGTAAATTCTAGATTATTGGTATTAATTGATTGCTGTATCTAAATGACGAAGTGCTTAGTGAAGAAGCCAAGCCAGGGTATCCTTATCTATTCGTGCACCTAGTAACCCCGCTTCTTCTTCTGCTTCTTGAGGCACTCAGCACATATGGATTCTATCTCCTTCCTGTCAATCGACACTGGTTTCCCGCAGGCGCCCATGGCACCGCCCTTCTCCCTTGCCTTTGCACAAGGGACGTCTTCCCACTCATCCTTGAGCAGAAGGTAGCACTTTCGGCAGGAATATTTCCTTTGGACCTTAATACACATCGTTATTGCGCCAAACGTGGTTTCTCTATGCTAAATGATTATATGGCTTGTGTTTGAAATAGATTTCTTGATCTCTGAGGTGTTTGTTTGAGATGGGAAGGTTTCTAGGAATGATGGATCTGATATTTATAGTTTTCATCGACATTCGATTCACTGCAAGATGATTTATATTAACTGTGATAAGAAATGTAACTATTTGGCGAGCACTCGAATCTTTGCCATCATAATATCACATATCCTCTATTAAAAACTATAAATTACCAATATACTCAGAGATAGAACTCAAGCGCACTGAAATTCATTTCTACTTCTAGAGCTATGTTCTGATGAGTTTAAGCCAAGGACATGATCGACGTAACCATGACCGGCGAATACTCTGTGTCACTCAAACTCGTCATATGTGGTCGCCTCGGATTCCATCACACCGAGCCTGATTCCTGGAGCCTGGTCTTCTCAGAATTTATGTCTGCAGCTCGGCCAATCAAAACCAATATATAATGAAGCATGTCAGCCCACAGTCTCTTATCCCGCTCCTAAAGCCTCCTTACTGCTTTTCTTTCAACCAGAAAAGTGCAAACTGCAGCTCAACTATTGCCACAAGGGTTTGTGAAAATGGGGGGCCTCAAAATGTCTCCTGTCGAATCAGCGAAAACGAGCCGTCTTGTATTCGAGAATGCCAAAAAAAGGGCTCAAATGCACTCAAAAAGCCCTGTAAGTACTTTTGCTCTATTTTTCAACTCATACTCAGCACATTCAAGCATAAAAGACGTCTCGTATGGGCAGGCCACCACAATAGAGACTGGATAATTTAGTAGGATCCTCAGGCCTTTCTGGTGTTGTAAAGCCTGGTTCATCTTCTGTTAAGTATTTGGTAATTTCCTTACTAAAACACAGGTGGGCCTTTCTCTTGGCTAATTCGTATGGGTTCTCGTCGACCGTGAAATGGTATGTGTTTTTGAAAACCTCATTGAGTCTTCTAGCCGACTCAAGAATATTTGGCGGTCGCTGAGCTCATCGGGCTAGCAGGTGATGAGCGCTTGCACTTGAGTATACCGGCGAGTGGAATGGTCCAATATTGCCCTCGTCGCATCATTCAAATCATTCACAAATTGTTCCAGACTCTTGAGGGAGGTTGATTCAACGGATGATATATCGCTGGTCCCAGTGTTGGTGATATCAGATGGCGTCGATGGCGTGACCTTCAGGCTTGTTCCGCCAGATGTTTCAGTAGGATTGAGGCTCATAGTATCTCTTGGTCAAAAGAACAATTTCTAAGCTGGGCTACAACTTGTACTATGGATTATTTCATACAAGGGCAAGGGAGAAAGTTGTTTATGAGGGGTTTGTCAAGAGGAGACAAAAAGGATAAGAGAAAAGAATAGTGAAGTTGGACATCATTCGATGCCCGTGGAGCTGAAAGATGAATTAAAGTGGCTGGAAGACATGCTTGCGCAAAATGGCAGCGCTCCAATGTGACAGCGAGCCATGCGAGGGCTGCATCCCAATCACCAGCTGACTCAAGTGATGACGTGTCACTCTTCCACCTTCATCATATCATTCTACGGTCCAACTTACGTTTCTAAACCTGTAGAAGTGGTATGGCCATCAGGAGACCTAACTCGTATCTGCCTATATCTAGCTCACGATTCTTGAAACTGGTATCACGAAAATGGACTATCTACAAGAATGTCTAAGCAGGCTTCGACTGCATCGTTAGAATGTATCAGACATTTTCACATTTGACTATCCTAAAGAAGGGTTTCTACGACGGCGAACTTGGAAACCTTGATGTAGCCCAGGATGGCCTCGGTTCAAGGCCACATTCCGCGTACGCTGATGGCAGAATAAGTCGCCATAAAAGCGGCATTGTATGACAGGGTGCGTGTCATTTGAGTTTCATATCATAATGCCGGAGAAGCCCATGGTGATCCGCCCTGGTATCTTGCACATTTGTTCAGGAAGGTAGTTGACTCCTATCCGGAGCTGAGATGAGCTTTCCAGACTTACGCACCATCCATGTTTGCCGTCTTTCTAAATCTCGGCTCAAACATATTCAACCAAGGTCTCTCCTGGCGCAAAGACGCCTCAGCCATCTGTTCCAAGAAGTCACGAAACCCATTATACGGGTAAACAGTAAAATCCCATGCGGTCCAACTTATCAATCCCCACTCGAGATTTTTGAAGTTTTCCATGCTGCCATATGTCTCCTTAACCAGGCGGTCAAGTTCGCGGCGTTGAACCTCGTCCCTTTCCTCATATGTCTTGAAGAAATAATCTTTGGCTGGCTGAAGCAGATCCTGACCTATGAGGAAGAAATGGCCAGCCGTTTCTTCGTGGTTGATATCGCCCGAGAGACAGATACACCGAGGCTTTTCGACTTTTGGCCATTCCAGGATGTTTTTCGTCCATGCTAGTGGCTCACCGTCATTCAGCAGAGGAAGTTCATTGCCTTCGAGGAAGTCGATCTCTTGCCAATTGACTTCCTGGGCAGCAGCCAGGTAGTCTACAAGATTCTGGCCATCCCACATTGAATCAAGACCATTTGTGATGCTGAGGAACTCTTTGTAGTCTTCAGGAAGAGTCACGCCTAGTCGCTCCTCCAGAGCCCGTATCCCTGTAACGTAACATCCCCGTCGAATCAGAGCATTGGCATTCCGGGGTCGATCCCGGAGGTTGCCAGGCGGGCGATAAGCATCCAACCTGTCATAGGGGCAATCTTTGAACGTATTCCTGCTGATAATATGGACCAGCTTCTCGATAGACTGGCCTGCATATCGACGTCTCGGACCACCCTGCAGGCGGTTCTCAGCCATTTGACAGGCACGAGAGACGGCTGGCCGGAGCTTGGCTGCGTGAATGTTGAGAAAGTCCAGGAGGGGCCGCTCGGGAACAGCAAGAATCTGCTTCCACGCGGCTCGAGAGCAGGCGAGCTGTTCAACTTGTTCTTCCGTGTGAAAACGATCGCACACTTTCATGAACAACTCTCGAGCCTTTTCGTCTTTACCCAGGCGCAGATATATATCCAGGACAATCATCAAACCAGCGGTGCGGTACAGTTAAACAAATGGGTATGGGAAAATGCCTTGACGCCACCACATGGCTATCTTCATGTATCTAATAGCCATCGGTCCGTTTGGACTCGCTGAATATGAGAAGTCACCATTAGCAGCCATGGCTTCTGCCTGTATGACCTGTCTGGCGAGTGCTCCATTGTAGTCAGGCAGGTTCGTAGTCAAACCGTTATACGCCATGTCTAAAGCCTTTTCGGCAGTTTCTTCTGTGACTTCCCATTCTTGACTGAATCTCTCAAGCCAGTGTTTTCTTCCTTCAGCTTCGAGCTCTTGAAGCTTTTCTTCGGCGCGTTCCTCCTCTGGGACCCAAGAAGGCCACGACGACGTTGCTTCCCAGGCGAAAAACATGCAGGGCTTCAAGAAAGGATATTCAAAATCAGAGTACTGAAATGGATCAATACCCCTGATCGTAAGTGTTTCCAGAAGCCTAGTTGCACCATCGACTTCACCAACTACCGCAAAATTCACGGCGGTTTGGATGATTCTTCGGACAGCTTCGGTGAGGGGCCGTGTATCGGCAATCGAAGGTTCATCATCAACATGGCGAAGAAGGAATTCGAATCTTAGATGCTCGGGCTCAATATGTTTGGGTCTCGATGTCGCCATGTTTTCGGACCTTGAATTGCTATCAAACGCTTTTGTGAGAGTTGTCAGAAGCAAGCTTACAGCGTGAAGTTTTCGCGTTGCCTTGGTCAAGTCGTGTGACGTCACAAATAAGCTTACCATGCAACGCCAGTTGACAGAAGCTCCAGAGAATTTTGTTAGATATAGTAATTCTCTCATTAACTTTATAAGACAGGACTAACACGACTTTAATGTGAAGTAGCTGTGAAATGTTGAGGCTTTCAACGCCTGAGTATCGGGTACTTGTTTAAGCAGTAGATTTTGTGGCATCTCGGCTAGATATTCGAAGCTAAACGTATGAGACTCTATGGGTTTCTCGCTCATGCTTTTCACTTAGGTTGAACTCTCCTCGCAACGATCTGATCGTGATTTTGGCTGGGTAATTGTTGTGCTGCCTCGTGGAGATATGTTGAGCCCCATTATCCGTTGATGTCCAACCCAGGGCCCTTGTCACCTTGGGTATACCGGAGCATGCTCTCCATTTTGACTTTTGAGGTGTAGAATGTCTCTGGCTCCCAACTACAGGTGCTCCCGACGTCAGGAAAGGATACATGGCGAGGAAGGCGACCGCGTGTTCACCATCCTCCCGGCCTGGCACTTTTCTGACGGATGATGTTTCCGATGACTCAAGACATGTTGCCCAATCTGCGTCGCAACTCTTCTTCTTCTTTTCCTTTTTCTTCTTCTCTTCACAAACAACTATAAAATGGGTTTGTACGTATCGTCGCAGTTTGACCATCGATCAAGAAACGCTGACCTTTCTCAGCTTACTCCTCAGTTTCCGGTGTATCAGGCCCCTGGCCCTGATCACTGCAGATCCGCAAGTTTTACCTCGATCTCTCCTGTTTATCGGCTAACCTCGAAGTTCAGACAATGGTTACCTACACAAGCGCATTTGGTTGAGAGCAGCTGATTGATTGTCATCACATTCTCTATCCAGGAAAGCAATGGGTTTCGGTGTGAGGAATTGTCGGTGTGGATTGGACATCATGGACTACTGCTGTTTGTGTTAGTACTGTTGGAGCTCGGTTTACCATCTTGGCTGTCTTGGTTCGGGGCGAGTCGAATCTCCAAAACAACAAACAATAACATGGTTCCCCTCAATGCTTTGCCTCTTCTGCAGGTGCAGCCATTCCCAGGCTTTGCTCGAAGCTCGTCAGGCTAGCAATAACTGAAGTTAATAAAGATGCCACTGAGTCACACAAGCAAGTACACCTTTCGCCCGCCGAGACCGTACCTTCAACTTCACGTCTCTTCCTCCTTCTTTCTTTCACCTAACGCCATGCAATGAGACTCGCAAGCATCTTGGAGCCTCCTTCTCTTTCACCCCGTGTGCATTCGTGCCGAATCTAGCTCCAACACTCTTGAGTCCTTCATCTCAGAAGCTCTTCAGGCTTTTCATCTGCTGACCATCATCGATTTATTTCATGCTTCTTTCATATACTTGCTCATCCGCCCACGAATAACTTCATCACATATTCTCTACTCCCGAACTCGTCGAGCGAACCCCCCCGGCTCTCTTCCGCGCCCCCAATTCAACACCGCCCGAGCGCAAGCCTTCTACACCACTGCGCAGACGCGTATGACTACCCGTGGTACCTGTGTGTAAGACTGCGACGTGTATTCACTAAGTCCTTGATCAGACACGATCGGATTGCTGGGAGATTTCACAAGACAAGCGGCCCAGTTACAAGTTTCGAGTTCAAAGCTCATACCACAATTTAAATCTCGGCACTGCATAGTCCTTTGGAACTAAACAGGACAATTTATGTGGAATTTAATTCTCAGAAGGCGGTATGTTTGCTAAATCTTGGTTAAGTATAGCATAGACGCGCGTTATCTTCCAAAACAGTACCTGCGACAACTCTTCCGTCATGAAGCGCTATCGCAAGATTTTACCCAAGACCACACCGCCAGAGTCCAAGTCCTATATCGAAGATGATGTACGTAGCAGGGGTTCTCGGGGAGAATTGAGGCAGCCACCTCTCCTGAGGTGACGGTCTGCTTGAACTTTGCGAGGCACTGAGAGGGCCGGCAGACACCCGGCGGAAGTGAGGATTCAGGCTATCATGGTATTAACACGCCCCAGAAATGAATAAAAATTCCATCCTTAGACTACGATACCAAGATTGCCTAGTCTTGAGGTACACTGAGTCATAATAAACGTACCTGAATCCTCTCATTGTTTAGGATAGAAGGAACGCTATACGGCAGATTTCCCACTTATTAGACAATACGATACTCGGCGAAGCCGGTCTTATCATCGGTTGCGTTAACAGCGGCCTCTCCGTCCATGATCCCATGTATGTAGCTACAACACTTTAGTAGCTGAGATCGAAATAGGACAGAAGTATGACACGTACCATTCGCCAACGTAGATCCAGGTCTCTTGCGCACTCCTCCTCAACGCATAAGCCACGCATCCTCCCAGCAGGAGGCAGATAGTGTCACCTGGTTGGATATCTGGCGGACCTAGTCCCATGTAACCCTTTTCTGTCCTGAAGAAACGCCGGTTGAATTGCTCAATCAATCGAAGTTGTCGGTATATAGGCCGAAGGCATGACTCCCATGTGCTTAGCAAGCCTTCCATTCCCTCTGGGGTTTCAAGTTGCAACAGATCCTGCAGATCATTCTTGTCAAGACGTTTGGGCCTGCCGCCTTTCGTTGAGGCTAGACGGCCTTGGTTCAAGTCAACCAGAACTGTTCTCCAGAAGGCCATAGCCTGAGTTTCACCTGTTACATAACTATCCTTAGGCGGCAGTAAGGATCTCCAATGATTTAATGTGTCTCTCATCGAGCTCCTCCAGTGCTCAGGGCTTGTCTCGCCTACATTCTCAAAATTAGGGCCCGGTGCTTGAGTTCCGACAATGGAGACAGAATCAAGACAAAAGCCTTTGAGTATTAAAACACTGTCATCCTCGTCTGTTGTTATGTCTGGAAGAGACCGTTCTGGGCTCATAAAAGTCTTGTAAATCGACCATTTGTTGAGGACTTTGGACAGCGAAGTTATGTAGTCTTTGAATGGCTCGGAGTGAAGTTCAAAGTCAGGGACCCAAGAAGCCAGGTTTTTGTTTCGAGACTCCTTCTTCTCGGAGATCAGGCCAAGGCAGTTGAGGTTGCCATCTTCGACAAGCGCGGCTCGCATCGCAACTCTATACACCTTCTCGACTGGCCATGAGTATTCTGGCTTGAGACTATCGCGAGGCTCTATGATACCCAACAAGCCAATGACTTTGTCTCTCGGATCCGAGGACGCGCGGTTCCAAGTCGAGTAGAGCGCCATTGTCAATCCGATTCCCCTGCGAGCAACCATGTCTTTGCGCAGATACTCGACGAGCATCAAGGCACCTAGAGTCATGTCTCTGTGGGCCAGTGCACCTTTGTAGGCATCATGATTCACTAGGTGATATAAGAAATGGGACAAGCCCAGGAGATATTCGAAAGGAAACGTTTTTGAACCAGACCAGCAGATTACGTTGGGGCAGAGGACACTTTCTTGCAAAGTCCATATTCTTCTCCACCAGCTGTTGGCAAGAAATGCTACAGCATGATTAAATACCGTCAGTAGTCGTGGTTCATCAAGAAGTTTTAGAATGGGCGCATAAAACTCGTGAAAGGGCGTAGAATCTGGATAAATCGAGGCGGTGCGTGCATCCCGCGATGGAGACTGTTGATAATTTGTGTCATGGTAGACAAGCGTATAAAAGGTCGTCAGGAAAGCAACACCAGCGTCAGAGGTTGTGTTTGCAGTTCCAAGCCAGACGTCGACAACTTGAGCTTGCGAGTAAATTTGGTTCATCTGCAGGACTTGGCGATTCCTCTCCCCTTGATCTTGCTGATTGATACAGACGGCGTCGACCCAGATGAGTTTTGCCTCATGAGGCTGTCGAAATGCCCTGAGAGCTGCGTGCAAATTGGGCCGCACTTTAAAAACAGTGCCGTTTACCAGCAGTCGCTCCCTTGCGTCTTCGTTGCCCCATGTGTATGAGATGGCTTCATACTGAGGGCAGGTAGATAGCTCGTGATGATGCAGCTCGCATGAGATGTCGGATGTCTCATCATGCGACGGGAGGATACTCAGCAGTCTGAACCATCCGTTTGACGGGAGTGGTGAGTAAGTGAAGGGTTGTTCCATTTGGCGCGAGACTGATGGGCGTCGAATCTTGGGTAGCGGGTGATGGAAAATAACGCATCAGACTTGAGAGACGATGCTTCCGCTTTTACAGATGTTCCTCTTCATCAATTTTACGCACAGTGACACAAAGCCACATAGAAAGCGATTGATCGCCAAGATCTATTTCGTGAGTTGATGCCGCCGAGGCTACGGTAGTGGCGCGTCGTGAATGTTGGTGTCGTGCAGGCTCCGCGCAAGCTCAGCACTGGCCGTTCCAATTCTGCACCAGCGTCATAGAGCTAGCAATCGCGGATGCAGGCTGACCAAGCCATGATGCAGGTGCATAAATGATTACATTCAAGTAGCTAATTGCAGTGATGAAACAGCCAGGGAAAAACAACAAGTCATCACAGATCGGATAGTTGGATGAAGCCTCGATGAAGCGGTCGGCGACCATTGCTGGCTATTAGAACACATTTGAGTCTAAATTTTTACAGTCGATGCAAGCAGATTCAACACACAGGCCAATGCCCTCCATGAATGATCATGCTTTTCAACATGAAAGATAAAAAAGCACCGATAAGATACTTTCCCAACCTGGTAGAAGGATTCTCGATTGATCTGATAAGGCTATCAATACGAAAAGGCTGTTCTGCTGGCGACGCTTCTGAATTTTCCGATCTACCCTGCATCTTGCGTGGGCTCGATCATCGACGTGGCGACCAAAGATTAATGCGGGGTCGCATGGATGTCGTCGACCAAGTCAACTGTCCCTGGGCTAGCGATTGTTTGCTCTGAAGTCACGGGAATTCCACATCCCGAGCAGGGACATGATTGATGAAATTAACAGAATCTCATCAATTAGCTTCATTTTGCCACGCGACTTGGACAGGCAGAGTGCCGTCCCGGTACGGTAGGCTCAAGAGCCAGAGCCAGAGGTTTGCCTCAACAAGATCGAGTCAGTCAGTCTCCAGCTTGAGCACAGACAGACTTGTCTACTTTAAGCAGGTCATCCTTCAGGGATGGTCGATTGGTGGCGACGACTAGCCAGATGAGGCATGATCTACTCAGATCCATCTCTGGGACATCCAGGCTCTCGGGAGATTGGCGGATTGCAACGCTGAGCTTCAAACCTACGATTCATGGAGTAATCACTACTGCAAGATATCTCTTGGCCTTTTGCCCGAAAATATTCACAACCAATTAGGTTCAATCTGACGCGGAACTGTAACAGAGGCATCAGAGAATCTGATGTATATTCGCATTCCCCTCAGAGTCAACATCTTCTGTCAGCTCAATCACCAAGCTCCACCTCGTAACCAAAGCAAATGACATCAAACCTCCAAAGAAATTACCAGTCTCAACGCTTTTCACAGCCCTCGTCCAACTTGGCACGGCAAAGAACCCCCCTACTAGCAAGACCGAAACCCAAACTAAGCCCGCCGTAATGACTCGAGCATCCACGTGCTGCCCACGCGGAACAGGCGGTTAGCCATACAAAGACGAGCCCCTATCCATTAGCACGGAATAATCTTATACGCCATCTTCACCAAAAAAGACTAGCGAACGGCGGTCCGCCACTGCGCGCACTTCTCATTCGCTCATCTGGTAGATCTATGGATTCACCATCTCGGTCTATTCACCAGACTGCCGGGGCTTCTGGAACCTCTAAAAAAACCCATCATGCAAGATTCCGATCTACTTCGGGGGGCTTGGCAGGGATTTGCCATTCTTTTTCCTTGCTTAAAGACCGTGTTCCTGTCGCAACCCTGTCTGCTTGTCTTTCTTGGCTGTTTGCTTGTTTCTCTTTGTTTCAGTCACCATTTGACGATTGGATTCAGCACTCACAATGGCGGGATTCCTAATACCGGATCATTACGTATACGTGAAGCCTAGCACTACCGATCAATTGGTCGCCAGTATCATCTGGGGCTTTACTCTCGCTGTTGGAATCTTCGCAGGCCAGAAGGCGGGAAGGCAGACATGGGATCAATGGAAGCGCACAGGACGGGCTAAGGCCTATGTCTGGATGATTTGGGCCGAATGGTTGGCGTCTATGTTGATTGGAGTCTTATCGTGGTGTTTTATTCGTGGTTACATTGCTCCCAGGTATGTTGTCGCCCGTCCCCTCAAATTGGAAGACGACAAAACTGACCAGTAATTCTTAGCTTCTGGATCTACTTTGTTCTCCGTACGATACATGCTTCGAACGTTTTACGAACACGAAACTGACTGGTCTTTTAGTGTGCGCCTGGGTTGTCCAAATTCAATGCATTTGCGGAATCATCATCAACCGAATTTCTCTTCTTATGGTCGACAGACGAAACGCCATCAAGATTCGATGGATAACTGCCGTTACACTTGGCCTCATCAACATCAGTGTCTTTTGCATTTGGATTCCTTCTCAGCTGCAAATCTCCCAGCGTTACCATGATATCAACTACATCTGGGATCGCATTGAGAAGGGTCTCTTCCTGGTCATCGACGCGACACTTCACGGCTACTTCGTCTACCTTATTCGTATCAAGCTTATCGCCAATGGCCTTACCAAGTACAAGCCTCTGATGCGATACAATCTTATCATGATTGCTATATCCATGAGTTTGGACGTCATTCTCATTGGCAGCATGTCCATCGGCAATGGTTTCATGTGAGTCACCGCTCCAAATGGTTGATGCTAGACCTCAATGACTGACTCGCATAGTTACGTGCAATTCCACCCTCTTGTCTACATGCTCAAGCTTCACATTGAGATGAACATTTCCGCACTCATCGTGCGAGTTGTTCGTGCGACCGGAGAGCACAGCTCATACCCCGACGGTACCGATCTGCGCTCCAAAGTCAGAGCCGCCGTCACGAACAAAAAGTCGGGCAACTCCAATCGCACAGGTGGCACAGGAAAGGGCGCCATGTTTTCGTCTACGGGGAGAAACTTGGAAGTGCGCATTGACGCAGGCGGTCAGATAACCGACAGCGAAAACAGACCCCAGCCAGCGGGCATCACAAAGGTCACACAGACGCATGTAACAGTCATGCCCAAGCACGACGAGGATGATGCCAGCTCACAGTCCTCAACGCGGCACCTGAAGGATCCTTACTCGTATCCCTGATTCACTAGGGCTGACGGGGGGAGTTGAAAGATGGAGACGGCATTTCGGTGACATTCTCTGCCTGCTAAGCATAGCGAACTACGCCACAAAACGTGGCTTGGAGATTATAGAAATTGGAAGGCCTAGAGTTATAGAAACGATCACTAGCATAACGTACTTAATTAATAATGGATATCTCGACCTTGAAGCGCGACATGAAGGAGAAACGGACCCAGCAGCTAAAGTTTTTTCGCCGACATGATCTGCGACCAGGTTGCCCTAGCTCGGCATAGGCTCGGTGAGCTTCGTGGAGCAGTTCCGGTGAGACACTCTGCACAACGGGGCTTGTAGCACAGAAGAAATTGTTAGTGCAAGGAGCTAGATATGGTTAGCTCTGCGATGGTGCAGTTCAAGTGGCGAACAAGTCAATTGAGTCGTCACCAGTCTTCAGTTCATCGTTTTGTAGAGCTGAACAGTTGATCCAAAGAGTAACCGAGCAACCGAGGTAGCGATCAAATCAGGACTAGCTACAGCTTGCTCCCTTTCCAATTCAAGCTCTGAGTTGCATCCAAGGAACAACGAAGCACTTTCCCGTGTCTGGACCGCTCAAGTGACCCACAGGCTTGAGCTAACAACCCCAAAGGTGCACAGCCAGTGGAGTCTCGAGAATCTTCATGAGCCACTCACTGCTCATTTCTCAACACGGCCCGATGCCCGGAGCTCATTGCCTCTATCCACCAGCCTTATTCCAGTTAGGAGATATGGGGAACTCACCTTGCCATTCTCAGATTGCCCCAGATGGGTGCGACGTACCCCGACCAGATCAGCGTCTGGACAACCCCGGTTGAAACGTCCTACGTCAAGTAAAGTCTGATTGTAAGGGTCCAGAGATGGGTTGCTGAGATATGGGAAGGACCTGCAGGTGACTCGCGCGGGGTTAACCTGCGGCTGGTTGCCCGCAAGGAAGAACCATGGTGACACGAGCTGCAGGTATATATATATAACTTCCCCTCACGAGGGACATTCTCTTTCTGAATCACCAAGCACGACTCGCCCAATACCCTCGTCTAATCCCATTTCCGACCTTCTAACCCCGTTGCCGAAAGGATCGTCCAGTTTTGACCATGGGTTTATATACTAAACTCGCTAGCGACATTACCGAAGTCGACGTTATCATCGCTGGAGGTACGCTTGTTCTGTACCTAACCCACCGCCACTGCTAATTATGTGAACTAGGCGGAACAGCAGCATGTGTCGTTGCCGGGCGTCTGGCGGAGGCTGATCCAAATCTGTCTATTCTTCTCATTGAAGGTGGACAAGATAACCGTGGGGTCGAGAGCATTGAGAACCCTGTCTTTTTCCTGGATCACTTGCTGCCAACCTCCACCACGACCTTGTTTTACAAGGCTAACAAGTCAGATAAACTGGCTGGGCGCGAGTCCATCGTTCCATGCGGTGGAACGCTTGGTGGAGGCTCGTCGATCAATTTTATGATGTACACTCGTGCTCAGCGAGCAGATTTCGATTCTTGGAGGTCTCCCGGATGGTCTGCTGATGAGATCCTTCCATTCTTGAAGAAGGTAGGCTTTCTGAGATCCTCTGTGGTATTTTGACACTTTCGCTAATTCCGTCTAGCTTGAGACATACCATGGCCGAGGTAACCCGGAACACCACGGCTTCAACGGCCCGGTCCATATCTCTGACGGCACATACCGTTCCAAGAACCCAGAAAGCGACTTCATCAACGGTGTGTCTCAGGTCGGCTGGCCAGAGGTTCATGACTTGCAAACTCTCGACGCCAATAATGGTGTTGAGCGATGGCTCCGATATGTTTCCAAGGATGGTCGTCGACAAGATACTGCTACGGCTTATCTTCACAACAAGATCGACAACAAGAAGTATCCGAACCTTCATGTTCTCGTTGAGTCCAAGGTTGTACGTGTTCTTCTTGATGACGATAAGAGAGCTGTTGGAGTCGAGTACACTCCCAACCCAGCATTCCAAGCCCAAATTACGCCAACCCAACATCCGACGTTGAGTGTAAAGGCACGAAAGCTGGTCGTTGTTTCATGCGGTGCTCTGGGTACACCACCTGTGCTTGAAAGATCAGGCATTGGCGCCCCCGAAGTCCTCAAGAAAGCTGGCGTCAACGTCAAGGTT